CACTGCTGCCCTGTTTCAATGGGAACACGGTACCGAGGCGAGACAGCCACTCTTTGCCGAGCGCCCGTATACAGGACGCGACTGCCACCGCCACCACACGTCTCCTTTGGCAGCCTATAGCTGTTATGTTCCTACTCACGTTGGTGAGCGACATTGGTTACTTTGTCAGCATTGCGCCCCAGACGCGCCTGTACGAGGACCTTGTCTGCCGCCGCTATTACTCGGAACGACCACAGATGCTCGTGGTCCAACCAGCAAGCGGCGACCCAGAAGAAGCTCAATGTAAGGTGCCTGGCGTACAGGACCTTGTTGCCGAGCTTCTCGGCATGCAAATCTTCTTTGACAGTATTATCGGCATTCTTTTTGGCATTTGCTTTGGAGCCCTGGCCGATAGGATTGGCCGTCGTCCTGTTTTGACCCTGAGTACCACTGGTGTCTTTTTCTCGTACGCTTGGAGACTCATTGTTTGTAAGTATTGCCATGGAAGAGAGTGAGAGGAGCAGAAATGAAAAGGAAGGGTGAATGATGGAGAGACAAGGGGAGAATGGCTCTCCCTAGTTCCAGCATGCACTGGACTAATCAAGACGCAGGCAGGCTGGGCTTACCCATCCGGATGGTGTGGATCTCCTCGGTATTTAGCATCATGGGTGGCGGTGATACTGTCATCGGCGCCGTCCTTGGTATGGTCTTGACTGATGCTACACCGGCGACCTTACGCTCTAGAGTATTTCTCTATTTTTCCGCGTCCAATCTACTGTCTGAGGTGATTTCACCTCCTATCGCTTCGTACTTGATGACAAAAGATCTATGGGCACCCCTGATGATTGGCCTGCTTTGCAATCTGGTAACCATCCTCATCGCAGCCAGTACTCAAGAGACACTCCCGCCTACAGGAAGCAAATCCTCGGTTAGGATCATGTCTTCACACAACAGCCATGTGTCAAGCAGCCCAGATGACAATGATCATACTCAGGCCACGACTAATACAGAGACGGAAGCCGTGCGCGTGTTCAAGGCTTTCCGGTACACTTGGTGCCAACATACCCTACGTACCCTCGTCTTCACTTTTTTAGTCTCCGAGTTTGCAAGACAAAGTTTGCAAATCCTGCTGCAATATGTCTCTATACGCTATAGTGTTAGCTTAGCAAAGGTATGTTAGACGTGGGTGATTTCACTTCTTTTACTCTCGAGGCTAACTTGCTTGCAAGGCAAATTATCTGCTTTCATGGCGGGCCGCAGCAGCGCTCTTGCTGAACACAACACTTCTGCCATCGATCGATACGCTTTTGGAAAAGAGGCTACGAATGCGGCCCCAGAAAAAAGATCTGAACTTGGCACGAATAAGCATTAGCCTCATGGCAGCCGGCTTTGCTGTGCTGGTGGTTGCGCCAACCGTCGAGTTTGTTGTCTTTGGTAAGTGGACGCTTAGCATCTCTTTTCTTGTATTCATACCCTCAGCGGCCCATGTTTTCCTCTCATCACCAAGTCTTTCACAGGAAATGTGACTCCAGTCTTGCCTATACTTGTAAGACTTGACCAATACTAATCGTTTCGCCGGTTCAAAGGCTTGGGATTGTACACTCTTGGAAGTGCATTTGGAATCTTTTTGCGCTCGCTCATCAGCACGCTCTGTGAGCCACACATGTTGGGAACTCTCTACGCGATGCTGTCCGTCATGGACACGGTCGGTTCACTGCTAGCGGGACCGATCATGGCGAATGGCCTTAAGCTAAGCCTCCGTCTGAGGGACATCTGGCGTGGCATGCCTTATATCTTCTCTTTCCTCTTCTGTGGCGTTACGGCGGTCATTTTGTTGCGGCTGCGCGTTAGCGATGTGTTGTTGGCGGCTCAAGATGAGGGTCGACAGAACGGGGAGCAACAGCATGAGCGTTTTGTTGACGAGCAAGACGAGCCCACGGAGCTCTACGGGGAAAACGAGGGTCAAGAGGTAATTAGTGAGAATGATATCATGAGATAAGAGGAAGATGGTGATCCATGGTATAAGGCCAACAATGTCAGATTACTCGGTGTCGATCCTCCTGTGCATAACGTTGAATGGGGTTCTTATTAATATTAAGGGAGAAAAAGCAGTCGGCCTTATAGGCCTCCTCTAGAGACTAGAATTACAGCGGAGTGAAGTGACAGATAGGGTCAACCATACGCAGTCAACACAAACCGTTATGTGAAGAGAGACCTTGCTGCGTAAAAATCCTGCTTTATATTGAGCTTTCTGCTGATTGACTTACAATTCACAATCGGAAGGCAACGGCCCCTGAAAGAGGCTCCGCTGCCCTATCGCAAGCTATAATTGATACGAGTTTGATCAAGACTGTAGTTGCATAGAAGTGAGGACCATAAAAAGGATTCGAAGAATGTGATAAAGACAGTTGGGTAGTTTGGTGTGCCTAGCCTAGATGTACAATTACGACCACGTCAGGATGTAAAGTGGTAAAACTTCACTATATATCACGCCTAAAGCGCCCCCCAGTAGCGCTTTTCAACCTTGATTACTTGGCGTTTTACTGCTTGAGGTCAATCATCAGAGTGCCCACGTTCGAGCCCCGTCTGGAATTTCCGGTGAAAGTCGTCCGACATCTTCCAAGGCTCCTGACCCTTGGGTCTGCGCATGGCAAGATAATTATCCATGTCTGTAACTTGAGTACGATGGTGCCAATCAACAAGAGCATCGTAGTTGCGGCATTTTTTGTTGACGTTGAAATCCGGGAAGGGGTGCAACTGGCCCTCGACCCACACGTTGGTGATGATGTCCGCATTGGCACTGCACATGAGATTCTGCAGAACGATGTAGATACAGTGATCAGTGTGTACACGATGTAACTCCGGGAACTCGCCATCGGGATATCGATCGCCAAAGTAGTGCCGCCAGTGGACATCGCGCCGTACTGCGTTGAGACAATGAACCGTGTGTATAATGTCTAGCTCGGCAGTATGAGCATCCGGTCCGAATCCCCAGTCTTCCGGCCATCGCGCTGTGCGTGTCGGATCTTTTCCTAGTCGTATGACATCCTCTGTGGTGATGACGTGCGGATACTGGTGAGTGATTGCCTCCCATGCTGCGTCGACTTCGGGAGATGGAGGCTGTTGAAAGATGGAGTCGCCAGAATTCAGTAGCGAGCCGTTGATGGTCATATCGACGAGGTCAACTTGTATCTCGTTATACACTGGGGCTATATTGCGTAGGAAAGTTCGCCAAAATGTCAGTCGCAATTTGCCTCTCAGAAAGAGTGGCTTGACAATGAGCCTCGGCGGAGAGGATGTTCACCACTTACAGTACGCATCAATCCGTTTCAGCAGAGCATTTCCCTCGTTGTTCAGAAGATTCCTACTATACCTGTAGGCGATGGCTATTGTACCTAGGGACAGAATGAATAATATGGCATTTCCCGCGATTAAGATCAGGCCCCAGCTGTTAAGCTGTCGGCAAGGATGGACTAGTGGCCATGGCCCTTCCAATTCGTCGTCCTTTGCGTTCTTTTTGAGACTCTGGATGAGTCCGCCTCCTTCCTCGCCGCCGGAATCTCTTCGCAGGACCGAGTAGGTCTTGGTGTCAACGCCCCTGAAACCCATCTTGTTCAATACACTAAGAGGCATGTTAATCTAGGTTAATGGAAGAGAAAGGAGCAAGAAGGCAATAACAATTCTCGGGTTTCTGGGCCTCAGCTGAGATCGAGCCAAGATATCAAGATCTGAATAAGTATGATTTTAGTACGAAGTGAAGTGGAGTTCCTCAAGTGAATGAGCAGAAAAGATAAAGAGAGGGTTGGTTTGGGCGGTCGCCGGGTAGCGTCAAAAGAAAGAACTCGTGGATTGAGGGTACTTGGTCAAGCTGTCTATCAACTCGTTGCCATTCTTTCGATTAGATCTCGAATGCCCCTAGCCGAGAAGACTTAGAAGAGTATCTAGGTTAGAGCTTACTATGAGAATTTCAGCTCTGCGGCTTAGACGACGTACGCGGCACTACCCCGTGTTGACCATGGCCGATCTCATTTGGTGCCCTGAAGCGCTCCGATCTCTCTCGAATTTCTATGTTGGCAATGCTCAATAACTTCGGGCGGCCTCGCTGCAAGGTCATCAACTACGAGCTGGTGCACTGCAGGATGACGAGCTGCAGGGTGATGAATTATAGATGACGAGCTGCGAAGCTTAACACTGCCGAGGTAGCCAACTTGTTGGTAGGAATTAAAGATTACCATGCCTGCGCTATGTGATGGTAAGCTTACCATCCAATCATTCTGCCGCTCCGGTCAAGTACGCTTCATGCTCTTGTGACCATGCATGGTCATCCACCATGCTTCCATCCGATCAATTCTTTTACTAGATGTAGCCTTGGAGATTGCATCCAGCCTCACGCTGTTTGCAAGATAGGACCACGAAGGCTGTAGGCTTTACCACATCGTTTCCGTCCTCAATGCCACGCCTCATTCTGACATACACGGTTGTTCACATTCATCAGCTCTCATCAACGCCGCCGCACCTATATTCCGCGGAACCTTGCGGGAACAGGCGCATGCAATTTCTGAGATGGAGGAATAAGTAATTCAGTTTTCATGATTCAGAGTCTATAAAAGAAGGGATGAAGACGGTTGCCAACTCCGCCCACGACGTTGGTCTCAGACCAAGCAACTGCTGAGCCATCACGATCATCGTTCCAGAAGATATTATCTATAACATAATCGTCAAAATGCATTTTGCTCACAGTATCACCTTGGCGATAATTGCCACGACAGTGGCGGCAGCTCCTGCTGTCGAGTACACCCACCCACCAAGCGATGTCCTCGACAAGCGTTCCATTGAGTACACCCACCCGCCTAGCGATATCCTCGACAAGCGTTCCATCGAGTACACGCACCCACCAAGCGATCTCCTCGACAGGCGTGCTATCGAGTATACCCATCCACCAAGCGACGTTCTGGATAAGCGTGCTGTCGAGTACACCCATCCGCCTAGCGATGTTCTGGATAAGCGTGTTATCGAGTACACCCATCCGCCTAGCGACGTTCTGGATAAGCGTGCTGTCGAGTACACCCATCCGCCTAGCGACGTTCTCGACAAGCGCTCTATCGAGTATACACACCCCCCGAGCGAGGTTCTGGATTAGGGGATATGAGAAGGATATCGGGACATAGGTAATATTTCTCTGGTGTTTTTCATCGTCTTGTACTTTGTCGAGGATACTGATAAAGGTTAATAAACAGAAAATCGACATTGTGTTTAGGACGCTCTAGATTCTTCGGGCAAAGTTGTGGTACAGTGTCTAATATTCATGAACTCTCTCTCAAAGTTGTTAATTTTAAAGTCGTTCTTTCCAAATATGTAGTCAGATAGTGACTTGAAGACCAGTATGGAGGAAAGTTTATTCAAATATTGTAGGGTTGTAGGTGTTATTATTGTTGTGATAGGTGACAGTTAGGCTGTCACCGCTAAGGAAGCTATGGAGGGCTATCTATATTTGGCACCTGGTGGTCACCTGGTGACCACCTGGTAGCCAACAAAATATACAATCGTTCTTTACAAAGTCGTATTGGGCGTGCAAAACGTCCCGTCACCCAATAGGTAAACAAAACTAATGGTCCACATAACCGTGCCGTCAAGGGGGGAAACTCCCTGAAAAGTCCCAGCAGCCTAGAAACCTGCACCACTCCATAGCTTGTAATATTAAGACTTCTTAAAACAAGAGGAAAAGTTTGATGATTTTATAGAAGACGAATTCAAGATCCAGAAGAACCAAAATTGAGATTCAAAGTCAAAAAGACAAAAAGATAAAAAGTTTTTGTAATTATTTTATAAAGCTTAGAAAAAACATTCCTCTATGAAGCTGGCTACGAGGATAATAGCCGGCCGAGGTCTCCAAACATACTCTTTCCTAGCCTGACAATGCCTAACGAAGTTGACTAATATGTGTTTCATGCAGTGATGGGGCCAGCAGACGTCATCCTCATTTCACTAAAACGACCCTTCGCCAAGAGCCAGACGCGGCTGACTGTCTTCCTAGCTAACATTGGAATACATCATGATCTTGCATGACCTGGATGCACAAGCCCACCAGAATAGCCTGGTAAGAGAGTTCGTCGTAATCAGCGCTAGGTGTGGGAGTCACTGTCACCGTGCTGGTGGCCTACGAGAGAAATGATTAGTCAAGTTGGCTGGCTTGCCTCCTCTTTTTGATAGTTTGTCAGAGGTCTCACGTCTTTTTTTACGATGCGTGTGGGAGGCTCATTCCTGGGCGACGTGGGCGGAACTGCAACTGCGACGGAGACAATGCTGCCAGCAAGGAAGACAGTCACGAGAGAGGACTTCATGATGAGAGGCTCAAGACAGGCTGTTGTCAGAATATTAGAATAATATCGTGGGCAAAAGAAGACGGGGAGCGTCAACGCCCTGCGCCTGTCTTCTCCCTGTATATAGACAATGGCAAGATCTTGCCGAAGAAAGACGAAGCTGATACTGAACTAATCATCGACATAGGCTGCATTCGCAATCACACAGGTGCATGTCAAGTAATGACGTTCTGTCGGCACCTTGATGGTCCTGATAAGCCAAATGCAATGCGAAGATGCAGTCGCTTACCATGCATGGCACTTATGAGCCACTAATCTGTACCTGGTCTCGCCTGATGCAGCCTCAGCTATAAAATGAATTCAAGGTTCACATTTTTGGAAGTAAAACTATGCATCGCAGGCCTTTGAACAGTCGAGCATTCGGGCGAATGGGAGTGGGAGCGGTTGGTTCCCGTTGGAAAAACCGTTCACCCTCATCTCAGGCACTGGAGGGCGGACGCGAGGCTGAAAAGGGTTCAACTTGGGGTTGGGCGACTGCCCCAATGGGGCTATCTTAAACTAAAATGGCCAACATTTTCAAGTAAAGCGGCGTTGTCTTGACACTACGCTGGAGCACTGCAACAAGATAGGATGTGATAAGCGGCTTTGTAGGGTAAGTTATATGTTCGGTGGGATGTCTCTGCCGGTGCAGGGCTCAAATATCAAGAATCAAATATGGGTAGCATTCTAGCCTGTAGTGCTTGTTGTGTTTAACTTGTATTTCATTCGGGAAGATGGAGATCAACATGCTAACTAACGTACGTAGTAAAAAGCAAATTTCGCGGAGATACCGGAAGAGTTTGCAAAGTCACGCAGAGCAACACTAGGATACGAGCGGTTGCAGAACCTCTGCGATTTGCATCGAAATAGTAATGCATGCACGGCAGCTCTGGAATCCTGTGCACAAATCGCTGCTTTCCTGAAGATAAGGGCTGGTCTCATAGATGGAGGAGTCCTTACGTTGATGAAGTTGCACACTACTCAGTATTAGAACCTCAGCTCACTGTAGTCATGCACTGGATCGCCTTTGCCTATAGCCGCCTGTATATGATGCTAGCAGCAATGGAGAAACCGGCTCCCGTGGCATTAATCGGAACAGGAGTGGCATTTATAAAGCACTCGGATTTGAGACACATCAGTTGCAGCGCATTTACTTGTGACGTAAATAGTCAATGGTCGGGAAATCTAGACACATAGTATAGCACTTGGGCTCCGGCAATGGTGTATCTTCTTGGTATGCTTAAATGCCTATGTTCGTGATCAACGACGATTCAGATGTTTCAGTCAGTGTATGTGACAAAAGTCCTTGGGTAAATGGAGACAACGAGTCGCTCTGGAGGAGAAATATTGCTAGGTGTATTTCGCATGTTTTGCAGTGCCAATTAGGCTAGGCGAGCACGAGGATGGCCCAGGGATGCCCGTATGCTGTCTGGCAGCTATAAAGTATGGGCTTAGTTCATGATATTGTCTTTTGGAGAGTAGAGTGCTGCAATGGCAGAGTGGCCGATTCTGGGCATCCGGCTTGTGGATAGGGACGGCATCGGTTCCGGCTGCGACGAGGATGGTGACCCAGGGGTGAGGGAGACAAGCCTCGGATGTCTTGCAAATCTGCCATTAGTGAAGTCTATTGTTATAAACAATCTGCAAGCTGTAAATGAATTTTTACAGCCTGGATTTCATCTTTGCGACAAAGTAATCATGATATGCCTCAGAGGTGTGTTGTTGATTCCTTGCAACACAACACCGCACAGCATGCAACTTGTTCAGATGTGAAAAGGGGGGAGTGCCAAGGTGGTAAGGATGTGGTCCCAGCGTATCCGATCACATGAGCGCTACCTCTTCGACCACAAAGGAACCCGACTCCTGGCTTTCTTTGCTGCCTCTTCCATAGCAAAGCCAAAAGAAAAAAGTCGTTCAACCAGAGTGCAAAGCAGACAAGTAAAGCATGTTGGTCGGCCACAAGGACGTCCAAAACGAGAAGAAGATGGCGCAACAACAAAACTTCACGGAGGTCGACGAGGACAAGAACCAGAAGCTCGCTGTAGCTGACCTTGTTGATAATTCAGGGGGACGTGCTGTGTCTGTGAGCAACGCAAATGATCCCGTCGTCAACATCGCAGAATATGGTAAGTAGGATGGAGAGTTGACACTGCTACTCCAGATGTCATCATATCATTTCATTTTACATGATACCCCAGATATAATGCTAACACATCTCTCGTGCTAGGCCGATGTGACCTCCCAACAGATTTTTATGAGCAGGATCGTACACCTCAAAAAGGCTCAGAGCCGGTGAATGCCGGTGACAGTCCCGGTGGCTGCAACAAAAGTGTGAACAGCAGCAATGAGGAGAGCTCCAAATCCTCAAGCTGTGAGAGCGATGCATAGCACCACCAATCACCATATTGTGGGTGCGCTCAAGTTGGCGGCTTGCCTTTACCTCCCAATGCGAAAAAGGTCCTCAAGGCCCTGTATCAGTATCGTACTGGCATTCTCGATGCCCAGACCGTGGAAGCCGTGCCACTGGACCCTGCTGAATTTGACCTGCTGGTAGAGTACCTCTATACTCGTGCACAGCGTGAGGATATCCCGGGCTACTCTATCAAATCAACCTCTACCGTCAGCAGCAGCAGCAAAGACCCTTCTCATATCTGCTGCAGTGACCTTGACCTTGACCTTGACCTTGACCAAACAGATGGCGACCGAGTCCGGCGTTTTGTTCAACACAACAGCATTCTTTGGGACTACCAAATTGTATCGCGCCAAGTTGCTATCACCATGAAAGAGTCAAAGCTTCGCAAGGAGCTCAAATTGAGCTTTACACAATGCTGCCTGGAATTGCCGCAGAAATGGCCAACAGCCACGACCAACCCAAATATGGCACGAATATCCAAAGTCTCGAGGCCGACACAGAATATATCCTGCCCATTGCCACAGAGAACGATCCAGATAGCGACTACTTCCCGGACGATGTCAACATGGTCGAGTCGGCACCGCGAGATTCAGAGGGTCATGGTGAGTGCTCCGTCACGCAGGCGACACGGTCCCTCCTTTCAGCGACACGCCAGGCTCCCTCTCCACCACATTCGGAGGAAGACAGCCAGGAAGAGTCCGATCACGAGTACGTGTCACGGAACAAGATCGTCGATGGTGTCATTAGACACATCGTTTCAGAACCCGGCGACTTCCAGAATATGTTGCCGCCTTACATGATCTTCGAAATCGAGTTCGCAAACCCGACGAAGGCGGAGGACATCGAGTGTAAGCCGAAACCGCCCCTCTGTTACTTCTCCGCTTGCGATGCCCCGTTTCCCTAAACCTTGATCATTGAGACTGACCAAATATATCTTACCTACCAGATCTATTGCTTCAATACAAGGGCGCAATCCGATGTGCAGTCTGCCTCACTGTCTCAAACCGCGACCGGCAGAGACGCCTGGAGAACCCCGACCTTCCGTTTGGCGTGAAGATCAACGCATGGAGATGCGCCAAAGACGAGCGCGATGCAGAGCAACGATGCGCCGTGTCGCACATCATCACCAACCTCGTCCTACGCCCCGACCCCCTCCGTCCTTCCGAAGTCTCTGCTCTCGCAAACACCCATGCATCAGACGAGGCTGTCGACTTGCGCCTCAGCGACTTCCACCCCGGCTTGCCGTCCGATGTCCCAGTACGCATCACGAAGCAGGCGATCTTGGAACTTGTCGATCGAGCAGCCGTGGCGCAGTGCAAGGAAGATGCTCAGGTGGCAGCGATGAGGAACTCCCAGAAACAGATTTGCGGGCGTCGAATCGATCGGCAAAGACCAGCTCACTAGCTGCTTCCACCAGATATCTTACCCCTTAGGTAAAAGGTCAAGATTTCCTGCAATGCTATTTGCGAGTTGTCAAAGAACTAGCTCACGCAAAACAATGACTTCTGGAATGGCCAAGCCACGTGGATTAGCGTTGCAGATGAATATGAATAGGCTGCGAACCTTATATTGAGGCAGGATGAAGGGTATTCGTGGATTCGCAAGGGCTACTTGCAAACCCTTCAGAAGTGGTGTTCCCCAAAAAGGTTGACTATGTACGCTCCAGATTGGCTTACTGTCCCACTACATTCCCTCTAGACTAGAGTGCTACGAGGCACTACAGTCTATGCTACTGCAGTGACCACATCGTAGATGGAACAATTTTGCTTTAGCCAGCCACTTCGTGATATACTGCTGACCCACGGTCCTCCAAAAGGTCATCTAGATCAAGGAGGCAAGGGCTGTCCGCAGCTGCTGAGAGAGATTTGGCGAGCTCGACCACGACTGGTCGTGTTCGGCCACATCCATGAAGGATATGAGCGGGAGCATATCTCTTACGATGATGTCTGTCCAAGCCGCATATGACGGAGTGTTGATGGGGTGATGGAGGGCTGGCTGCGGTTGTCCTCATGGCGTGCAGGCTTCTTGCGAGATTCGCTTTGCAGTGTGTTCTCGCCCCCCTCGATGGTCACGCAGCCATCTCAGAGATGCTGTTCTTGTCAATGCAGCCGTGTCAGCTGGGCGTCCGGCAATCGTCGTCGAGCTTTGAGGTTCAGCCTCAGCAGCAGTCCTCAAGATCGAGCGTCTTTTGCTACCCCCTGGATGATCCCCGAGGCGAGAGGCTAGAGGCCGACATCACCGTGCCCCCTCTTCCGCAAGGAAAAAATAAATAAAATCAAATACGTTCGACTCATGCCCGTGCGTTCTGGCGTAGCGCTCGAGGAATTACATGGGCGCAACCCTAGTGACTGACTGATTTCTTAATGACCATTATCAAGATGCTCGAGTCGTCATAAGTAACAACTGCCAGCAACATTGTTTTCCCCTACCACGCAGGTGCCGGCGACATCCTGTCAAGTGACAGCTGACCTGCAATATAGTCATGTTTGTCTACGAAAAGGCGGGCGTCAAAGGGTGAGCGCTGACGAGTTGGGGTGAACCAGTTGCAGTTTGCTTCATGGACCAATATCACATTCTGTAACAACAGTCCGAGGCAGGCGAAGGCCGTGCTGACAAGCGACGTGACTGGCTAATTCCGTCCGTGCAGTTTGGAGCTTTTCGGTGGAAGTTCAGAAATAGGAATAGGTGAAAGGCATGTGACTCTTCTGTAGAGGCTGGGTAGGAATGTGCCTGGTGATACAAGACGATTTTAGTTGTTGGACGTTTCCTATCCTGGGATCTGTCCAACGACAGAAGTGACAGAAGGACAAAAACTTGCTGGGATGGATGACCCCAAGTTTCTTTTCACCGGCTGAATAATGTAAATGGGGCTCTTGCGAGGTATTTGAAGAGGATGGCTTTGGGTTGTGGTTGGGAAAGGGGGGAGAGATTCCCCGTGCATGCGGCGCGCACACAAGATGTAGTCTATCCAGGGGCTGCATTGGCAGCTTACAGAGCAAATACGGTACAACCAACAGTCCAGGAAGACACCGAATGAATGAATGAATGGTGGTCCAACGCGAACAGCAAGTACAGTAAGTAATTACCGATACCTTATCTCCCTGCCGAGATCCCCATCTTGCACCTTGTTCGTTCGTGGAAGCTTTTGGATGGCATTCTCGAACAAGGTTTTGCTAGGGGCAGGCCAATTAGCAGTCAATCTATAATAGGCTTTTTTTAAAATTGGACATACGTACAACGGTCCAAGCTTCCAAGCTTCTCAGCCGATCGCCATCCCGCTCCGCTCCTCATTCAAGTCTCAAGTCTCGCAAGCAGCCAAGACCAAGATGGCGCGTGGCTGAGCCAGGGGTTGATTAAGTTAAAGTAGCGTAAAAGCGAATTCCTGGCACCAGGTACCTAGGTAGAGTCTGGCCCACTGGCGCGCCCTAGCACTAACACTGCACTGCACTGCTCTGCGCTGCGCTGCATCGTACCGCACCGCGCCGCGTTGTATACGTAATAATAAATGGGAAATGGAAATGGGGCTGAACAGGCCAGCGAGGCGAGCCAGGGCCCCATCAATCAATCAATCAATCTCCCTTTCCCTAACGTTATCCCTTTGCCTGCATGCACATACATGCACATGGATGAGCCGGACCTACTACTTTATTAGCGATACCCCGGTTAGGTTAGTTATACCGTATACCTAGGCCAGGTAGGTTAGGTAGTTTAGAGGAAAAGCTCACGAGGCTCTTCATAGATTTCACAGTCTGTCTTCCATCACTACCAGTACTCGTCCTCCTCATAGCGCACGCATCATCGACACTTTTTTCGTGTCATATCTCCCTCCCTTCGCTCGCTAACTGTCCTTTCTCGTCTCAAAACGGAGCCCCGCGTTACGGCAGTGCGGCATTGGTACTGCACTCTTTTCGGTGCTTGCTATTCATTCAGGCACCGTGGTCCCCTCCAGCGCAGGGCAGCGCAGGGGGCGAACGCCAGGAGCCAATCGCTGGGAAACGAGAAACACGTTAGCACCGCCGGCCCGTCATCATCTTCTTTCTGCCCTCCTTTCCTCGTTCCTTAACACGACACGACGCTCGCGGGCATTCCTCTTCCTCTTCGGGCCACGACTCTGCCAATCGTCTCCTTTTGCGAATTGGGGATTGTTTCACTTCTCCATCGCCCATAATCCCATTCTTCTGCTTCCCCTTTCCCCCCCAATCCCGCCGTCGCTGTCCCGACTTTCCGATTTCCTCATCTCTACCATTTGCACCAAATCCACACATTCAAGATGAGGCTACACACTCGCCGACCGCTGGCGATCTTCCTGATCTCCTCCCTAGCTGCCACCGCCCTGGCTGGCTCGGCCGCCGATGATGCCCTCGCCAACCCGTCAATGAAGAAATACGACATTGGCACAAAAGACGCTCCCGTCGACGGCAAGGACGGCAGGCCGCACGAAGGCCCTTTCGTCGAGATAGAAAACCTTCGGAAGCAAGATGGCAGGTCAAGCGACGACCTCCCTGACCTGAAGGACAGGCCAGCAGATCCAACCGTAGTCGACGGCGAGAAAATACCACAGACCAACGATGGCATCATGTTTGACAAGAACAGGCCCGAGCCCAAGGAGGGCACAACGGGAACATCAGGCGGCGTGAGCGAGAAGGACAAGGCGCGAGCCGCAAAGGAGGCGCAGACTGGCGAGAGGGTAGAGAATAGACCAGAGACCCCCAAGGAGGCGCCGCCGCTGCCACATAGCGAGCAGGAGAAGATCTTGGGCAGCGAGGGCAAAGACAAGAGCAAGGCCAAGGACGGCCAATCCCCCGACGAAATCGCCGGGTTTGATGTAGGTTGGAAATAGCCCTTACAATGGCTACAGCTTTCTAATGTGCTCTTAGAAACCGACCGATCTGCCAGGCAAGACACACGATGCCGCTCCTCCCGTCCCCGAATCTGCGAACAAAGACCACCTCGATGTTTCAGCAGGCGGCTCTGGATCTTCCACCAGCAAGGGCAAATACGAGGAAGAGAGCCCCGACGGGCTTATTCGGCCCTTCCACTCCTTCTTCCTCTCCTTGACCATGATTCTCTTCTCCGAGGTTGGAGACAAGACATTCCTTGTCGCTGCGCTGATGGCCATGAAACATGACCGGATGGTTGTCTTCTCTGCGGCTTTCAGCGCCCTCATCACCATGACCGTGCTGTCTGCCGTCATGGGCCACGCCGTGCCAACACTCATCCCCAAGCGCCTCACCAACTTCCTCGCCGCCGGCCTGTTCCTTGTCTTTGGCGTGCGCTTGCTCCGAGAGGGCATGGGAATGAGCCCCGACGAGGGCGTGTCCGCCGAGATGGCCGAGGTCGAGATGGAGCTGAACGAGAAGGAGAGCCAGGCCCGTAAGCAGGGCCGGCGCCGCAGCTCCATCTCTCCCTACGCTCTGGAAATGGGCGTTAACAGGGCTCACACCAGGAAGTCGCGATCGCAGTCCCGTTTCCCCACGCCTCCCCGAAGCCCGTCGACTTCGCCCGGCCGCAGCCCTTCGCCACGAAGGGGCGCCCTGGGTGCCTTTGTCGACGGCGCGCAAAACCTCTTCTCTCTGCTGCTCAGCCCGGCTTGGGTCCAGACCTTCGTCATGACCTTCCTCGGCGAGTGGGGCGACCGCAGCCAGATCGCAACCATTGCCATGGCTGCTGGCCAGGACTACTGGTGGGTGACTCTCGGCGCTGTTCTCGGACACGGCTGCTGCACTGGCGTTGCTGTCATCGGTGGCCGAGCTATTGCGGGCAAAGTCAGCCTCAAAGTTGGTGAGTAACTTCGTTCACTGACCTCCAGTCTACCTAGACCCCTTGTACTGACACTGTCCTTTTTGCAGTGACCATTGGCGGCGCAGTTGCCTTCTTACTCTTCGGCTTTATCTACTTCGTCGAGGCCATCTACACATAGAGCTGTCCACACGATCCAACCGGCCTCGAATTCAATGCTTTGCACAATACACACTCATGGGGCGTTTTATCTCCTACAGACATATAATACACTCGTCACACCCACTAAGCGCTGACGACCATTCTCTTCCTGCGAGCAAAGCGAACGGGGCGCAAATTCCAGGGCCAGGGGCATCCATCCTTCTATCATCAACTCTCATACTCGCACACGCACATCACGGCCGACCAAATTCTGTTGTATAATAAACCATCACTGGAGCAAACACAAAGACACAATTACACATTGTGAAAAAATATGGGAATCAGGAGGGGAGGGTCCGTCACTTGTCTAATTGCATGGGCGGAGTCTAACGGGGGACCAGACCTTGCTTTCTGGATGGATATGAAAAGAGTCCATCTGTATCGTCGTTCGTCCTGCGTATCGTATGTAGAGGTTGGACGGTATCAGATCAGGGTTTGGGGCTTGCGAGGTGGAATTCTCTCCAAGCCAACGGGGGATATATCGTTCCGGCCATGTCATGTAGGAAGATAGAGTAAGATGTGAGCGAATTCGTCGTCACTGTAATGGAGGTTGTTCTCTCTCGTGTCTGAACATGTGCGCATGTAAAAGTGTGCGCCAGTGTTTGCGAATGATGATGCTTTGCAAAGTGATGTTTCATGTAGCATTGTGCAGTATATGCTTATTTGGGGCCCTGGATGTACACACACATATTGCTGATGCAAGAGGCTCCCAGATCTACGGGATGCCAAGGTACATTGGGGAGATCCCCTGATTATAATATCCCAAACCGTGGAAGGGGGATAAATAATTAGGCGTCCATTTAAACCCCAGTCTTCTCGTCTTCTTTCTTGTCTTGGTTCCTGGGACGTGAATAGCACCGCTGAATAACAGGCTTTAGAGATATATGGATCTTAAGCTCATCTCGATTCAACCAGCTCAGTCTCAGCTCAGCTCAATTATTCAGTCGCTTGGTGAGACACTTGGAGCACAAGAGCGAACTTGGAGCGGCGTCGTACTCAAACAAGGTCCGGTAGGCGGGTAGTGAGTGGCTCCAGTCTAAAGTCCCAGGTCCGTCCAACATTCAGCGTCTGTTTTTCCAACGGGTAATTATCGATGCAGTGGGGGTAAGCATAGCGTGCGATATAAAGAAAATCTTAAAGGATAGCATTCTTTGAAAGTTACCTAGCAGCCTAAGTACGAAGGGGCGGAACATACTGGGAGATGCATACCTCCCTACGTAGGTAGTGGTCCCATTTTGGGGCTAGCGGCAGGCTACAAGAGGCAATTCTCTCTGACCCTGACCCTGACCAACCAAAACAAACCTCCTCCACATAAAACGAGCAGTGTCCTAGCAAAAACCCTAACCCTTCTTCTTTCTCCTAACCCTCGTTCTTCAACTCAACCTCGACTTACACGAGTGGCCCTATCTTCACACATCACACACTATACTCAAGACATCAGTCTCAACCATGACAGGCCGCGGCCGTGGTCGCAACGGTAAGGCTGCGGCAAATCGCGCCGGTGAAGATGCCCCTGCACCTGGTAAGCCATATATGCACACGTCCAGCAAGACAAGTTTACATACTGATAGGTCCAGAAAATACAATGCCGCCCCCGGCAACTACCAGAGTGACCAGAAGCGCCCAGGCGCAGTCCAAGGAGGCCAATAATGAGCCTCAAGTCCCTGTGAGGCAGCTGGAAATCCCTCGACGAGGGACGCGCCGAGAGGACCGCGCACAAAGTAAGGCTAGTGTCGCGAGCATCTCGTCACTCCGCTCCGCTCGCACCGGAACCGATTTCTTCCAGTCTCAACAATCTCAGGAACCTCAGGGTAGGCATCTTGTTCTGAACTGGCAAATTTTTATTTGCTGATGGAATCATTTTAGTTGCAGCGAGTGATGTCTCAGAGGATGATGACAACCGGGACCGCGAAACCACGGCTGTTTCCGTAGTAGAATCGCCTGCCCAACAAAAGGCCAGGTTCAGACTGATGAACAAGTTTCTTGAGAGGCTTTACACATCAGCTAGGGATCTCCTAGACCATCTGATTGAGCCAGACCAGGATGATGTCTGGCATGCGGAGTTGCCTGCCTTCCGCGATGCGTTCAACCGCGACCGTGAGCATTATTATCGCGAAGGCAGTCCCTACTTCCTTGACCTTAACTATGTCCTCGAAAGTCTGCAGGCTGACCTTAGCTCTACATCTGGTCTAGCTGCAGCAAGAGTTATCGCTGCGGAGAATGTTGTTTCTTATCTCGCCAACATCAAAGCCACGACTCTGAGTGGACCAGAAAGCGAGATGCCCTTGACCATGCTACAGGCGATGGACAATGCTCTCGGCAAAGTCCTGGTTTCGCTCCAGGCATGTGGTATTCCGCGCTGGGCAGATGATCGCGATAGGGCCGCGCTTGAGCTGGCTTTGGAACTCCGCACACAGCTCTTCATTGCGACCTACAAACAATTCGGCTCGCAACAAGAAGATCCCCTCGGATTACTTGCCCACGTGTTCTGTCATCCTAATGCCGTCGAGAATGCCGAAGATGAGGGGTCGCTCCGTGGACTGTTGGATCGAGGCCCTTATGCACGGCTGATGGGAACCGATGTGAATCTGGCAGTATATATTCGCAATCACTATCAAAACCGAATCAAGGCCATTCTTGGAACGTTCGAATACGAAGGCAATGATCGATACAATATCATTGTCACCCGGCTGGAAAGCGAATTCTCGTATGACGGCTTTGTGGATGATGTAGAGGACTGGGTCCGAGAAACCTTTGACCATATTGAGGATGTGCGGATGAGCAGGAATGCATCGCAGCAGTCTCCGAGCCTGGCACTTGGACCTCGAGAGCAGTCTATGGAGCAATCACAAGCTGATGACTCCCAAACCGACTCGGATCTCAACTCTCAGCCCATTGTTCGTGGCCCGCCGAACTCGTCAGCGTAAGTCCTCCCCCCTTCCTCACCCGTTCTGATCTGAGTGAAGACTAACATCTTCAAGACCTAGCTTGCTCACCTCAGACTCAATCCTGAGACTGAAGCAGCTGGAATCTGGATCTGTAGCCATTCCGCCTTCGAATCAGCGAGCCGCAGCCAATGGCTCCAGCAGTGCCAGCCTGTGGCACCAAGCAGCCACTCCCGGCCCTTCGAACAATGGTACCTTGTATGCCGAGTCTGCAGCGAACTCTGCAAAGCGGCCATATGTGGTGGGTGATGGGCAGTTCGACAACGACGATGACGACGCCTTCGAGACAGACAACAGGGCTCCCAGCTCCCAGCGTCGTGCTCAAGCACCCGGCCGTCAACGGACATCCCCAAAGAGAGTACGCATCGCACCCGGAGAGACCGAGATGCTGCCGCCGCCACCACGTTCGCGCGTGGCCCCGTCCAGCGCTCCACCGCGGCCGTCCGCCTCGGCCTCGGCACTCGGCGCCTCGCAGAAGCTGCCGCCGCCGCCCCCATCCACGGAGCCGGACCTGCTGCAGCTCTCGCAGATGTCCCGGCAGATCTCCATTGCCCACCGCCGGCCTAGGGAGCCGCAGCGCAGACAGGCGTGGAGCCGCGACGACACCAAGACGCTGATCCGCGCCGTGTACACGTACGAGTGCAAGTGGGCCCTGATCGCGCGGCTGGCCGCCCAGCGGCAGATCCCCTTCGACCACGTCCGCGACCAGCAGGCGCTGCGGGACAAGGCGCGCCTCGTCAAGGTCGACTTCCTGAAGTAAGTACGCTGCACACTGCCACTGTCTCTCCGAATCCAAAGACCCTACCTTGTAGAATAGAGAAACTAAAGCTAACGCCTGCGCCTCTCGCACGCAGAACCGACAGCGTCCTGCCGCCCGGCTTCGACGGCGTCGTCCTCGGCCAGAAGGAGCGCCGGATCGTCGTGGACTGCGGCCGGAACCCCGATCGGAAGGAGGCGGACATCGACCCGGAGACCAACCTGCCGACCAACACGGTCTACGTCGAGGATCCGTTCGCGTAGGTGATATTCAGAGGGGGGCGTTCTTCGTTACAGTTGGCTTTCGCTATCGCTATGCGTGTAGAGAGGGGTTCTCTCGTAGGAATATTGAGCTCCCAAGTGTCGTGACTGGCTGCGTCTATTCCCTTTTGGCTTGAGCTTGGGGTCCTTTCGATGCATGGATGGATGGATGGGTGGATGGACGGAGTCTCAAAGGATGATGATGCAAAGTATTGGAGGGCAATTAGCATTCAGATCTGTTTTATTACTTTAATTCTCTCCTACGTGCGCTGTACAGAACAAACCGCTTCTTTTTATGAGTACGTAGCTGCTCCCAAGGACTTCGATTACAATCACTAGGCAGCAAAAAGGCACGAGAAAATGTGAATAGAATTGGAAGAAAGCCTCTGATACTACTTGCATGCTGGCTCGCGCAATCGTAAAGATAGGCAGTTTCATTCTCTCCTGCTCATTCTCCCTCCTCCTGGCTAACAAAAGAGAAACTTATAAAAATATCCACGCATTCTCGATGCTCCTTCTCAGCACACTCCCTGCTTTCAAGCTTCAGTAAGGCTAATATTTGTTGGGTCACAGTACTTGTTCATTCATGCACCCTCCGAAACACTTGTCGTCCTGCAAACCAGCCCTTCCACGCATCTTGGGGGAATCCTAGAAGAGAAGAAAAAGAAGATAGAAAAGCTCAATCAATACAATACTCCTGACATAACACGACTTTCTTGCTTTTCCGGACGTCAAGAGACCTCAGATGCGCAACTCTCAGCCCGCCTAGTCGTTCAGAGCAGAAAACAAACCGTGACATACTCTTTTGAGCAGTGCGGTCGTTCAGGTTCTGAAGTACAAATAGAAGGAAGACATGAGAGGGAGTAGCCGTCCATCTCCGGGTGCGCCCTGGCACATTGATCCGTGTATGTGGGACCAAAATTCCGTGAGGCCGCTATAATGAGGTAGTCTTTCCCATATCGAGATTTTTTACAGCCGAAGAAGTAGATGAGCCGATCCATGGAAAAAAGGAAATTGGGTATGCTGCTGTACGTAGTGGGTTTTTGATGACAGTAAGACAGGTAAAGAAACGTAAATATCGAAGTGTCCGCTAAGCAATCCAGCAAGGGATGTCGGCATGTGGCGCTTTTAATCGAGTCGTCATATGATAAGCCAAACTGTAAGAGCATAAAGAGCATGCAGAACGTCTTCTAGTTTGATGATCCGGACAGATCCAAAGTCCCGAAAAGCACCATAGCGGCTCTGCCCGGACACCTTTTGCATCGATCATCGTCTTCGGCTTGGGCCATCTCGCTGCTTGAGACGGCTGGTTCTCCAGCCCTCGTACCATTGCTCCCTGCTTGCCTCACGAAGCTCGGCACGCCACTCGCTGAAGACTGCATCCTTGAGCCTCAGGAAATCGCAGTGCTCATCATTGTAAGGGTCCGCGAAACCCCACGGGAACTGACGGCCAACAATGCCGGGCTCGTAGATATCGGGGCTGATGATTGACATGGGGATAAATGGGGCCTCATCCTCTTTGAGCTCGTCTTGCCCTCTGCTGCGACGAACAGATTGGCCAGAAAGTCTCTTGGAACTCTTTGAGGCGGGTGACTGCGAACCCTGGATGGGGAGTTCATCCTCTTCCGGAGTCTCGGCATCGCTGCGTACGAGCTCATCCTCGTCCTCCTCTTCAATTCTGCTAGAATCAGGAGTGGCTTCCGAGGCATCATCGTCCAGGCCAAGAACATCAAGAGGATCAAGGTTAGCCTTCTTGAGGCTGTCCCAGACTGCCTTCTTGAGCACATTCATGTGCTTAGTCGTGATAGTGTCGGCTTTTGCAATCACGGGGATCACAGTAGTCTTGCCCTGCAAAGTACGTAGGACCTGAAGATCGAGATCTTCATCAAGACTGCCAATGACACGAGACTGCGGGTGGTATTTCCCATTCTGGCCGTTGGAAGACAGTGCCTTCGCTGCGGAGATGTTGCGATCAAGACGTGCAGGATCGAGGACTAGGAAGGCAGCATGAATGTGGGTATCCTGTACACCAGGTGATCTTACGACCTTCATCTCCTCTGTGAATGTCTCCTCAAACTTGCTCTCCAGGAATGTCGACATCTCTCGGAGCTGCAGGTCGACAACATTCTTCTCCAAACCTTCCGAGTCCCATAGTGTCAGTCCCACACGCTCGCCATCAATTTCTGTCTCTAGATAGTGGGGAATGAAGTTGCCGGATGGTGGCGACCTTGGGGTGAACTCCTCTGGGTCGATGGTGCTCTTGGATCGCTTCTTCGGCGGCAGGGCGAGGGCGCTCTTGAGGAACTCGAGGAACGAAGTCTTGCCTGCGTTCCGGGTGCCAATGATGAGAATACTAAATTGGGATTAGTCATTTGATGCCTTGCGCGAGAGATATGGGAACGGCTTCACATACTTGAAAGGGGTGGGGTCCTTGCGTCTACGGACCCTCCTTGGGCTGTTGATGGTGCTGATCGCACTGCTGGCGTAACTATATCGCCCACGGTGTGTCATGCTCTCAGTGCGGGCGTATGGGTCGACCCAGGCACCGTTCGGGATGGGAGGAACGGGAACGCTGGTCGAGGCACGACCTGGAGGATCCATTGAAGGACGAGGTGTGTAGTCGCCGCGGCCGGAGACGATTGCTACAGAGTCGGGACGAGTCTCGCCACCAAATGACTGAAGCTGAGGTGCGGGAGCGCCGTTGTAGAGTTGAGGCAGACGTGGGGGGGATTTGGGAATTGCAGCATCGCGTTGTCGCTGGAGCTCTTGCTCTCTGAGAGCCTGCTGCTTCTTGGATCCCTTCCCCAGGTCGCCGGATTTACTGCGTCGCAACAACATTCCGAGGCTCGAACGACGAGGCGGGGGGCTCATTCTAGTTGTAAAGGTGAGCACTCAAATGAGCATAGATAAATCGTTTCAGCTCCCAAAGAGGTACTGCGGGAGCAGATTGGCAGGTGAGACCGGGAATGACCACAGCTTGCAGCGCCAATGGTCAAGCTGATACCAGAAGCTCCACGGGAAGGAGCCACACACACACACGCACACTGCAAGGAACTGCACTGAGCAGTTATCGAGGTAAGGTGCGATTTGAAAGGTGGTGGGTGCGGAAGGCACTGGGCGCGGTTTCCCTTCACAGCCTAGACGCTTTTCCTGTGGTTCTTGCCGTTGGCGGCTTTAATGGATAGGTTGGGATGGGGATGGGGTGTAGGTAGGGGAAAGCGCTTGGTTGATTGGCGCTTCAGTCGGGTCGATCTTCGAGCGCCGCTTCTGCTGCTCGCTTGGTGGATATGTTCAAAAAAGGTGAGAGCGACGGAACAGTCGATGGAGCCAAAAGGGGCAGTCGGGTAAAGGCAGGTCTGGTCCAGTCAGGCCAGGTTAAGAAGGGGCAATGTACGTCAAACTCTCGATGTGAGTGAGGGAGTGACTGACGTGGGCGACACGGCGGTAGCTGGCGGGTTTGATGTCTGGAGTAATTATTCTGGTCAGCCTATGACAACTGATCGTCGCCCACTCTTGCAATGGACACCAATTGACGTTGGTCAACCGATGGCAATTGCGACTGTCTGCGACTCGCCCGCCAGAGCTGGATGCTGGATGGATAACTGATGGCCACTCGTCGCAGTTGCAGCAGCAAATTGACACCCGTGAAATTGGCACTAGGGGACCGATTGCTCAGACAGTTTCCACTTTGCCCGTTTCTGCAGCGTACCGGTATGCACAATGCAGCCGGTTGAAGACAGTGCTCATCTCATACACCCAATCCTGCCAATTCCAAAGAAAAGATTATAATACGCACGCTTTTTCAAGAAGGCGAGACTTCGATCGATGGAAATCGCACGCGGCACGGTGGTTCGGCCGTTCTGGTGAGGCGGGTTCAGGGGGAAACGAAGGGTCGAGCTGACGCTGTTTCCAAAGGGGCGGGTCAACGGTGGAGTGAACCGAAGCGAAAGAGAAGGAGAGACGCAAAAGATACGCTTGAAGAAGCGAAACGAGGGTAGAGAAGAGACGCAGAATCAAAGCTGCTAAACACGCCTACAGAGCTCGAGCTTCTGTGTGCAGTTTGGCCCGGTGGTGAGGCTGCCAAAATCCAGAAACCAGAATCCAGGTGCTGCTGCTGCAACCAGGAAATTCCGGGACGGTTTGAGGGGGCAGAAAAAGGTTACACTACTCGCGACGACCACGCAGAAAAGCCCCGACGAGATGCCAATCAAAACGACCTGGTGGACTGTGCTGCGCTGGGCGAATGCTGCGTGAGCCGGGGTGCATCAAGGCCACGCAGGTACGGGATGAGGGAGCAAGCTGCCTGTGTGGAGCTGGCTAACTTACTGCGTAGTAGTTGGAGCCTGACGCCGCTAACCGCAATTTGGAGCATGCGGAAAGGAGCTTCGCCAAAAGGTTGAAGAGCGACAGACACTTGGACAGAACTATCGCAAGCCCGGAATCGGACGAGATCTCAAAGTTTGTCTCCCGTTGCGTTGCAGTCCGAACGGTGGAGGTGTTTCAATTCAAAGTTGGCAATCTACAACGGCGTCCAGCAAGTCGGGGTTGAGTTGCATCACTCTGTCTTAGACGGCGTGGCATATGAGACAATGTCTGATATGTAGTCTCCCGTATCTGGGGCGGTCGCTCGCTGCCGATTACCGCTGGGTTATCTACAACACTTGCTCCGTCTCTTTTCATCCCCCGTTTACCTGCTCTCCACCATGATATCGTCTTCTCAGGCTGCACTGCTTACGAGGTCGCCGCCGGTACTCGAGACGCGCCCCCTTTCTTCTGCCGATGGGCTGACTCCCCAGAGATCTCGAAGAAATAGGAGAAGCAGCTAACAGCCAGATCCTAGGCTACCTGGCATGTATCGCATGTCTCTCCTAAGCCAGTGGAGCTGCTGGATTGGCTCCAGAGTTAGGTAGCCCAGTTTGATGACAGGCGACGCGACCCCTTTAAATTGCAGGCAGCGGGGTGGGTTGCTGGGCCCTTGAAAGTCGCAGGATAGGCCAGGCCAATTAAATCGCGTGCGCTCCGACCAGCGTGAAAGGTGACCATTCCGGACACATTTTCGAACCAAGGCGCTCCATTTTCATGCCCCTACGGCTTCCTACAGGCCCGCCTGCCACGAGCCATGCCTTTTTGCTCTGTATCACCGAATCTATCGAAGCGGCCAGGCAAGACGCCGCTGATAGTGGACGGTCAGCAACAGAAATGCTAATCTTTAGCACTCTTCACCGTATCCACTTGTGCAGCTACCTTCAGCTGAGTTGATTTCGAGACCAGATCTGTAGTGAAGAGTGAAGAGAGCTGTCGTTGTCAGATTTCAACTTTGCAAAAAGGACCTCCGCAAATGCGGAAAAAAAAACCCTGCTATGCCTATCGAGACAATGATTATCAAATCTCCACTGTTTCTTAAAGGGAATCTATATAGATGCTAAAGCAGTATATTTTAATACTAAATGTATCAAATATATAAGGCGCACATGGTTCTGTATACTTATATGTTTGGAATGAGTATGCTCTCGCTAATATCCACGAAGTGTTCGTGACGCATGATTGGGTTGTATTTGAGAATGCATCAAGATACTATGCGCAGTAAGTCCCTTGATTCACATACTCACAACCTGGCTCAACCCATTTTTGGAAAGGGCCTTCTACCAAGATGGGGTCCGTGCACACACGTACGGACCCCGCCGTGAAAGCTGCCGACGACTGGCGGCCGGGGGAGGGGCCATTGTCTTTCTGTCCCACACAACTCACACAACTCGCGATGATCGTCAACAACCGTGACCGCCATGAAAACATAAAGCATATATGCAAGCTCATTCTGATAGCAGAATGATGGCAAATACTATGCGCTCGACAGACCGGAACGGTCTTGTCCCTAGACACCGTTCTCGACATTTGTGTGACGCACCAGACCCACGCTCGTGGCCAGAGAACGTCTGCACCGTCCTCAACTTCATCCAGCAGCATCGCGATCACGAGGGCAATTCCAACAAAGACTCTTTTTCCAATTGGGAGACCGAGTTCTGTGCGCAAACCTCGCTGCCTCTCGAGCCTGCTGAGTACGACTTGCTCATTGAGCTGCTGCAGCTGACCGACACCGACGATGTCACAGACCTTAAGGCCAAGGCTCAAACTCAGGCTCAAAATGTCGTCGAGGATTTCGACGTCGATGCGCTAGATGACGTGCCACCGGAGACAACAGGCAAGTCAAGAGCTTTAGCTTCTATTTTTCCGTTTCCTTTCACTTTCCTTCCTCTCTCTGTTGTACGCGCGATATTCGCCTCTGCCTGCTGCCCGGATAAGACAGCCCACCCAGAGTCCTGCCTACTGTAGTCATTTCCTGCGATCTAGCACACGCGTCTCCAATCACCCTCCCTCGCTCGTTGTTGTATGACATTAGACGGAATCAGATTTTGCTAACTTGCCAACGTTTGCCTACCTGCAGTTTCCAGCGTCCCCATCCCCATCGCTCCCACTGCGGCCCACTTGCTCGAGCTCGACAACGAAAACAAACACATCCAGAGCGACGTGCTCTCTGTTACTTCTCGTGCTCTACTTCGACAGGACCTTGCCTCCCTGGGCCGCCATCTGCACCAGCACATGCGCCCGCTCCTCTACAACCCCCGCCTGTGCACGATGACCATCACACGCCAGCCCGAGACGTCCTTCCACCTGTGTTTCAAGGACTCTTTCGGTCAACTTCTTGCCGAGCGTTCGCAGAGGGCCTGCTCCGGCTAGTACCGGGAGCAGAAACAGCAGCGGAAGAAGTGCGAGAAACAGTGCGGCGAGAAAGACCAGGAGACAACACATGTAAATGAGCTTTTCGAAGGATGCTATTATGAAGAGCTCCACCCGGCCGGCATCCGGTGCCGGTTCGAGCTGCCGCTGCCCGACGGGAGCGCCAGGCCGGGTATACAGCTTGGGTGGGCTTGGCAGTTTCCCAGGCCGATTGTTGTGGAGGTGGACTTCGCGAGCAAGACGAAAATGCGGCAGGCAAAAGGTAGGCTGGCCAGTTTGATTTTCTTTTTTGCTCTGTGCGCCTCAACCGTAGAACTACCATCAAGCTAATCAAAGACATCCACGACAGACTACATCCTCGGAACAAATGGCAAGATCCGTGCCGTCATCATTCTCAATTGCACCTACGCCAGCCGCCAGAAGCGCCTACAGCACCTGAGCAACAGCAACACCAGCAAGCACAAGCACAATCTGGAGCTTCCCGGCAAACTATTCAAGCTCACCATGACGATCCTCCACGCTATCACTACTCTCGAAGGAGCTGAGATCAAGGCCGAGGAGGGTTCCAAGAAGAAGACCGAAGTCTCTCACAGCATCAAGACCAATGGCAAGCCCGAGCCCGAGCAGCATCATCTCCGCCTCGGAGTACACATCTCGGCGGCCCACGTCCCCATCACGTCCACGTCCACCGGCTGCCTCGCCCTCTCCCTCCACGACCTGGACCCACGCCTCCCGCGCCACGTCCCAATCGACATGCCCCTGCGCGACGTTTACGCGCTTGCCGAGCAGGCGGCCGAGGAGCAGGCCTTCGCGGACAGCTACTACCCCGCTGCCACGGCTTCATCAGCGCCAGCGGGAGACAGCAAGGACCAAGGTGACGGCACGAGGAAGCAGAAGGGGCTGAAGCAGGACCAGATTGCAGGCAAGCCGAATGCCACTGCGATGCGCCACTCGGTATTGGCACAGATCAAGGCGAGGTGTGTGGAGGAATACGCAGGGAAGAAGAGGTTCTACAGCACGCAAAGCTGGAGCCGCACCGTCCACAATCCTACCACTGTCACGTCGTCGTCTCTGTCTCCGATGGTGGCTCCAGCCCCACCAGGCCAGGACTCTCGCCGTGCCCTCTCCCGGCCTACAGCATCGGCTGGTCTCGTCGCAACACGACGACCTCTTGGTCTCGCTCTCCTTCATGCTCGCGACGCCGCGCGTGCGGTCAAATGGGCAGGCGGCTTGTTTTCTCGACGTCTACGATGAATGGATAAATGGGGGTGGATAAATAGGCGCACGACTGAACGGAATATGCCTGGATATTGCAAGCAAGGACAGGATGCGTCGAGTGAGAAGTCAGAGGTCTCCTTTTTCCAGCATGGCATGATGTTTGCCACGGCGTTCTGTACGAGTGGACGTTAATCGAGGGTCCTTGCATGGTGTGTTGTGGGAATACAATCTGAATATTCATTCCATATCCTAGTCTGTAGAGGTGTAGTATTAGGTCAAGGTCAAGACGATTTCCCCGCTGCTGGAATAGCCCTCTTGATTGCCGGCTGTCGCTGTTCGTTGCTTCGTTGATGATCCTTACTTAATGGAGTATAATAGGGGTTTTTTTTTTTCGCATTTACAGAGGTCCTTTTTGCAAAGTTGGTCAGATTTGTGCTTCTATATGACCTGCTCCGGATTGAACGCATGGTCAATTATACATTGATTGCTGCATTCTGTATTTCCCTCATTGCGCAGACCCATTAAGTGCGAGGGTCTCGCCCAGCGTGAATCCCTGCAGTTGGGGCTCAAATTCTGTCTCGGAGATCTGCTCTGTGGACAGAGTGGGTTAGTCTGCTCCTACCAGTTCTCATGTCAGTTCTCGAATTTCCGGCTCTTGGAGGCCCAGGATTAGAGGGAAAGCAACGGTTTGGCTTGTTTCAGGATGGCGCCCGCATGAACCATCTTCCTGAAAACCTAATATCCCTTGGAGATGGATATTGCTGGGAGGGACCCGCGTCCTGATTCTTATGCTACAAGAGTCTTGATCATGCTGCCTATGCCAGGAGAGACTACCCTCCTCCACCTGAGGCTGAACGCCGGTGGGCTCATTGTTTGGTTCTTTGGTGCACAGTCTTATGGATAGTATGTCATAACAAGATCAAGATCATAACAAACAAAACTCCAGCCGCAACGCGGCATTGGATCTAATTGACAAGGGTATTGCCTATATACAGCATCGCCAACTCCTTTTGGACCATGAACCTCTTACCGCTTCCGCCTTTCTCTCTTAAGACGGTATGCGTCTATGCTGTCTATGTTGTATAATTTTACAGTAGTATGAGTACAATGGCCTCATTCCACATCTCAGCTTCATTTAGCCTTCAAAGACATCGTGCTAGAATAGCCATGTCAGTAATCTCGTCGACTTGGAAGGATGGGACGAAGTCCGATAGTCACTCACCTGCAGTTCAACTCCAAAGTCCTTGGCCATCCCCTTCATCCTCGCCTCGACCTCATCTTCCATGCCGCCACCAATGCCGAGGATCTGGCGGATGCGGAAGAAGTAGAAGACCACGTCCGTGCCAAACATAACCGTCTTGAACAGCACATGGCGCCACATGTTCTCGAGCCGCTGGTGCCAGGGAAGGCTGCGGTCCTCGAACAGGCTGCGGCTGGCCCACTCACCCATCATCTTGACGCGGTTGACGGGCGAGCCGAGGAACTGGTTGTTCCCCTGGACGATGCGCATGTTGCGCCCGATGAAGATGAGCTCCTTGGGCCACTTCTCCTCGTCGTGCAGCATCTCCCGGATGCCCTGCTTCATCCGCTGCTGCATCTCGTAGTGCCGCTCCGCCGGCGTCTTGCCTTCGAACTCGCCCAGCATGCGGTTCTTGAACGACTCGTCGCCGCCCTCGTACGGCCGCATCAGCGTCGCGCTCGCGAACAAGTCTGCCGCTTTGATGCCCCACTCCTCTGTGATGGCCGTAATGGTCTTGTTGTCGAACGTCATGAGGGACTTCCAGAAGACGCCGTACTCACGGCGGAATTTTTGTGACATGTAGACGTACAAGCCGTGGTCGATGAGGACCAGCTCCGATCTACCGGATGGCAACCTCCGGATGAAGATGTTTCCTGGGTGAGGATCGCAGTGAACGACTCCGAACTTGAATATCTGTGCCGAGAAGAGGTCGATCATGGTGGTCATCACTTCCTTGGGAGACAGTCCCAGTCCACCCTTTCCGCGCGGACCCTTCCAGCCTGTCCTGTCAGGCTTGAGCTGCTGGCTCTGCGGATTCTCCCGCAACTCCCGTCGGACCTCATCCATGTTAGGCGGTTCCAGAGGGGCACCGTGTACACCGGGCGAGCCTTTGCCTCTGCCACCTAGCCACGGCCCAGTCATGGATTCCTTGTCCCATAACCTAATGCCCTCGATCCATTCTGTTGTAAGCACGCGCTTCGAGCTGAGCTCGGGGTACACCGTGGGAACATAGACTCGTCCACGGAGGGAAGGCTCCTCGTTGATAAGCTGGCGCATTGTCTCCGAGTTCTTTGCCTCATTGATAAAGTCCGTCTCCAAAAATAGCCGCTCAGTGATGAAGGGGACAAGACTGTATAACGGGAGATCGAACCACTCTGTATAGATCTTCATCACCACTCTGTCCACGAATTAGCAAGATGACGAGGTAGGCCCATCAACAATGAACAATGACTTACTTGAAAGCCCACAGATCCCACCCGATCTGTTTCGCTATCTCAGGCTTCTGGATCTTGACTGCCACCTCCCTCCCATCTGGCAGTCTCGCCCAATGCACCTGCGCCACGCTGGCACTCGCCCTCGCCGTCCTCTCCATAACGCCCTTGCCCTCCTCCCCAGTGAAGCTCACTCCAAACACCTCCTGGACGCTCCGCCCGCCAAAGTCCGCCTTGACCACCGCCTCGACGGCCTCCCACGTGTCCTGCGGCGCATCGTCGAACATGCGCGCAAACATCTTCTGGAACTCGGGCGGGAGCACGGCACTCTGCATCGCGATCGCCTGGCCGATCTTGAGGTACAGCCCGCCGTTGTGCCGCAGCAGGTCGAACAGGCGCTCGGCGTTGCGGCGGTGCAGGTCCTCGATGCCGCCGGCGGCCCCGATCAGCGGCAGCGGCGCCGGGCGGAAGTTGATCTTGTAGTCGAGCGCGACGAACAGCCCCAGCGCGAACGTGTTGACCGACCGCGCGATGCCGCTCGCGTACACCTGCCGGTCCGCCACGTACACGGTGCCCAGCACCGCCGACAGGATCGCCAGCCGCCGCAGCCATTTGCGCGTGCGGCGGAAGTCGCGGGCGGCGCGGGGGGCGCCGAGCGAGGAGGGTGTCGGTGGACGGAGGGGCTGGAAGGGCGCTTGGGACTGGTAGAGGCGGAGGGAGGAGGGAGGTCGTGTGCGTGGTGAGAAGGTCGGGAATTGCCAGAGCGGCGTCGAGGTTCTTCGGAGGAGGACTGGTGTCGGTAGGCCTTGTGTAGTGGCCCCGGTCCGCCGACACAATCCCACTATGCTCTGACGGAGCATGATTGTCTGTCTGTCTGTCGTTGCCGAGGTGGAAGTCGTAAGCTTCCGAGCCTCATGTAAGTCGTGACAGGACAGAAAAAGAAGGATTAAGAAAATTTGAGTGTGCGATGTGGTTTGGAGCCGGGAGGATCAATGACATCGACGGCCTTATCGGTGTTCTGGTCGCCGGTGTGTCCGATCCTGCCAGGCGGTCTTTTTTTCGGCCGACCAGCGACCAGTCCCCGAACTTAAGCTCCGTAACTGATCGGGTATACAAACCCAGCTCAAGATCAGAGCCTCAACCAGCCGGAGTGATATTCGCAGGTTCGGTCATAATACTGTGAAATTCTTACTTTCGCCCGTTTATTTAGTGGTACCTTTGCTCTTGATTTTGCGGAAGCATCTCAGAGCAGACCATTCTCACGAGGGCAATCGCCGCATTCAGACCGAAGATTATAGCGGCAGATCCGTGGAGTCTCCGGTCTGTCGCTATTAGAGTGCAATGGCTTTCACGGCTGCATTTTCCCCCCTTCTATTTGCATGACATGGAGGGACAGCATCCGCCCATTTCGTGCTCCCCCTTTCCATTCTATGCCGCTACGTTCCATATCATACAAACCCTACCTGTCCGCCTGCACGATGCGAAATTGGCCGCATCAGACCCTCGACTCCCCGGGCTTAGCCCTTTATGACGGTGCCGGTCCGTCTTTGATTCGTCATGAAGGATAAGCCTTGCATGTACGTATTCCTCAAGACCCCCCATCCCACCTCTCCTGCTTCTTCCTGGGAGGCACGGGCTCAAAGTCCGAGTCCTCAGCATCCGCCTTCTCTCTCCTCCTGGCACTCAAACCACCGCTCATCAGACGACGTCATCTCCTCGGGCGAAAAGTCCCGCTCCTTCGCGAGCGGTGTCCAGTTCACCGTCACCATGCCCGGCCTCGGCCTCTGCCTGTCCGTCTGGCGCCGTGCCCTATCGAGCATCTCTGCGAGCCACTTGAACGAGATTCGCACTTCGGCTACTTCCCCGCCTCTATAGATGATCTCGGGCGCGAAGTCGGCTAGGGAAAGACGGATCTCTTTCTCTGTATTCTGATGATCGTGGGAGCTCGATTGGAAGGGCTAAATGGAACAAGAAAACAGTTAGCTTATCGCTCATTCAATGCGTATGGCGCGCGCGCACAAACCCTAGAAAAAGCAGGCATGGTTGGTTGGTGGACGACGGAAGAATGCAGAGAGAAGGAGAGGTCGTGTCGGAGGGGATATGTTGAGAAGGGAAGCAATACCTCTTGTTCAATGATGGATTGTATACCGAGGCAGTCATGTCCGTTTGTGACGACATGTTTGGCTCGGTAAAGGGAGACTGTTGATGGAGCATTAGAGCCGTTGGGGCCAGGAGGGTACGCGATACTGATGGCGATGGCTGTGCTTATATTTCCCACTCCACGCGTAATATGTCCTCGGGCACATTTGGCTACAAGGCGTTCTGCCTGAGAGTATCCAATTTCCAATACTACCCCCGGATAGAGAGCATCATGGTGCTTGAATTGGCCGTCGGGATCGGCTCGGTTGAGACTCCTATCATCACTATCTTTATCTTTGGCAGCGGTTGTTTCGGTACTCGAAGAAGGGCCTCTCTAAGGCTTAATTTCGGTCGATCTCCCGTCAATTATCAGACTAGCAAATTGCCGAGTCTTCTCTGAGAACTGGGTTGATGTAGCGATTGCTTTAAGCTGATCGACAATCTCGGTTGAGAGGAAGCTTAAGAAGTATTCGTGGATAGGAGTAAGCATTTTGATGATGAGGACAGCAGACGTTGGACTGTAATTCAGCCTGTAGCAACCGAAAAGAGATTTGCTCGTCAGCCAGCTGGTCAATCAGGCATTACGTTGTGGAGTGCTAATGGGGTCAGAGCATGGCAAGGAAGAGGGAGGAGGAAGGAGGGAGAAGGATTGTCGACACTAAGCACAAGATGGAGATGGGCAAAACTGACCGTAATTTATCCCGAACGTAGGCATCCAATGTAGGCTGGAGCCTCAACTCTCCAAGCAGTTGGTGGTAGTGACTAGGGCTCATTTTGATGGGAGGAACGGGTAATGAGGGTGGTCTGCCGTTGAAGCACTGCCTGAAGATGAGCACGGCAGGTAGATCGAAGTCGGAGTTTTGGGTACCAGATGCAGGTACATATGCTGAAGGTATTGATAGGCTGTTGTTGTTTATGTCGTTGTTCCTGTTGTCTTGGTTGATGCTGGTTTTGGTGTCGTTGTGAACCGGATCATCAATCCGGACACTGTTGCTACTCGATTCGAAGGTAGGAGTGTGAGGATGATGTCTTGACATGACTGTTTCGGGATGTCGGAGTCCATCGTGTAACCACAAGTGCCTCACTGCACGGCATTCGACGTGTTCGACGAAACCAGGGCAAGACAGAGAGCCAAGCAGTAATTGCGTCTGACTTGACAGTCGTATCTAATGAATGTTCATACAATAAATCGAAGTCGACATCTGAAAGGAGCCTGAAGGGGATAGAAAGACAACGAAAGAGAAAAAGAGAGGTTGTGCGTCATCTTGTGATAGCGCATGTGTTTGTCTTGTCTACACGTAAATACTATCAGGAAGCTGTTAGTGGATGAGTTATCGATTGTGAGCTGTTAGTGGATGAGTTATCGATTGTGCACGCACCCCTACCCCTACCCCACATTTCCAAAGGTTACCCAAGAACATCAGGATTCAGCAGCAAATCCATATGTTTGGCAAATAGCACGTAGTGAAGGGCCTAAAGAGGCCCACAAGGTAGATCCTTTTGAAAGGAGTATAGAAATACCCATAATAACATTGTGGAGGTATTCAAGGTCAGGTTCAAAGCCGGAACTTATTATTTTAGCTGCTGTAGCGCTGTTCAGTGGATTTTAGATCTTGGGGCCCATCTATTAAAAGTGTCATGATGCATATTTGCTATATTTCAGCGCCAGCGACGACTACGTTCGCCAATAGGACTGGCATAAGCATTTCCTGAAAGTCGTCAAGATTGGTCAGAAAAGTACATAGGAGGTAGGCTTTGGGTTGAATCCATGTGGGGTATCTCTCTACTAACCAAGAGATTACAAGAGTAGGAAGTTAGTTTTGCACACACCTGTGCTGTCATAATCGAGAAGAAATGCACGTTATACTTACTAGTTGAGATTGTTGTACCCTCCGAGCGAGTGAGCATTCTGTGCCAGCTTTGCAATCAGAAAGTTCCACTTACAGCGCGTCCTGAGACAAGCAAGCAGAATGGCATAAGCCAACCAATCCACCTGCACAGCGACCTCGACTCGGCGCGGCGTTTGGAGTGATGGAAACTGGAGCCTCACAGCCACACTTGAAGGGATAGATCCTTTCTCTTCTTCAATGGCGAATTGACAAGCTTCCTGAGACAGAGGTCGTAGTACGTAAGCCGCCGCATCAGACCAGAGACTTCATGCGACCACGGCAAGCGAGGCTACTCTTCCCAGGCTACGTCGCAAGCAAACCTCGCCTCAGACAGACCAGACGATAATCATGGCCAGGGCTGCCTCGCTGATACGAGGCGCTGATTGGCGAGCCGCGCGTTGGAATTTCCTCTTTCGCCTTTCGGATACACCACTTGTTTGAGCCTTCGGTTTGGATGTCACTGCCCAGCATTACGGTACTGCAACAGCGGCCCAGGCAGTTGAAGGTCTGATGACGCTTTGCCACTTTGGGACTGCCCCAATACTCCCATCAAAGCATCGATATTGCGTTGGGTCATTTAGATGGCTGTTCATACTTTGAAAGCCTTGCACAAGAAGACACTTGAATGACTCTGATAATTCTAGATGTCCGTCATGGGAGCATTGATAAAGTGACCGGCTTTCATAGGCTCGGATCAGTTGAAATCACAACATATACGGCCATAGCAATTGCCCAAATCAGATCGTAACATCCCCAGTAAGCCCTGCTGAAAGGGCATGCAGTGCCAATCACTGCCAGCTGGTTCACCATGCAGGCTGTATGCAACCAAAACAGGTTGCGAAAGGGCAGATTGGATGCATCTGGAGAAGTCCAGGAAGGCTGCAGGTCTGAGGATGCTCTGCATCTGCATCATCATCATTCCAGCTGGTCATCATGACGGCCTTCGCAGTAATATGCGGCCCTTGGGGATTCCAGTCTGTGGCAGAACGACTCCGTCGCCCCACGTCAGTAGCATTCGGCAGAGGCTCAACCATCTTGGAGCCCTCACCTATGCACTGAGAGCTAAAAATTTGGGAGGGAAGAGTGCCAGCCAATAATTGCATCTCTGGTCCTCGATTTTGGCCATCGATGATGCAAATTGACCAACTTTCTTATCCCCTCGTTGCTAGTGAACCTCTGTCATTCGCCAGGAAAGATAGGGAGGACAGTCCGCCGAGGCGACAAGCCACAGCACACACGCAATCGCAGGTGCAGTGGGCGAATGTCGAGTGCGGCGGCGGGGATGTGTGGCCAACCCTCCCCGTAGCCCTCCCATAGGATCTTGGATCTGCTTGAGGTTCCTTTGGTTCCCTTGTTGCAGACGGGATGCACAGATGGACCTGGACTATTGGAATCGCCCTGGGATGCACCATGAGTGGTGATTGGTGGGATCCAGGGGTTACGTCGAGGGTGCAGGGAGCCATTCTGCATTCGAGCTGGCGCAGCAGGCAAGTCTCTCAAGTGGGGCCGTGGGCACATCATGGCTGCTCCTTGGGACCTTCTGCATCGAGGGCCGACGGGCCTTGATAAGACGGGGGGTTGTAGATAGATTAGCTTCCCCCCTCGCCTTCGGGACAGAACAGTGCTGAGAGGCATACATACATAGTAGAGAGGACTGTCCACCGGCCCAGGCCGTGATGGGATGAGATGAGATGATTAATTCAGGAACAGATCCTTCTCGTCAGGTGCTCGTATTCTGAGGTTCGAAGAGAAAGCGTGTCAAAAAGGGAGGATGCCACTTACTTTAGCTGAGTTAGTCGCTCGACGGCGCCTTCCATTTGGGCGAACACGACATGTTCGTATCGAAGTCGACGATGACCCGAACCTGGAAGTCACGATGCGATGGAGGAAAGCAGAGTGCCTTCCTACTTACTCATTCGCTCTTTCCTCTGTAGCAGTAGCACATAGCACATGCAGTTGGCGGACTGCAGGCTCCGGTTCCACCAGCCTCCTTTTTAGCCTACAATACTGCAAGTACCTAGTTTTTAGCGACATCTGCACTGGAGGAGGACGCCGTCTCTATTTGGGGATATCCGGTGGGCACATACTGCATAGTAGATAGGAGATATCAGCACTGCACTACCTACATATCTTCTGTAGCAGATCCCATGTCGGACTGGGATCTGGGAGTTGTTAGCACAGCACATTACGGTACATACGTACATACACGTACAGCGGAGAGGAGAGCAGTCCACTTGGCGGCGTATCAGCTCTAGACCCTCCGCTAATAAATAAGGAGACTGGGCGACGTTTGCCCAATGCACGCGGAAGCTTGGTTATTAGCAGTTTGATAGCGAGACAGCATGGGTAGGGCGTCCCTCAGGAGGCTACTTGGGCTTGCTGGGACAAGGGATACGCTGGCTCTGGTACTACTGGTAGGAGGTGCAGGATCCACACGTGGGCAACGAGACGGGCGGGAATTGCACTAAGCAAGCGGCCCTTAACGTGCCATTAGCGCTGGACTAGCAGCCAAACGGTCCCAGGCCAGCACGCAAGCCCACCTCCAATCTCCGCCCAGAGCAGTGGGCACTGTGGGCTGGCTCGCTGGCTTCCTTCGCTGGGGCAAGTCCCGCCACAATCCATCTCTCTCACACACACCACTACGCACCACGCACCACGCACGCACGCCCCAGCACCGACCGACTCCTCTGCTTGCTTGCTGGCGTTGCGCTCCTCCTCCTCCAAAACCTGCCGCAACATTCGATAGCGACAGCAATTCAATCCCTACGCTTTCGTGCGGGGATCGATTCGAACGAACAAGCAAAGCGACGACCGGCCAAAGACGAGAGAGAGAGACCAGCGGCAGTGGCTTGGACAAGAATGCCATTGTCTCCCTAGAGACGTCTCCTGCTCAATCGGCCAATTGCACCTGAGACCCAACGGCGGCACTCAGTAGATAGACTACGACTACGACGACGACGACGACTTCCAACTGCGCCTCCTGTTGCCGCCCGCCGCCTTCGTATCGTATCGCCTTTCATGTCGTCGAAACCGCTCACGATCGCTTCCGAGACCGCACATACCCATACCCTTCTGTCACGGACCCTCCCCGCTGCTAGATAGGAAGGGCCTCCTGTGAATTGGTCGGCGACTCCCTCGCCCGCCGCGTCTTGACGGCGCCGGCCCCCGACCTTCTCTCACCCATTCGACCTCTCCTGATCTCGACTTCACCTTAACCGCCGTCACCATGTTGCGACCCGCGACCCCCTTGACGGTGCTGCTCTTGATAGCTTTCGCTTTACTCTTGATATCCGTTCTTTCTACCCCTATCATTCAGGCAATCCCTCTCGGCTCGTTCCAAGGTGCCAACTTTGGTGTCTTTGGCTACTGCAATTCCGGTGGCTGCAGCAAGATCGAGATTGGCTATGATACTTGTTCGTCTACTTCCCCCATACATGCTGGAACTATAGCAATCGACAATACTGACTTCGGTGTAGCGGACGTCTTGCAAAAGCAAGATGCCTCGGACTTCGACCTCCCCAACTCTACCAGGACCACCCTGTCCGCCATTCTCGTCGTCCACCCCGTTGCCGCACTCATTACCTTGATCATGCTCGTCCTCGCCTTCATCTCTCACTTCCACTCGCCTTCTCACTCATCCAGATATCTTCTCATTCTCTTCATCGTTGGAATCATTGACTTCCTCCTCTGCTTGCTCGCATTCCTCATCGATGTGCTCCTATTCGTTCCCCATCTGGCTTGGGGCTCCTACCTCGTGCTGGCGGCAACCATTCTCGTGGCCCTTGGTGGACTAGTATCTTGTGCTATGCGCCGAACTCTAGTCAATCGCAAGGCTCGCAAGAAGAGAATTGCTGAGAACGCTGAGATGAGCGGCGAAAACTACTATAATCGGCAAGCTCAAGAATCGACCGCCCCGGTTCCAATGCAGCCAACCATGCCTGTCGTTAGTGGTGCCAATGGAACGGCCGATAAGCTTCCTACATTTGCGTCATATGAGAAGAAAGACGACCGCAGTAGTGACGAGCGCATTCCCCTCACTGCTCGAAGCCCTTCCGACAGGTCTCCGAATAACATGCCCACAGACATGTCTACCGCAGAGACTGCTTACAACATGTCCAATGGGCCACGACGTTCGCCGTCCGCAAATCGCATGCAGACAGACCAGTACGGGAACCCAATCAATGGACCGCCAGATGCATATGGTGCCGGCATGCGAAGACCATCCTCTATAGATCGGCCGCCCTCTGCAAGCTCAAGAGGCAGCAGAGGAGGTGGAGGCTACCGAGGCCGTGGAGGCTATGGTGGCCGAGGAGGATACGGTCCTTACGGTGGACCACCGCCAGGAAGAGGCGGCTATGGACCTCCGGGCCGAGGGGGTTATGGCCCACCGCCTGGTGGTAGGGGAGGATATGGGCCACCACCGAGAGGTTATGGTGGTCCGATGATGCGAGGCGGCAGACCCCCTCCCCCCGGCTATAATGGTGGACCGTATGACCGGAGAGGCTCACCAGCAGAGGCTTATGGAGCGTATGGCGGCAGAGGGCCTTCGCCTGGACCACCATCAGCGCCGGGGTATAACATGAACCCATCCATGCCAGGTGTCTCCACTGGGAGCTACGATGCATACAATCCCGATCGGGACAGTGAACTTCCCAGAGCTGAGTCACCTCCGCCGCTACCAGGCGCACCTGGTCAAGCTGTAGAGATGGATGCTACTACGGGGAGCCCTCAACATGCACCACAAGGGTTCGGTCAATTCCGTGACAGCGATGCTGATATTGCGGGTATGGTTGGTCTACAACAAGGAAGGGGTCCGACACCTAACCGTCACGATACATATATGAGCGAAACCAGCAAGTATTCCACTGATGAGTAAGTTCTCTCCCTCATGAAAAATCTCTAGCAATCTGTCCTAATCTTCTTCTAGACAGCAGTATGTGCCTCCGCGGCAACAATGGAACCAAGGACAGGGGCGAAACTCTCCATCAGTACCATCGCCATTGAACATCAACCGATCTGCGGAAGGTAGCAGAAGCCCACCTCCAGCAGCAAAGCCAAGCGGCGGTGACAATTACTACGAGGACATAGATCCACGATTCGAGGCGCCGTCCAGACCGACGCCGCCACCTGGTCCCCCAGCGATCCCGGCGACGAACTCATATGAGAGCATACCTGACGGAGCACGGAGCCCGGCGGAGTCGGAGCGTTCAAATTTCACATCAATATCGCAAAGGGGCGTGAACCCGCGATGGAATCCTCCTCCTCCCCCAGCGCCATACCAGCAGCTGCCAGCTCGCCGGCCCATCAACCGGAACGATATGCTGTTGAACAACAACCCTGACTTCCAGCTTCCGGGTACGCGCGCAGCCCCGAGCCCACCTCGTGGATCGCCCGGTATGGTGCCCGGCAGTGCATATCCCGGTGGAGTGTAATCCCATCTCCCAGCCTCTTCCTCAATCCGAATAATGAAAATCATCGGTCTTTCTTGGCTTCATACCGATGTCCTTGATTCCTTCCATACATGTTCATAGACTTCGGTTCTCGGCTTTGCCTTTTGGACGCATCTTTTGATTTCACAAACCTCTTCTCTTGGAAGACAGTACGGAGGCGCAACATCTTGTCTATAGAGCCCGGCTTCTAGGCGGTTCATCGTAATTATCGCCCTCCTCTACCATCATGCACACATCGCACGATATATACCCGCACGACTACCACTTCTTCTTCCAACTTCTCCTACCAACCAGTCCATCACGGGCTGGTGTTTCAGATCGCGGGCTCTCGGCTCTGAAAATAAACCAGACAAGTGCGCGCTTGCTCGGTCGAATAGGCATATTTTTTTTGGCTTCTGGAAAAAGCTCATACGTGCGGACACACATGCACATGCACATGCACATCGGAGGAGTTTGTTTGCTGCTGCTGCTGCTGCTGCTTTTCTTCGATCTGGACTATACCTTCCTGCCGTCTCCTCGATTCATTCTTGAGTCTCAATATCATAGAGACGAAAACGACTTTGTTGGTCCCAACACTTCCATGGGTTCCATCCAAACCAACCTTTTTTCCCGTATAACGATCCGCCGCCACAATTCTTGAGTGGGAGGACAGTCCGAAACCACAGGCTCGATATTTCCTTTTCTTATTTTTTTTCTCGCGTGTGTTTTCTATGTGAATACCAGGGGGCGGCGAGGCGTGTGATGGAGGTTCCGTCCGTCTCCTGGAATGAAAGAGCAGGAGGAAGGCTGGCAGAGCAGAGCATGGCAGCAACAGTGGATGATTTGTGGATGGGAGAAAGATACCATGGACGACGATTCGCTTGTTGCATTGATTGTGTGCCCGTTTTAATGGGGCCGGGCCTATTATGTAGGATAACCAAGCAAATCGAGATGTGAATGGGAAAGAAGCATTTGAAACGAGACATATCGAAGCTATCACCACTATGTGACCCATGGGATTTGACGATGGATCATTATTCATGTCTTTCTGTTTGTCTGCGTGCCTGACCGGCTGTAAGCTGTCCCTAATGGCCAAAGTGTATCAGAGCGGTAATCTCCAACTCAGACTGATGAGGATAGGAATAGCTAGATAGGCCATGGCGGAGCTATCGGATGGTGATACAGTGTAGTACAATATGCCACAAGACTTCGCGCCTGCGGTGCTGTCCGCCCTTGCCAAAGGCTATCCTCAAGAGAGTTCATCTCCAACGCACTCCCTTAGCTGTCCATCACCGGTAGCTACGGGGCCGCGACTCCCGGCATCCATCCAGTCTTCGTCCTTGTCCTAATGTTGGGTAGATCTAATCCTATAGTCCCTTTCCGGCAATGCTATCCCTTTTCTATTTTCTTGGTCTTTTTCGTTTCCTCGCTCTTACGAGGCATAAACCCCAGATCGCCATCCAAAACCAACAGACTAATTAGTCCGTGGTCGCAAGGTTCTCGGCCTCACTGGGACATCTCCAAAGATGCTTGACCTCGCTCGTGCGCTGCGGTCGATATAAAAAGGGGGCGGGTCAATGTCCCAGCCGCTCAAGGTCTTCTTCTCGCCATCGTCTTCCTGATAGCTCAGCAGAGTCGCAAAAGCCATGTTCAGAAGCGGCTCGGCAGCCTCGCAGGTGTCCTGGCTGTTAACCTCTTCGATTGACAGGTGTGGGTAGACCATCCTGCGGCCGCCGGAGATGTTGAAGGTCTGGGCAAGCTCGAGTTCCCGGTTCAGCGCCCGCTCGCCTTCTTCGTCGTTGACGCCGAGCTGTCGATCAAAGTCTCGGCGCTGCGCCTCGCGGGACGCTGCATCCATGGTCTTGCCTAGAAGGGGGTTGCCGTTGTAGAAGCTCGCGTTCACTTTGGCGTTGTGACGCCGGATTTCATCGGGGGTACGGCACCAGTCCTTGCGATCGTGCAGCGGATATCTCTCTGTCCAGTTCGAAGACATTGGCTCCACATTGTGAGAGTTGTAGTTGGTTGGGAAGCCATTTGGGAAGTATCTGGCGGCTGCTTCCACGGGGAGAGAGTCGCGGACACCCTGAATGCGAATACTCGACGACTCTTGGAATTGATAGGCGGACTGATGAAGCACAAGCTCACCACCGATGGGGTCCTTAGCGGCCAGAGAGCGAGTCTCCAAGGGAGACAAAGCTCGAGAAGGGAGTGTGCTAGCTGGTCTGCCGCTACTAACCGCAGCGTTGAAGTCTGATTCGCATTTGATATCTTGTCCTATCGGGCCCCACGGTTTGCCGTTGCCGTCCTGCAAGCGCTTGATACAGGTCTCGAAATTAGGAGCTTTAAGCTGTCTCTGGCCTGGAGGTCCAGCCGTAAGTGGTCGAGGCGCACCTGGTCCGGTCGCGAGCGTAGTGTAGCCGGAAGTTGACCCGGTCGCTGGCTGCTTCGTCTCACCCTGACGGGACTCGCTCCGCTGGAAGCTTGGGAATGAGAGTAGGTCAGGGTGGTTTCGCATGAGATCAGCTCTATCTGGACCATGCTTGCCCATGTCAACACCGGTCAGAACCGATGGATCTGTTCGTGCAGCTCGTAAGAGGGCTGGAGTGATTTTGACCTCCGGCTTCACAGACGGTGCTAAATGGCGTCCATATAATGGGGTCACAGCCCGCAGAGTGTTAGGGCCACTCGCAGCGAGAGGAACACGGGCTCGAGCCAGCTTCTTCTGGGCGGCCTTCTGCATGGGGTTGTCGTATGAGGCTAGATTCGTGATGCCTTTGACGCCGAGCTGTCTAAACATGTATTCTGCTGCCATATCTCCGCTCTCGTCTTCTTCATCATGGCCTCCGTCAGTGATGTTGCTGTTCACTTGTTTGCCCAACTCTGCTGAGGCTGGCCAGCCTGACGGAACCGGTATTCCAGGCGGCGGGGCCATGGTGCCAGGCTTGATCCTGGTCGTTGTTTGTGCTGGTTTGCTCGACAAAATTTGCTCGATCTTGGTGCTGGAAGTGCCAGGGTTCACAGCGCGATCATAATTCTGCTGGAGAGGTGAATACTGCTGCAAGCTGGAGGCAGTTGTTGGTGGAGAGTGACGGCCTTGCGTAGGTAAGTTGGCGAGGAGGGATCTAGGCAGACCTGCGAGATCCGACGGAGAATTGTATGGCCACCGATTATTCCGTCCTCGACGCGTAGGTGGTTGAATAGGTGTGTTGGCCTGTGGGTTATAGACGGAGCCAACAGTAGTATATGTGGCAGGCCTGGACGGAGGTGCATTGGCGGACATGTCTCGTGGTGAACGAGTGTTCACAGTGGAAAGAGCACCGCTCATCTTGCCCCCTTTTCTGGTCAATGGTTTCCTTGGCGAGTCGAAGTGTCTTGGCTATGAAAGGGCCTGTGTGCTCTTGTTAATGATAAGAGAAAGAACGGAGAGGCCTTGTGTCCAAATGGCCCCGACATGAGTTTGAGGCAGTAGCCGCAGTGGTGTAGGTGAAAGTGGTTTGGTAGAAATAGAAAGTGCTGGTAAACAAAGGAAAGAACGGCTTCAAGTGTGCATCGCAACCTTGATGTTCAGGGAGAAACAATCAGGGAATGGTAAGGCATCACAGGTTGTGCCTCAAGCTGTACCAACATAAAGCAAACCAGCAGGAAAACGCCTCTTCAACTTCGCTGATTGAATGAAGATGCGGCGTGAACTGATTGCACCCTCGCAACAGAAGATGATTGTATTTAGTATATCGAGACTACTCATGTCGCTTTGGTGTATCACTTGATTTTGGCCCTGACTGCTACTGTGGCTTCACAATAGACGAAATAGGCAAGTGCGACCTCGAACCTACTGTGACTTCTGCAAAATGATGACTCCACGGGGAAAGAAAGGGCCAAGATCTGTCCCCTTCCAAGCTAGTCAGTCAGTCACCCAAACCTTTGAAACCCTTAACTGACTGCCTGAACTGTCATTTGGCAACTCAATACCAAATCTTTCACATATTTCACGAAGATGCTTGCATGGCTCTGCCAAGCAATTCGTGCTGTTTCTTCAGATAAGAGCTCTTTTAAAGCCACCGCCCTTCCTGACTGATTCCCAGCAAGGCCAGAATCGTATGTTGACAACATTGTGCGAGCACACCACGCCTACTCCCAGCCATCTCCCCTCCTATCACAAAAGGTCAGGCAAAAAGGAGCCGAATAAGGACAAACAGTGCTGCGACTTCTATCAACACTTCAAGGGCTTGAGACGCTCATCTTTTGCCGCTCACTTCCTGCCTACCTACCTAGTCCTGCCGGAACCAATGCAGCTGAGAAGAGAGTATACTTTGAAGTCAATGCCAACAGTCCCTCGTTTAGTTACGAATGATAGCGTAGGTTGGAAAATTCAGCATGCGCTCAACGATCAAATGGGGAGGTGGTGGGAAAATGGCAGCTCACTGCAGGGTATGGGCCAGCAGTAAAGGGGCAATAATTCTCTGACCAGAAAACGGCAGGCAACAATACACCAGATCCCCGGACAGGTTGAGGCCGGTTTACTTCCCTTTTCAGTCATATCTTTCAACAGCTCTAGGACTGAGGGGGGTCGACAACCGATCGGGGTAAAACATTTCATAGCGGATGCTTTGCTGAGGGAGAGTGATCTGCCACCTAGCGCGCATCCATCATGACCAGGGCAGCTCCTTATTAGAATGGTATCCAGCAGGTTTATGACACATTCAAAGATCCTGCAGGTGCACTCCTGTCGGCACTGTGCCATGGTTGAGCTCCAACTTGTATTAGAGGTCATAGTATCATTGACGGCCTGCCATCTTGCCCCTAGTATGCATACATGAATACAACAGAGTCTAAAAAGCAGTATGGCGAGGGTCTCAATCCTGCATCATTCTTTCCAGAGAAAGAGACGTTCAAGACTACCTATAAATATGTTTCAGTCTTGGTCAACCTTGCTTCCAATCAACTGAGAGAGACACCAAACCCTAATTATCATCGGAATCTTCGTACGGAAAGAGATGCTGAAAACCATCATCGACTCGTCAAGAGCCCCAGTACTCGAAACCCAGGCACACGGACCATGTGATTGTGGCTCTCGGGACTGGTGTCGACAGAACTTGGGACAGACAACTTTTTGGGCTGGATGACCCAGACGCTGAACTTGTCCCATCCGACAATAATACAATAGTGCCGGATCGTGGTGCTGTCCTCGTCCTCGTCCTCGTCAATCTTACGGTTGTTCACCGCGCTACTACCGCCGCTACGGGTCACGACTCTTCGCCTAAGTAGCATTTTCTCGTGTAGGAGAAAGCGATTATAGAGGGCGGCGCTGCTAGTCTTGGCAAGTCCCTTGATTGCCTTCGCCTCGGCGTCTTCCTCCGTGGCGTCTTGGTGACCGTTGTCTGCTTGGTATTCGATTCAGAAGAAGGGACACACGGCGTGGTCTTCGCCAATGGTGTACGCCGCGGCCTGAAGACGGACTTAGCACGAAGTTCTTGTCGTCCGTCGGCTACGGGGTCAGCCAGAACGTGATGCTTGCCGAGGTGTTTTGCTGGTGGTGGTTCATTTGGATAGTGCTCTTGGGAAGAGGCTGCCAGTCAACCTCGCCACTGTTCTTGTTCCCCAGCACGTCAACCAGAAGGAATCGAACGGAGCCATGCGATGCGGTGAGCGTTTGTGGGTCCGTCTGTGGTTGCTGAAGGAGTCGCGTCTACCATGTGGGAGCTATCCGGCTGGGAGATAAGACGAGATCCGATAATCAATTTGAGCTCGTCGAGAGTGCGGTATGCCTTGTGGATGTGGTGCTTCATGAGGGTATCGAGGAAATCACTGGGCAGGACGACTCGATACGGTGTTGCGAACGTGACGGTGCTGTGTCTTTTGAGGCAAGGTTGGGAAGCTCGTCAGAGACGACTCGTCCCAGAGGGCATTACAAGTACTGTCCCCACAACCAGCAAGACTGCAATGCTAGGAGGGCGTCATCACGCTGATCCGGTCAAGATAGTTTTGATCTACCGCGATCTTCACTCGTATTAGCGTTAATACGTCAGTGAGTGTCCCTCAGGCATCCTTGCTTCGTCGAACAAGCTCAGGAAAACAACCCTGCCGATGTAGAGGGCTCTCCATATTAATACCACACACCTTTCCTGCAGAACGGGAACCTGTCAATCGATATCCGGCTGGCAAGACAATCCTGTCAAGTATTGAGATTTCTTGAGTTCTACTCGATAAAAGTCTAGTAGATATATGGTAGCCTTTCTTAGTGATAGTATTGGACTGACAGTAAGTGTAGTTAGTTCTTCCATCTCGGAGGCTAAGCACCCAGCATTACTATCAGGGGTTCGAACTCGTGTGGACAGCCTTGCAGGTAGCCCCGGGCCGGCGGCACGGTCACAGTCATCATGGCCAGTGAATTGGCACAATGCTATGAGTGGTGGTGAAGGTCCTTTTGGTGGGATGGTTGATTCTCTCCGATATCGATGTATCTGTGCCGGAGAGAGCCTTCTAGCCTTCTAGGGCTGAGGTTCTGGACCAGACAACGGCCGAGAGTGGATAGAGACCGTGCCAATCCTTCGGGGGACGACCCGGATCCACTGGTGTGTCAGCATATCTATTTTTATGCGGCTCTGAATAAGCTTAAAAGCCTTCCAGATTGGAACCAGTCGACAACTCTTTTTCGTTCAATGCTAAAAGCACAGTGTTAAGCAGTCAAGAGGAACTTCATTCTCGGCACTCACTTGTACCAGCATTCGAAGAACGGTTGATTAGTCCACTCGTATATCCATTTAGTTGATGGCGTCGACATTACTTAGATGTGTCTCAGTGGGGCAGAAACCATGCGCTTGCTTGATCCCTGTCAGGGAAGCTTGCGTGGCAGTGGAGTAGATTTTTAGACCCCAAGCTCTACAACAGGACCGTGCGAGGAGCATCAGATCTTCAAGAAGAAGAAAACACTGGCAGTTGACAACGAAGTGGGAAGATTAGAATGATCTCGTGGCGCTTGTAGTGCCGGCTGTCTGCAGGAGCGTACCTGGCTGCGTGGATAGGGCCTTCATCAGATCAGATCCCCTGCACACCGTTGCACGTGTTCTCCAGATCGGCCTCCGTGATAGCCAGCAGCAGTAAATGCAGCCAAAAGAGGCCGAGACCTACTAGTACGCCAATGCAGAACCCAGTGAGCCTGGAAGCAGGAGTGCTAGAACGATCCAGAACACGGGTAAGGCGTTGATCACGGTCGCTGTCAACGGACGATGAGATGTTCCTTTGCTGGATTTCCATTGGCAAACCAAGTTTCTCGCATGCATACCTAGGTACACTGGTGCTAAAGTCGACTTTACCCGGAGACAAGTAATTGGTCGCTGCATCAGATTCACCTTCCTCTCGAGACTGGTGTAGACGGAATTCTCTCAGCTGTTCTCGGCCCCCCAGCGTCTTGGAGAAAGCAGGCAATCGCTACGGAGAATTGCACCGTTGCACACCAGCCGGGGTGAGAGCGCATCAATGGCAGATTATAGGGGTGAGAAGAGGCGAAGTTCGATCTCTTTCTGCACCTGATGCATCCCGTCGAGAAGATGAGGAAACACTACATGGGTCTATCCCGAACATGCATCTCCAGCTGTATTCGTCTCGCTTGCCGATCTGCAGTGGACCGGGCTTGTCTTGTTTTCACCTCCTATGGTTATAGACTGTCCAACACAGCCATTTGTGGTGTCTCGTATTGGACTGGGTGATCTACTTGACAGAATCAGAGGTTCTGAGGATGGACAAGAGCCCGGACAACGTTCTTAAGCCTTGTCATTCAACTAACCGATCCCTGCCGAGCACTACCAGACTGCGATGTATCCAGCGGTGCCTCTTTATTTCCAGCTCACTTGCAGCCAACTAGTGAATACTGACTGGCATGGATCTCTTGAAGATGTGGGCGGGTATCTTGAGATACATGCAGGCTGTTCATCAAGGACTCCACCGGCGCTAGGCCTGCCTGGTTGTCAATGAGTCGGCGATAGGTGATGATTGCAGTGCCAACCGTCTTACACTGGAGCCAGAGACCAGGCCGCCATCAGCGGTGTCTGCTGGCTCTGGGTCAATGCGTTGGGCTGCCGGTGTGCATCATGACGGCTTCTCCATTTTGGTGATCCGCGCATAGCTTCCTAACGTGTCGTTTAGTGTGGAGGCCAACGACGAAGCCCGGGCGGACTTCCCTTTAAAAATGGAGGCCGCTCATTGCGCATCAGTGGCAAGATGTAGCTCTCTGCTACCGACTCTCAGGACTTGATGGATGATCGCTCAATTGAAACTTGATTTTGAAGCTTTGCTCTCAGACTGTGGTACGTTGGGATGCACAACAGCAGCCAATTTACCGAAGTCGAGTCGAGTCGAACTTCTAATCACGTCGTTCCCGTCTCCAATCACACCCTACCGCCCTCCCTCCCCTCCCAAGACCTGCCCACCCAGACTAATAATAATCACAACAAGCTTCTTTTGCACGCACCATACTGCGAGCTTGTTGGTGCTCCCGATCAGAGCGGCGGTGGTGCTGCCTGAGCTTAGGTTGTCTAGCCTTGTCTGCCTCCGCTGGCCTCAAGATAGCTTTCTGCGGCTCTGCTGCGTGATTTGATCCAAACAGGAGGCCATTCATTGCCCAGCATCCTCCTCCCTACCGACCTTTATTAAGCAATTGCAAGCTGCCGTTACTCACGAACCCGGGTGCCAGTCTTGCCCCTTTCGGTACCCTGTGGGACAAGCAATAACAGAACAGCACACGAGGCAAGGCTGCCAAGGTACCTTCTCACTTCAGCGGACAGTCGCAGCCACGCACCGGGGTGTGTTGGTGTGTGTGTGTGTGCATGCATTCCAGATTCCTCCCCCGGCTCAAGGTCAAGGTCAATGTCAAGGTAGACTGGTAGAGTGGCATTGCGGCGTGAAGGAACCCGTGCCGCTGGACGGGCACACGAAAGGAGTGAGTGAGTGAGTGAGTGAGTGGACGAAGAGAGCGGGAGCGAATTGTCGGGCTGGCTGGCTGGCAGTTCGTCTGTCTGGCGCCCAGTGTGGAGTAACGTTATTTGTAACGCCCACAAATCTCCACTTTCTGCTCTCTTGTCCCTCCTGCTCCCTGTCCGGGTCCCCCCCAGCTTTACTGCATAGTACACCACTCCGACCCCTACCGCCTTCCGCCTGCCGCCATACCACCCTGCGACCTGAGGTCCGCACCAACGCGCACTTCGAGCTCCTCTCCTCAGTCCCCGAGACGGCGAGCACCACCACCAGCACACCTTTCTTTACCTACTTACCTACCTTCCCTACCTCCTACCCTACCCTACCTAACCTACCTACTTACGGGGGGCCACCTCCCAAAAACGCCTTTCATTCTCTTCGACTCCTCGCTCGAGGCACACAATCGCAGCCCGCTTCGCAACGTCTCGCTTCACTCTGGACGTATACAGACAGACAGATAGACAGACAGACAGCACGAGGGACAAGAACAGGCACGCACGCAAGCAGCCGGCCAGCAGCATCATCATCATCATCATGGATTACTCGCACGCCGCCTACTTTGCTGGAGCACAGCCCTCCTACCACCAGTTCATCGGCATTCCTCCCTTGACCCCTTCGCATTCCAACTCCGCCGGCTCCGACGACTTCAACACGACCTCTCCACCGGTAAGTGTCTCTCTCTGTCTCGCTCTCTGTGCTCGCATTTGGATCCCCGTTTGGCCCTTTATATATATATATATATATCCCATATATATATCCATGCCCGCGGCTCGTCTGCTCTCCGCTTTTCTCTTGATAATACCTTACCCAGCAATGCTCTGCAGACTGCAGCCCACTCCTTAGCGCCTCATTGCAACTGGACGAGAAGGCTTACACAATCATTACTCAGGAGGGCTTCGACCATTTCCCCAATGACCAGTTCCAAAACTTCGAGCAGTATGCTGCCCATTTCAACCCCCAGCAGACCTTCCCCGGTCCCCCGGGTCCGCCCACGCCGCCGAACCAGCACCCTGCTGCCCTTGGCGGCCAGCAGCAGCAGCAGCAGCAGCAAGCGCAGACACTCAATGGCGGCGCAGCGGCGGCCAACATGAAGGCGATCCCCGCCGATGTCCTGGCCATGACCAAGGCGGAACCGAACGATGATCTACGGGGCGGGCGCCAGGGATCCAATTCGGACGAGGATGAGCTCACACCGGCTCAATCGAGGCGGAAGGCCCAGAATCGAGCTGCGTATGTAGTCCCCCACCTCCGTTGCGCATGTACACTTCGCTATAATTGTCTCTATCCCCCTTCGCCTACCTAGCTACGTGCGAGAGAGTCTTGCCTGCCTCGCTAGTTCCGTGCTTAAACAATGGCTGCTCCTTTCTTTCTTTGAGGTCCAACACTGACTGGAGTTGTATAGTCAACGTGCCTTCCGAGAGAGGAAAGAACGCCATGTCAAGGATCTGGAAGCCAAGCTGGCCTCTCTCGAGGCTGCTCAGCAGCATACGGCCACCGAGAATGAGCGACTGAAGCGGGATCTCCAGAAGATAAGCACGGAGAACGAGATCCTGCGGGCTACGTCCTCCATGCAGGGTGCGGGCTCGCCGGGATCCAACGGCGGTGCGCCGACCACGACAGGGCCCATGTCCTACAACCCGACAGATTTCTACTCCAACGTCTTGTCCAACCACCCCAACAAAACACCCAGCCACCGCATAGTGACCAGTGACGACGGCGAGCGGCTGTATGCGGCCGGTGCGACCTGGGACTTCATCATCGGCCACGACCTGTACAAGAGAGGCCTGGTGGACATTGCTGATATCAGCAATAGGCTGAAGTCTCAGGCGAAATGTGACGGACAGGGTCCTGTCTTTGAGGAGCGGGCCATTGTCCAGGCTATCGAGGAGAGCGTTGCGAGCGGCAGCGACGAACTCCTGTAAGAGGCGGGGTTTGGCGATGGAACGAATCTGCGATTACGGTCACTACTTTGCTATTGTGGGAATCGGGGAAGGGGCATTGGAACCCCATCTGCCTTGGACAGATGGGCATCAGGGCTTCTTCGTGCCGGCGTTAGCGAGTCTGGAGTTACTCCGAATCTTGGCGTTTCTGGTCTTTTTATGACGATTTGCGGTGTAGAACGGAGCAAAACCTGGCTGGGGCGAGCTCACAAAGCTGGCAGCCTTGATTCCCTTATCATCTGGCTGCGTTATGCTGGTGTTGGGATGGCCGTGGGCCGGAGACTACTTTCGCTCATTAGAGGATCTACAGTCACCTGAGGCCCGTCTCAGCGATATCAGGGTGCAGAGTCCTGGACCCGGCTGGCAGGTCGACAGCTGAGCTTGAATTAGATATGAATTTGAGCATCTCCTTCTGCCATCGCAGTCACAGCACACGAAAGGACCCTGCAGACTGCATCGGGCAGGCACACTCAAGAACAGACGTCTACGAATCGGGGAACGCAGGTAAATGGGGGTCCGGGCAAACCGGGGTGGCTTTCGGAACATCTATGCATATGGGTTCAGGAGGCCAAGGATTTTCCGGGAACATATTGGTTTCTGTCATGATGCCTAGCTAGGGTGCGAAATTGCTGGTGATGGCGATCGATCGATCTGTTGCTTTTGCAGTTGAAAAATATACCTCCACCGAAAAAAATCTCCTCCCAACCGCTCGGGGCTTTACCCTGCTTCTTCTTAATTAATCTAGGGACATGCATTGTCCTTCTGGTGCATATGATAGATGGTAATCTCATGGCTTCCCGACTTTTGAATCCGTCAAATTAGTTGGTATCTCTGGTGAAAAGCCCCGTAGCCACACATATCTGTCTGTCTGTTTGTCTGTCCATCCATCCATAATATATCTGATCGAAACGCTTCCCTGGCGTTCTGACGCCGCAAAACACCGCCCATATGCTGATTACCTACCCCGCGAGGCCGTGGGCTCGCACAGCTCGCAACTTTCTTCCTGGAAGGTCATTACATTTTACCGTTTCTGGTTTCCCATCTCATTGCAGTCTTTAAATCTCGCAGGCACACTCGAGGTAGCTTACCCCTGTCTCAGAGTCTCAACGTGAACGCCCTCCCTCCCCAGAAGCTCTCAAGCCGTTTCGTCTCTTTTGGCCCATCTACTGAGACTTCTTCTCCTGCGCCGCGCCGTTCGTCTTGCCGTTCTGCTGCTCCTGCTCCTGCTCGGGCTCGACGTACGGGTGCTTGATGGTCAGGCACCAGATGTCGAGGTAGTCACAGATGGTGACGATGACGTCGACGACGAAGGAGCCGTAGACGCCGATGGCGGCGCCGAGCATGAGGAACATGTAGGCGACCTGGTAGACGCCGTCGCCGAGGGCGGAGGGCCAGCCGAGCCAGGAGCGGCCGAACTCGTACTGCAGCCAGGGGCCGAGGGAGTCGATGACGCCGTAGGCGAGCGGCAGCACCAGCACGTTGTAGTAGGGGAAGTCGAGCTTGACCAGGTGCGCCGTGATCATCTGCCCGACCGAGTAGGCGTTGACGATGCCGGCGAACATGGCGAAGGGCACCAGGTGGCAGTGCAGGATGTTGGGCTGCAGGGCCAGGTACGCGACGATGAAGGTCCATGTCAGGAAGAAGGGAACGAGTCCCACTAGCGCATAGCGGCTGCGGTCGCCGCGCGCGCGCCGCGCCTTGATCACATTGCGCGCGGACTCGATCGTGTTGAGAACCAGCACGAACGTCCCCTGCACCATGTACCAGTCCGTGAAGGAGAGCTTGTAGAGGATGTCCGGCAGGAAGAGCTGCGGCACGCCGAGCGTCGGCAGCATCGCCTGCTGCCAGAAGTGCGCGCCGCCGAGGAAGCCGGTCGCGGCGTACACGAACACCAGGATCAGGATGCCCTCGACGGGCCCGTTGACGATGCCGAGCGTCAGGGTCTTGGTGTGGTACTCATCCCAGGTCTGGACGTAGAAGGTGAGGAGAGCTGTGAAGTACTGTGTCAGCGAGATTGCGTTGCCTGGGATGTAGACGGTTAACTTACATGCGAAAAGGGTTGCGACAGTCCTCCATCCCATGCCCATGTTCTGCGAAGCGGCGAAGATGAGGACCTCAAGCGAAGTGTTCAGCGCGTCGACACCATGGTCGAAAAGCTCTCCAAGAGGACCGCTTTGGTGTGTCCGGCGCCTGTGATCGCAAAATTAGCGTCTCGTCACTCACTTTGCACACGGGTTAGTCTTGGGCCGTCTAACTTACGCCTGGGTTCCGTCTACTGCGTCAAAAGTCTGATATAGAAATAATCCGGCTGCCCAAGTGAAGTATACCCAGGTCGGACAATCCTGATCCAGCGTTGGGTTGTACCAGAGCAGAGTAAGCAGGTTTATGACGACGAACGAGAAGCCCGTAAGGGTGATGGCGTTCGGCGCCATGGACATCGGGAAGCACTTGATGACGACATTGGTGTAGAAGGGCTTGAGGATGTATTTGGAAGTTATGGAGTGGTCGACGCTCGAGTATTTGTACTGCTTGAGGTTCGGCAGCTGGTCCTGCCTGGATAGTGTATTAGTCTATCTGATGGAGGAGCGCATTTCGTGGGATGTCTGATTAGATCAGAGGTGAAGCATACCGTACGTAAACCATCTTGGCGATTTGGTCCTCGTGTCTGAACGAGGTAGCTGCAATAGTTTAAGGGGAAGTGCTTTGCTTTGCACAGGAAGCTGTAGGCTTCAGAGGCGATGTGGGATTGAAGCAACTCAAAAGAAGTTCGAAAAGAGACTGAGGAGGAGGGTGTGCACAAGGGAACGACAACGAAGACGAGCGAAATACCTGAAAGTGAAAGACGGTTTGGTCGGTCGCAATCAAGCGATTCAATCCAACGCGTTCGGTGAAACGAGCTAACCATAATGACGTTAAGCTCTCACTAGGTGGATACAATAAATAAACCCCACTCTCGCTACAACCACCCCAGTTAGCGTGGCGCACCCTCCGACCTCACACCTTTATCATCCTCCTCTATTATTTCTCCGCTATAAACGCTTCAGTAGAAATGAAGCAGCAGGTAGGCAATTTAGGTTTCTTGAGATAGGCAAAGTGCTTGAAGGAGGAGTGGGAAGGTTGCTTCAGTAGTTACAGCACAGAAGATATGATGCGCGTGGTAGGAACCGTGGTTTGCTTTGCCTTGCTTGTTTTCTTTGTTTCTTACATAGGCGATGAATGATGAAAGGAACTCGACAGGCAACTCTTCGTTCTCCCTCTTCTTCAGTTCTTCAGAGAAATGACGTGACCTATACTATACCGATGCAATCAATCAATCAATCAACTTATCATTTGATTCCAGTAGCAGTATAGCACTTGACCCAGCGAGCAAGCCACACCTTGCTCGGCGCTCATGCTTGGCATCCTCCAACCTTGACAACTTGAATCAAGGTTAAAAGCACCAATGGCAACAGCCACACCTGGCTTCAGAGTGTCAAGGGAACCTTGGAATGGTCTCATAAACATGCATATGCCCCTCACATTATCAATGTCACCGCTATTAGATCGGACCTTGTTGGTTGGTGTTCATTTGTTTGCAAGGTAGATACGCTTAGACATCATTCCTGCCAGCGCTTAGAGACGCAGGCAGGCAGAACTGACTTCATTTCGCCCTTTAGTCCCTTATCCATCTATAAGACACATCGGTTTATTTAGAAGTCGGCTTGACACTGGGCTCCCCTGGCAACACTTTTGTCCGTTTTCTCAACTCATTCAGCAAACGCCAACATCCAATAGTCATTACGCAATTGATGCCACAACCAGGGCAGCCACATTCTCCTCCTCTGCTCGCACCGTAACCTTGGTGGTAACTCCAGACTTCGACGAGTATGCCATCCTGATATTCGCAACCACTCTGCCGCCGTTGACGGTCTTGCCGAGGAGCTTGAGTGTGTGCGTTGTTTGATTGACAGGGACGTCGGTGCCCTCCAGCGGCTGCAGAGACAACGTCTTGGCTAGTTGTTCCGTGGCATCTACAAATACGTCAGTAAACAGTAATGAATGGTTGGCAGAGTAGCACATACCTGCTATGCTCTTCATGCCGCTCAGCTGCAATGTCTCCTCTGCTTCTTCTCCAGCGGCGCCGACCTGCTCCCAGATGTGTGCAAAGTTGCCAGCAAATGTCGGGATGACATAGTCGCTGCCAGCCAAGTCGAACTCAGCAACCTCGTACTCATCATCGTATCCAGTGTCCTCAGGCTCGTTGGTAGTAGGATCAATCTCCTTGCTGGTGAACTTGAGGGTATTGGAGAACGTGGTAATAGGTAGTGAAGCCTCGCCATTGATCTTCTTGAAGGCGACGTAAACCTTTCCAGGCTCGTTCTGTGAAAGCTTTTCCGCTGGAATGATGAATACTTCCTCGAGGTCTTCCTCATCTGCCGGTGTTGCTACAACAGACACGTTCTCAAGAAGAACAGAGTCAAGAGTGTTCGTAATCTCGTATTGTAGAACCACATGCTCCTTGAAGATGTGCTTGACAACCCTGACAACGTACTCGGTCTCGGCCTCAGTGAGCTCAACAACAGTCGCTGACTTGAGCACGGTGCCAAACTCCTTCATCTCGGGAATCTGCATCAGTTCTTGAGCGTACTTCTGGGCAATAGCCGAAGCCGAAGCAGTAGGATCTGCTCCAGTGCCCGCAGCCTTGCTTGGTGCAACCTTGGGAGGTTTGAGGGAAGGGGTAGTGGCGGTGAGCTTCTTCGTCCTGTCCTCGGCATCGGCCTGCTCCCGTGTGACGACAGGGATCTTGGAGATGTCGAAGGCAGAATCGAAGGTCGACTTGTCGTCGGAAGTGACATACATGACAAGCTGATGCTCGAAATAAGACAGAGAAAACATGCTGTCTGTAAAATGGTTAGCACTGAAGCCAAAGTCAACGGTAGCAGTGGAACTTACCATTCTTGACGAATCGCTCCGCCATGTCGTCAGTCTCGTTCATGAGTCTGAGGTTGAGAGCTGCACGATCCCGGACCTCGTCATCTACGTCGTCAAGGCATCGAGTAAGGAGCACTTCCACGCTTCTCTTGACCTCTGGATCCTTCTGCCCAACTCCAAACTTAGCCAGTGCTGTGACAGCGGCAGCTCGGACGATTGCGTTTTCTAGGACAACTCGATTGTAGATGTAGCGGATGTACTTTGTGGGCTGTGAAGTCTTTGGTCCTTCAAGTCCAAGAAGGTGCAATATCCTGACAGCCAGTTTGGTGAACTCGCAGTCCTCAATGAACTCGCACAGATGAGCCAGAGCATCCTCCTTAGAGTCCGGCACAAACTTGATGAGATCGAACATGCTCTCCACAACAGCACGCTTGAACTCATATCCACCCTCATCCCGCAAGATTCCACTAAGGAACTGGAGCATCCCAGCTTGCTTGCTAGGGAACTTCAAGCATAGTGTGCGAATCGCCTCAACAATTGTGATCTTGAACTCGTCAGTGATCTCGGACATAAAGCCCGAGATCTGCTTCATCAATCGATCGACACTGGCCTCATTGCCAGTCTTCAAAAGAGTGGTAATCGCAAAAGTGGCAATGGATCTATTGCTGTTGGAAATAAGTAGCTCAATGTCGGGGTTGCAGACATTGACGGCTTGCGGCTTGAAGGAAGCGAAGTTGTGGAGGATACGGAGAGCGGCGAATTTGGTGACGGCTCGAGGAGAGGTGAGGAATAGCTGAAGAACATGAACTGCCTGGGCAACCTCCGCATCTGTGACATCTCTCATGTCGCAGATTGCCTTGGCTGCCTCAAAGTTCACCATCTCGCTCTTATGTCTCAGCCAGCCATCGAGCAGTTGCATCATAGGTTTCCTGAGCTGTGCATCCTCCTCGGCGAGTTGGGCAGCGAGCCTGACAAGCAGCACAATGGCGGCAGGGCTCTTGACTGCGCCGGCTGCGCCGAACTGCTGGACCATCTTAACTAGAGCCATCCTGTCGTGCATTCGCATTTGATATAACAAGCCAATAGCGTGGTATTGAGTCATTGTGGAGTTGTTGACCGGTAGCTGGCCGGACGAGGAGGAGAAACCAAGGGAGAAGCCACCAGATGACTTGGTGCTGGCAGCCGCCTCTTGCGTTTCGCTCTGCCACCGCCTAACGACATCTCTTGCAATTGGAAGTAGGTGATAGGAGGACACGAGGGCAGCTGATGAGACCGATGGGTTCTTGTCGACAATCGCAGTCTTCATTACTCGCTCAATGGACTGGACAGTCGTCGCCTACTGAATGTTAGTACGAGAAAGGAGGGCCAAACAGTTGCAGCGCACGCGTACATCAATAATACGGCACAAAGCCCGGATAGCATTGGGTCGGAATATTATGTCGGTACTGCCACCAGTATCCTTCATGATTGTGCTGGTCACCATGATGATGTCCTCGGCGGAGCTGGCGAGCTCCTTGATAACAAGGTGGACCATCTGGCGCAAGCTGGCATCTTTGTTCTGGAACAGCTTCGAGATGCCGAAGAACAGGGTGGTAGCTTCATTCGTAGGGAATTTATCGCCCGTGTAGAGCAATAGGGCAATCTTGGTAAGGAGGATTCGGCATCGTCGAGGCTGGATCGGGGAGCTGTTGAATAATCGTGCTATCCCGCCTCATTAGCACCTTCAGGGGAGCATTTCGGGTAGCCATTTTGTGGGAAATGTACCTTCTTGAAAGACCTGGGTACGGTCGACCTTCACCAGGCCGGCGTCGGCATCCTCATCCTTCTTGCCGTAATTCATGATGGGCGAACTTGACGGCAATTCGATGGGTTGGCGAGGACGGTGAGGGCGTAAACGTGTAGTCGTCGGTCTGGCTGTCTAAGGGCCCGCGAAACGTCGCCAGAATTCACGAGCTCCCACACGCAAGGGCCGCCTGGGCCCCACCAAAAACTGGCCTTTGGGTACATCACATGCCCGATCACGTGACCTAGACTACCCCTTTTCCATCGTTTAAGTCAATTCAGGGCCTTAATTGATTGAGTGTCTTTAGACAAAGTCAATATGGCGAAGGCTTACTGTCTAGGCAATATTGCCCTAGCCTGTGAAAACCAGGAAGTCAATTGTCGAAGATCCAGCTAGAGAACTCTTCAGATTATAAACCTTGTGTGATACATAGGCTCACCACTCTCGATAACGTTTGGTCCCAGACCAGAAACAAACTCCTGAAGATAACAGAATGAATAAACGAAGCTTTCAGGTATAGGTAGAATTAATAATGAGGTGCAGAATCATTTCTAAAAAGGCGAGCGCTTAGATATCATTATAAGCTATGACGCCCAGAGACCTCTTCTCGTGCATCATGAAGGCCCAAGCAGCACCAGGTGCATAACTCGTCGTTGTGCTGTAGCCAACACCGTAGTCACATGGTTCAAACATTGTGTGATCCATTCTCTTCCACTCCCTAACACTGTCTGGTTTTGCTACCGCGAGGAAGTGATCTTGCTGCGGCCCAGACGGAAGTGCACTGATATTCATATAAGACTAGTACATAGGATGCTTATGAAGGAAGGAAGGGTGTCACCCTTACAGTGCATTTCCCAAAATCCCATGGCATAGGTTGGGTTCTTTGCGGAGCAATCCTTCTTCCCAGATACACTCACGACCAGCCTCTATGGCCGAATCGATTCGGTGTTCGAGTTGAGGAAAGTACGGCCGAAGCGAGATTAGTGAAGTAACAAAACCTGGAGCTCCATGACAGAACTGGACGAGGGATATCTTCTCCTTGCTACCCACAGAGCTTGGCCAGTTGCCAGTAGGGTGTTGCAAATCCAGAAGCTCGAGCATCTTTGTCTCGAGTTCTTGCGCAAGACCTGGTGTTGTCAGCACCAATTGCGTGACTATGGAAATATCGCCGTGAACAGCGCCAAGATATCGCTTTCCGTACCAAACCCACTCGGGACCCTCGGCAATGATCTTTTGAGACACGGCAGTGATTGCTTTCTCAAGAAGAGGCGCGCTGCCCGGAATCCAGTGGCGCATCAAGCGCAGTAAGTACAATGTACCGGCACGGCCATGAAGTAGTTCATTGGGATACTCGCCGTCCAGAACTGACTCTATGTATGATAAGAACTCGTTAACTTCGCCCAGATCTTCCATAATGCAGGCTCGGACCGCATGACCTGCCAGAAGTTCGCTACCAATCCCACAGCGCTTTGGGTCAAGATGGAGAAGATCCCGGCCGCCGTGAATGTAGCGCTTGGCCCAAGTGAGAGCATGGTGTCCAGCAATCTTGAGGTGTGGATAAGCATTAGACACATAGAAGAACAGATACGCCAAGCCTGTTGGACCATGCCAGAATCCAGCGAGCTCTCTCGGCTCATATACCTCTCTTGGGGGATAGTTGGTCACAATATCTGTCAGAGTGTCTTGCACATAAGTATTGGATTTGGCGAGTGTGAAAAGGGGCTCGAAGTTATTCGGGATGAAGCGAGACTCCATGAGGACGTCCTGAGGCCAATGCAAGTTTAGATGGTGGCACGACTAGAAATGGGCAGGAAATTCCCGATCTCTCGGCACGATGTCTTGGTTGGAGAGTGGGAATCTTCTGCGCCAAAATGTTTGGTGAGCAAAGCCTCGTGAAGACCATCATCTCATCCGATGCGCTTTGGTGGTAGAGTGCAGGTACACCTTCCTACCCGGGTAAAACCTACCTAAGTACCTAGAGCCGCGTGTAGGTAGGTAAATCAGCCAGCCCACCGTTGAGTGGAAGCTTTCCAAGGGTCCGATTTAGGCTTGTTTTAAGTGCGTAGATCGCCTATAGAGGTCTTACTAGGAAGGCACCGACCAGCGAGAGTCTAGTGGCTGCTAGGCCTGATAGCGGGGTAGTTGCCGCATCCAGCCCATCACATGCACCAGGTATGGGTTGTAGGAGAGTGACTGCAAAATGATGACGTCGCTTCCTCAAGCTTATTGCCAAACAAATGATCCAATACCCTCGTAGCCCGGAGCATAACCACCGCCCAAACAGCTTCACGAGGGCTGGCATTTAAGACACTCTCGCCCCTCTATTTTGCGTATTTCTACAACATCTAATTTCTGCCTCTCAAAACTTTATTGCTTCTGAATCACAGTAACTCGCACGTCTCACGAACAAACATCGTCCTACCACTCTAATTCATCAACGAGGCGTCAAGACACGATGTCGCAACGACCAGGTTTCGTGGAGTCTATCCAGAGCAAGGCTCAGGAAGTCGCGTATGCATCACCATACAGCCCAGTCGCAGCTTTGCTACATGTTTCACTAACTCAGCATAGCACAGAGGACTTCGGACGAGCCAAAGTGATGGCAACTGATGCCGCGAGGAGCGGCTCGTACTGGTACCCTATCAAGGTATGAAATGGCATAACCGAGGGGCCGAAACCCGGCAATTGCACTCCCATTCTGTTCGACCCGAAATAAACTGGCCTGTATACTGACCAAGCTTCAGGGTATCTTCTACTTCGCCAGCCACCCCGCCTTGTGGAAGCCATTGGCATCTAGAATCCTCCCAACACTAGCTCTGTCGGCGGGAGTTATCGGCTCGATGTTCCTATTCACCTACATCCCGCAAGTTTCGGTTCTCGTATTCGTCAACGGTCCTCTTGCCGTCTTCACAACTGTCCTCCTCATCCTCAGCGAAAGCTCCACGATCATAAACATCATTTCGCGAACCTGGTTTCTCCAAGATGCAATTCTCGATACATTCGACGGCACGCTGGTTGCCAAGGATGCCACCAGCCTTGTCACGGAGGGAAGAGAGCTGAAGTCCGGCTCCGATCCCATCGCGAGGCTTGGCAAGATTCTCAAGAATCCATTCGAGAGATTCAGTCCTAAGGCCCTGGTTCGCTATGTCATGTACCTACCGCTAAATTTCATACCTGGTCAGCAACTTTGTACCCTTTAAAATAGACTCGTGCTAATTTACCAAATAGTGGTGGGGACCGTCATCTTCATCTTCTTGCAAGGACGAACCAGAGGCAAAGCGGTTCACGGTCGAGTAAGTTCTGTGCTTACACAGGCAACACTATGTACCGATGCTTACGCTTCTGCAGTACTTCCAATTGAAGAAGTGGTCTAACTCACAGAAATCTGCATGGTTACAGGAGCACACTGCTCCTTACACAGCGTATGTCAAGTCCTTGCGCTCCACACCATTCCCATATCACTACAGCCATTTGTTGGTCCTCACTACTGAATTTCCACGATTATATTCATCTGTTGATTTATTCGAGACAAGCAAGATTGCTGACATTCCCAACTTAGTTTCGGCACGGTAGCTACCCTACTTGAGTTGGTTCCTTTCGCCTCTATCTTCTTTACATTCACAAACACCGGTTAGTGCAAACATGACAAGTCAAGCTAAGTTGAATGTGATAAGTGACTGACAACTGGCATCCGTAGTTGGTGCTGCACTGTGGGCTGCCGATATTGAAGCCAAGGGGACCGAAATGACCCACAGCACCGCTCCAAACTTGCGAGAAACCGCTAAGCAAGCCGAATAGAAGTGCTGCATGTGTGCACGGCAGAGGCCATTTCGATCGATTCTGCAGTGCGTTAGGTGCTCATTGACCGATCTGCGTCTTGGCGCGGTACGTTGATCTAGCACAGCGACAAGGTTCCTTTTGCTGGTAACGAATAAGGACAAGGGACTTGGCTTTCACCTGTGGAGTTGTGCGACCATCTGAGCGATGTTGTCCGGCTCCGGCAGCAAGGTACCGGTTTGGTTGGTTTGAGAAAAGGCACAAACATTGATATATGTTAACACAAGTCTCTCATATCTTGAGAGCGTGGACAAACAAGACACCTCAGGTGGAGGTCTCAGGAAAAAGGGGTAATTGGGCTCATACCTAGGAGGGGCACCTTGATGTCGGCAATTTGACCGTAACACCTCAAAATCTTTCGTACCTAAATTACACGTGCCCATACCTTGAGGGGTTCTCGCCTGTAGTGATGTGAGATGCGTCTCGGTTAAGGCTTAGAAGTTGACCAGTACTGTCTCAAAGCTGATGACTGTCTCAGCATGCTTGATTACTCACCCAATTTCACCTATTCTCTCAAAAGAATTAAGTGATCAAGATGAAGAGATGCGCATCAGAGTCCCTCAATATCACCTACTGATCTTTCTGTCGCCCATCCTGACACGGCCAGTTGCTACATCGGACTGCGTTTGCAATCATGCTTGCTATGCGATAGCTCATAACTAGCAAGACTCCCAATGCAACTTGACGGGTTCAGAGTGGTACGAGTTTAGTACGACAGTTGCTGTGTGCAAATATTCGCAAGGAAACTTGGTCGGGAATCTCACAGAGAACGCCACAACCCATCGAACAGAGGTACAAGATTCCCCACAAGCTGGCACAAGACGGTTTACCGTCGTCTCTCAACAGCACGTCAACGGGGCAGACTCCGGGACTTCCGAGATTTGATGCAGGCTTTGATAAACACATATGATTCCAGGACTATTGCAGTCAACGTGCAACACCAATCCAGGAACCGATGGGAGTGACAACGGGTACCAGCATTCTAGGTCTTTGCTTTCCGCGGCTTGTTACATGCTGCTGCATACAACCATGGCAATCGGCCATGAAGCAGTGATACACTGTGATCTAGACTTGACCTGTATCCCCGCAGATACCTCTCGGTAGCTAGAAATCCGCCCAAGCTTTCGCCAAGTCTCATCTCTCATTCGAGCAGATCTACCATGAACGTTGCTGAATGCGTGACTGGTCACTCGTGTCCCAGGTTACCTGAGGAGCTCACCTTGATAAGTGTACTACGTATCTATAGACTCTGGCAAGCCACATTTGGCGAACAAGGCGAGAGATCTGGCTGATTTAACGAGAATCGATAGGCAGGTGGAAGAAACCAGGCCAAACCGCCACCTCCACGAGAGTGACCAGCTACCATCACATCTCGAGATTGACGCGCGGTCTGTTGGCGCTGTTTAACATAAGTCCTAGGGGTGAAGACGACTCTTCTCGGCAAGTAAGCTGGGAAGATAGAAGCCGGGTCGCGGTGTGGGCTGGATGATTTTTCCGCGTATGATCTGCAGCTATCAGCAACGGTCCGCACGCCTCGTTTGCAGTATTTTGGTCCTCCATGGAAATAATCACTGCATATTGAGAGCGACGTCATGATCCGCGGCCAGACATCTCATAGACGGAGAAGGCCGGAAACACAAAGGTACATTTGTTAGGATGAATGAGCAGGCCTTACCGAGTTAATGTCTGCCACTAACACGATATCGTGACATTGGGTCAAGAACATCTCCTGTGGGGATGTTGCCATTCTGGGAAGGGACGAGAGACAATCTACATGAAATCTCAGCTCTCCGCATTCGGAGAATTGCACCTTGATGTGCTGAGCTTGATTCGGTAGGCACGAAGCTCACGCCATGGTATGGCACGCTCTTTCTATAACTGACTTCTGTCCCTCACCCCCAGGGAAGCCTCTTCCATGCGCCCCTTTTCATTTCCTTCCTCAATCCTCTACCAAGTGGTCAGAGGACATATCACATCCCAGGTGACTTACTGCATCTGAGAGACGGCCAGCAGGCGGGCTTTCGTTCGTTTCCCCATTCTCTTCTCACTGCCTTGTCTTGGTCGCCTCTTTTGACAAGTTGTTGGTATCTACCATTATTCGAGCTCAGACATCTTGTGGGGGTATTCATCTCAAAGGCTCTTCACCATGAGGACATCCTCCTTGACCGTCGACATCCTGTCGGCTATTAGCATCGTCAGCTATGTTAGTGGAGTCTCCGCCCAACAGGACAGTTTCTTCTGGCGGCTCCGTGGAGCAGTTGGAGGGGGCTCGAAAGCAAGAGAACCGTCGTCTGGGAGCTACGGAGGTCCTGGTCCTCATGAGAGGGAGTACAGTTTGCCACCACCGTATGGCTATCCTCCTAAATCGACAACCTCGGAAGAGTCTATCACGTACGTCACGGTCCATGTTACGGATACAGTAACTGGTAAGTGCTCAGCCTTACGCAAGACAGTGCATTGATATTGATATACGCCACTCAGAAACGCACGAAGTGAGCTTGACATCGTTCCTAGCGACCTCTTCTGCCGACGCATATGGTTCGAGTTTGACTTCAAGCTTATCATCTGTGGTTGAAAGCATTCCAACTTCGGCCCCTTTTCCTGCAAACACAAGCTCAGCTCCACTTGAGACATTTCCCACAATCATCCTGCCTAGTACTACAACAGGTAGCACAAGCCTGGGCTCTCTCACAACGGCTTTACCCTCAAACACATCAAGCCTATTTACATCAACAGAGTTTGTAAGTTCGGGACCCCCGACAGGGACACTGAGTGGAACTTCGACACTGTCGATACCGGCAAATGAGTCTTCCATATTTTCTACTTCCACGAGACTTAATTCCACCGTCTCCTCTGCGCTGCCAGTAAGCCCTACTGTGCCAGGAACTAGTGTTAGTGGGAATTTCACGATACTGCCGGTGTCATCGACGACGCTCTCAGCCCCTGTATCAGGCACTAGTGCAACAGAGGCGCTATCAGGTAGCAGCTCGTCAAGTAGTTCTGCTTTGCCGACACTTCCGGGGAATTTGTCTCTGAGCTCCTCCCTGAGCTCTACGATTACCCCTATTTTGAACACCACGACGCTGCCTACACTGAGTGTCTCACCGTTCCTGTCTACCACGTCTTCAGCTCCATTTAGCAACACAACCTTCCCCAGCGGTCCATCTACAGGGATCCCTTCACTCAGTGGAACTTCTATCAGCTTTGTTTCGTCTTCTGCATTTTCGACATATAGTTCAGTCATTCTGAGTACCGCATCTTTGAGTCTGTCGACTTCTGTCCCGCTCAGCTCTGCCCCTTTCCCAAATGCTACATCGGCAACAAGTTCGACTGAAGCACTCAGTGAGACCAGTCCGACTTCTTCACTTCCAGTGACATTATCTTCAAGCACCTCATTGCTAAACTGGACATCGACTGGCGGGCCATTGACTTCACCCATTTCAAGTACGGAGATCACCAGCGTAACGGGGACTTCTTCACGGGTATTTTCAACGTCGGCCCCATATCCAGTGTCAAACTCGTCGTTCGCAACATCTGGATCATCTGGCACGGCGCCAACACTGCCAACCTCATCTATTCTTCCCCTCCCATCGTCATCTATTTCATCGGAACTTAGCTCGAGCATTCCGATCAGCGGTTTCAGCTCCGCTGAGCCTGTGCGATCTTCCATCTCTGGATCATCTTCTCTCACTGCGCTGCCGACTCTGTCGTCATCATCGTCAAGCGGTCCTGGTTATGGTGAGACCTCAGCCACAGAACGACCTAGTTCATCCACCTTGCCACCATTTCCAGTGTCTAATTCCACGACACTACCTGTCCCGACGAGGAGTAGCAGTGTGCCCAGTAACAGTGGATTTTCCAGTGCACTGCCTGTCTCATCTTCACTGCCACCGTTCCCCTCAAATTCATCAGCAAGTCCTCTTAGCCCGACAGCACCTTCATCAAGTACGCTTCCCACTTCTTCCCTTTCGTCACTGCCCCCTTTTCCTACCTTCAACTCTACCAGCTCAAATATCAGTCCAACTGGCTCCAGCAGCTCTGGAATAAGCATTAGTGGAATCTCAAGTGCTTTACCGATTTCATCGTCCTTGCCAGTCTTATCAGTCAACTCGACGGCCTCAAACTCAAGCCCTGCCTTAAGCACTGAATACCCGAGTTCACGCCCCGTGCCATACCCTACAAATGCCACAGTCTCAGGCTCTGGGACGGCAGGTACGGACACCTCAGGCCCAGTGCCGACAACAACTCCGGCCCTGAGCACGTCAGCCCCATACCCACTGTCCAATGTGACTTCACTTCCAGGAAGCAGTACCAGCTCCTCGCCTTCTGTGAGCAACCTTAGCTCCAGGTTGCCTGTGTCCGGTTCAGCTTCACATACATGGTTGAACTCAACTGTGCTCTCATCAACCTCCAGTCTACTTTCCACCGCTCCATTACCATCGATAAATTCCTCAACGAGCGGGCCGACATGGACGGGTCCGCTTTCAACTGGGATTTCTTCTAGTGCTCCCGTTCCAACGACGTCGACTCCTCTGTATCCACTGAGTAACTCGAGCACATTCCCAAGCAGTGCAACTGGAACCGCCCCTTCGTCCAGTTCCAGCCTCTCCACGATATCTGGGACCGTCCTTTCGTCATCGGCAACAGCCCCCTTCCCTACCTCGAATGCAACACACCTGAGCACACCGACTGAGAGTTTGCCAGGGACTGGTACTATCGGCTCCTCTTTCACAGCACTTTCGTCTAATTTACCTGTGAGGAGTAGCATTGAAACAACTTTGCAACCAACAACTTCAACTCTGCCACCGTTCCCTTCGTTGAATTCTACATTACTGCCAAGCTCAATTACAACTGCCAGTAGTACATTTATTTCATCGTTGCCCGGTACTGGAACAACTGCTTCAGTGTCTTCAAACTCTCCGCCGTATCCCACCTTCAATTCAACAGCAACCTCAGGACCCAGCGGTCGGACTGGAAGTGTGTCTTCTATAGTATCAGAAACCAGTGCCACTGAAGCTGTTTCAGGTAGTTCAAGCTCCGTGCTTCGCTTGACAAGCAGCTCCCGAACAATCACTGGGACCGCACCAACGTCTTTGGTATCAACAAGCTCTCCGCCGTTCCCAACGTTGAACTCAACTTTGCCAGGAGGTGTTTCAAGTACTTGGAGTGGCATCAGTCCAAGCACTTCAGGTTTTGGGACAGCTATCACAACTATTACCTCGGTGATTTCTTCGTCGACTCTTCTGACAATTTTCAACACGACAAGCTTTACAGCTCCCATTAGTGGATCTACCAGCTCACCATCATACCCTTCGTCAAACTTGTCCTCTTCCCTGACCACTTTGGGATCAAACAGCATCAGTGGTACAGGCTGGCCAAGCTCTTTGACGACTCCGCCGTTGTCCTCGAGTACCATACCTACAGGAAATGTCACCATTCCTGTATCTGGAACTTCAGCAACCGAGGCAATTTCGGGATCGTCAACAATTTCTCCCCCATTCCCAAGCACCAACACGACTATTTCCGTCAGTTCTACTGTCACCACGTCAGCATCAGTCATTAGCAGCCCCAGTCCTCTAACGACGACCTCTTTCTCTGGTACTGGTACCGCAATTTCCACCTCGAATGGTTTCTCTTCCACACCACCATACCCGTCTTTGAACAGTTCCACATGTACCGAAGAGACACCGACCATTGCCCCGGACACGACATGTACAACTCTCACGACCTATGTGAGTGGCACTGCAAGCGAGACGACTATCTCTGAGGTAACGAGTAGCGCGGAAGCACTGTCAGGCTCTGAGGTTCCGACATCAACCTTCAATGTAACGTCTCTATCATCGTTGATTTCGTCATGGACATCTTCATCAGAATATAGTACTTCACCAACATCTCTAGTGATAACAACAAGTAAGAAGGTTCCGTTTGCACCAAATATTACTATATGCTGATATCTGCATAGCTCCCTCGCCAACTACTCTGATCACAGAGACAAGTGCAGGATATCCACCACCAGCTACGCCTGCTTGGGACGCTGGACTGGGTCCGTTGGACCACCGCCACAACTTCAGCACCATGATACCACCAGAAGGCGCTAGTCCACCACGTGGAGGAGGTATTCATGATCCTTCTGATCCTAGTCGCATATCACACTGGTGGTCAAAGCTGAAGCGATTTGTTGGAAAGCTTGGAATAGACGCTCGTGCCCAGGGCGTCGATGTAGGCTTGCATCATCATCATCGACGCCCATGGAGGACTTGAGTCAAATCACACTTCGTAAGCAAACGGCAATGGAGGTACTTTGGTGCTGCTTCTATTTTGGCTAAGAAGGGTTGTCTCGAATCCTGGGGCTCTAGTTCTTGGCTGTACAATCATATTTGACACAAATCGTTCCTATGCTGATCAATAACTGCTATAAGTCTTGGGTCTTCAAAGCAAATGAGCATTGTCATGCTAAATAATACAAGCTTTCAATGTCCCTGTTCGAAGACATGCAAACATTCACTCGAAAGTATAAGAAGTTCAAGTTCGCAGACTGTTCATGCTAACTGTATATTCCTGTCTGCTAGAATTATAGCATCGTATTTGTGCCAACTTGCAGTTTACGCAAGTGCTCAAGTCATGTAACAGATGAGACTCCGCCAATATGCAAGCCGTTTCAGAGCTGAATGATTTGAAATGATCCCTACAGGATAGATAGTTTGAGCCTCCGTTCTTGACTCAGAGAAGACTGATTGATATACGTGCCAAATCTTTTCTTTAGCAAGAACTCCGACAACTTGATCTTGATCTCCTCCACAGTATCCCTTCCCTTCCTTCAGCTACAGAGATGCACTTTCTTTTGAATCGCCAGCTCTGTTCAATAGGTTGTGGACATACTTTGCCAAGCAGGACATTTCCTCCTTTGCCTGCTGTAGCTATAGCTATTCGCTTGCGGCGGGCAGATGTGCCCGCGTGGCGGTAAATTGAAAACAAACAATTACAACAATTGGTATCCGTGTCAACTATAAACGTGAAGGTCGTAAACTGTCATCTCATGTTTGGAGGGAGACCGATGAGGCCCAAGGAGAAGCGATGGCGCTCTTAGACCTCGTCCTCCTCCTGAATGGGCGCGGGCGTGCGCCTCTCGTCGCGACGCCGCGGCCGGCGCTGTCGCGAGCTGCTGATGTTGCTGGCCGAGTCGTCAGGGGCAATCTCAAAGTCGTCGCCGCCCCAGTCGCTCTCGCTGGCCGTGGACTCGTCGGCCCACGAGGGGCGGTCGAGCGGGCCAAAGTCGCCGGACTGCGGCAGGACGTCGATGTGCGAGGCGCCAAAGCCGCCGCGGCGGTTCTGCAGGCTCATGGAGAGGCCGGCACCGCGTTGGCGTAGGGCGGTTCTAACGAGTTCCGCTTTGCGGTGCAGCACCTCGAAGGCGTCCTCGAGCGCCTCCATGCCCATGAAGATCTCGCGCTCGAGCTCGGCCAGCACGGCGATCTCGGTCTCCTCGTCGTTGGAGACGGCTTGCCGGTTGGGGTGGGCGGACGAGGCCATCGAGGTGCCGCTGACAAAGGAAGCTGGTGTTGCACCTCGTGAGAACGGCGTTGTGTTCCGCGTGCCGATGCCAAGAGCAGGAGTGAATCGAGCGATGCCGCCAGGGCTCATGGTGCCGACTCGTGTCGGGGGAAAGAATGCGTTGGCCGGGGTGGGACCACGCGATGGGTTCTCTGCCGTCGGGGTGACTGCCTCGTCCTCGCCATCCGCACCAGACCAGAGGAAGCCATCAAAGCGGCCTGATATAAGAATTTCCCACTCTTGTGCGTTGATGTCGCATATAGTGTGGAGAAGGTCATGCATATGAGGATTTTTGACTAGGTACATGACAGTTTCGGCATCTCGCGGAGCTTGCTGGAGGCGATAAAGTCTCTGTATTGCTAGGCCTGATTTCACAACGAAGTCGTTCCGAGCTTTGCGCATCGGGGTAGGAGCTCGAAGTGCCGGTTGCAACTCTCGAGCACCTGAAAGAAGAGCATTGAAGAATGGCTGGTCGTCTTGGTCGAGGTTGGTCATGATGGCGAAAGTGAGGGTCTCGTCATCCACTTCTTGAGGCGGCGGTGCTGGAGTTTCTGCGCAGTGATTTAGCCACTTGTCAACCGCAGACCTCACTTTCTTCGATTGTCTTAGATAATGTCCCCTGAACTCTTCAGCAATGTCGGGGTCCATCTTGACGGGTGATTCTGGCCGAGGTGGCATATCCGCAAGCTCCTCCACAGCTTTTACGCCGAGGGTTGCTAGGTCGAATGGTGGCCACTGAGGAATCTCGACTCGCCCGCTGACTCGCTCGAGAACCTCTCCCCATTGCAAGCCCCTGTGAAGCACACCGGATCGCTCACACATGATACAAAAGCATCCTTCACGGGGTAGATCTCTGCTAAAGACATTCTCCAGTCGATCGAGCAGACGTCGCGCCACCGTTCTGTGACCTGTTGCAACGGCTATCGAGCCATTTTTGTTGATAACGGACTGATATTGCTCGAGGAGGCCGAAGAAGGGAGCGAAGAGTGTCTCGGCTCCTCTCAGTGGAGGATTTGATGGTCGCGAGGCATTTTGGCGAGGTAAAACAGCAAGAAAGTTCTTCGGCACAGCGGTGGGTAACCCGCCGTTCTGCATGAGGTAATCTACACGAGGTGCTTCCTGGAAATTCAGCTGTGGGGGAGGTGGAGGGGGCGGCGGTGGAGGAGGAGGTCCGGCTGTACTGATATCTGTCAAATCTGTAGCGGGAGTCTGCACTTCGGAACGATAACCCGGTTGCTCAAAGCGGATGTGGTGTGGCAGTGGGTGTTTGTCGTCGTGGAACATAACACCCGGCGGAAACTGAGGGGTTGTAATAGTTGGAGTCTTTGGAGATGAACTATCCTGAGCAGAATCGGGTGAGTCGTCTAAGGTTTCGAGAGTTTCTGGTCGCGCTGTCGAGGTCGATGGGGTCCTCTTGGTCGCTACAGATGTAGATGCGGACCGTGAGCTGACTTTGAGGTCGCTAAGAACAGACTCCTTCTCTTTCTCAGTCTCGGCTGTCGGAGGCATGAAAGTAGGTGATTTGATATAGGTGGCCTGACTTGAAGTTTTTGACTTCATCGAGAGCTTCGACCGGTCGTCATTTCGGGACGCTGATCGGGATATGCCCGACGTTCTCGAGCGCGGTCTCTCGTCCCCTAGCTCCCGTTCCTTCACTGTAGATGGCGTGCCTCCCCTCTTCTCGCCCGATAGGTTCGTATCAGGAGGGCTTGGTGGCCGTTCGGCCTTCCGAGACGAGGAAGGCTTTCGACCAGATCCATAATCCGCAGACTTTGATCGATGCATATCCCCGGCACCAAGGTCAGTCGAAGTCGCCTCTGGGGTCAAAGGATCGGTCCGTCGACCGCCCGGTGTCGAGACATCATCGCGGCTGTGTACTGCTTCCTTGCTATGAGCCTTGCTGAAGCTCGGATACGGCATGTGCACCCTCTCCCCACTCCGGTTCAGCTCGGGCACGAGGTCGATCATGGACGACGAGGCGGCCTTCGCCCTGGATGATCCAGTCTTGGATCGTTGTTTGGGAGAGTAGGAGACGTAGGAGCTGTCGTCCCGTCGTGAGGGGCGACCGGATTTCTGGGTGTGAGAATGGCGGCGGTGTGATGACGACTCTTTATCGGGGTCTCTTTCTCTGTCCTTTTCACGGTCGGCCTTGCTGCGTTCACTTTTGCTGCGGTGGCGTTTCTCTCGGGGAGGATCGTCCATATCGACGTCCCTGTCCTTGGGCATGGTGAACCATGCCAGAAGGGTGCGTCAAGCCGAGGTTTTGTGTGTGTGTGCTTGCTGCACAAGCGAACTAGCGTTGGGATCTGTTTCTTGCTAAACTAGCAGCAAGAAGCTCGTAGTGTCACATAAAAGGCCGCGCCTGAGGAAGCCGAGCTCGGGAACGTGGAAGGGGCGAGAACAGGGTGCCACGGCAAGGCAGGATTTGGAGTGGTATGAGGTATGGTGGTGCGTAAGATAGAGAGAGAGAGGAAGGCGTAAGGTGATTCTCTAAAGAAGCAAGGCCGAGAAGAGGGTGGTGGTTCAGCGCTTGCGGGCGTTGACGAGAGCAACGCAGCCGAATGTGATTCGCCGGCTGTGACCAATGCGAGCTGGGGGCTTGCTTGATGGTTGCGGGAAGAGGCGCACGGAGCCCATTAAAGGCAAGCCTGCCCCGGTCGCTAGCTGGCTAGTAGGTAGCGAGGAGCCCCCGCCGTCTCCAGCTGGGCCTGAATTAGGCTGTGACAGTGCACTGCTGGCGGCGTGTCTAGTGGGGTCGATAGCGTTGCAGCGGGACGGCCAGCGCAACCGTTTCTGTTTCTTTAGAGCCGACTTGTGAGCTTCGAGTTCACAATTGTCCGTACCGTAGTGCAGAATAGACACAATTACAGCATAAAGCAACCTCGAGAACAATAAGAGGCAGAACTCGACGGGGTTGATGACAATAGAAGAGACCTGGGAGCAATCCAGTCATACTCGTGCTTTTGAGCTTCAATCTAGGGTCACTCCTTCCCTTGATCAAAGTGCCATTCGCACTTGCCTCGAGATGTGGCTTACGACTGTCTTCGCTGGCAAGCACGACCGACCAGCTCTAGTTGGCTCCTTCTCGGTACGGTATTGTGCAAACAAGCGGAAGAATGGCTCTGCGAGGTATTGGGTACGAAGGTCCTGTCCTACCTGCAGTTGGGCATCAAGTCTCAATACCATGATTTGGGGGCCTGTCGTTAAGCGCGCATCTGTCATCGGTCTGCCTATCAACCACCAACCAGGAACCGGCCTGGCCATCCATCTCCTCTTCCCATCACCTTTCACACACCTTGGCCCAGGCACTACACTTAATTCTGCATCCCCGTCCTGCATGTGCTTTCCCGTGCGATTCAATCGCTGTTCGTGATCGCGGCACCTTGCATCAATGTCTATTCGATTTCTCGAGTTGCTTGCTATACGGGCTGTCGCACCCATCACGATACTTCGATCGGGATGCTGTGAATGAATGTCTGCACGACGCACCGATAGAATGGCAGCAGAGACAACCGGTAAATGAATTCTACTTGTTCTTTGCTCTGACTGTGCGTGGCAACACACACCATTTCTCTTCTCTAATATAGTCCAACCGCAATGCCATCATGCGAAACCGGCATATCCCAAATGCAACCTGATACCAAGCGAAAACTTCTGTCTCTTCTCTAATCCAATCCATTCGATCCCGCGTCGTGTTGCAGGTAGTGCAACATATGGACCTGAACTTCGCTCCCGCGGGTTTTCTTGACCCGTGGAGCAACCAATGGTCACGGCGTGAGAGCAAGACATTTGTCAATGTCCACCACTTTTAACTTTTGTTCCGAATCCCCTGAAAAGCTCTAGAGGGTTCACAGCCTATCCAGTAGTCCCTGGCTCTCGAGAAGAAGGACGATCTGGTGAACGATGGATCGCACTGTCTGCTTCTCGGCATCGACCACCAACTCGGCCTTGGCAGGCACCTCATACGGGTCATCGACACCGGTGAAGCCCTTGATCTCACCGGCACGAGCCTTCTTATAGATGCCTCTTTTGTCGGTCTTCTCGCAGTACTCGAGAGAAGTCGCCACGTGGATGAGGTAGAAATCACCGTACTTCTCGACGAGCTCACGAGCGTGTTGTCTTGAGTCCTCGAAAGGCGCAATGGGGGCGGCGATGACGGCGGCACCAGATCGGGTCAGCTCTGATGCGACAAAGGCAATGCGGCCAATGTTCTTGGTACGATCTTCACGGCTGAAGCCGAGCTCAGAGGAAAGCTCGCTTCGGACAGTCTCTCCGAGAAGCATGGAGACGGAGCGCCCGCCCTGCTGGTTCAGAGTCACCTGCAGCGCTCTGGCAATCTGATCCTTTCCGCTGTTCTGGTAACCGGTCAGGAAGATGGTGAAACCTTGTTGAGATCGTGGAGGGTGAGACTCTCGGAGGACCTTGACAACCTCGGGGTAAGAAAACCACTCAGGAATGTCGCGTCCGCTTCGCAATCTCGCACGGAGCTCTGTGCCGGAAATGTTCAGGGTGCGGACACCCTTGGGAATCTCGTCGACGGGAGCGTACTCGTCGCTGTCCGGTAGGTATGTCATCATCTGGAAGGGAACGACCTCAATACCAAGCTCGTCGCGGTACTTCTCAACAGCATATTGAGCGTCGTATGGCCCGTAAAAGTCCACGCCCTTGCTGTTCTTGCCCGGGCCGGCATGGTCGCGGCCGACAATGAAGTGGGTAGCGCCGTGGTTCTTGCGGATAATGGCGTGCCAGATAGCCTCACGGGGACCTCCCATGCGCATAGCAAGAGGTAGCAGACCCAACACGGCCATGCCATTGGGATATCTCGGCAGCAACGCCTTGTAGACGCGGACACGAGTGAAGTGGTCGATATCACCGGGCTTAGTCAAGCCAACCACGGGGTGAATGAGTACGTTAGCGTGGTGGGAGCGAGCAGCGCGGACGGTCAGCTCTCTGTGTGCTCTGTGCATGGGGTTTCGGGTCTGGAAAGCAACGACTCTAGACCAGCCTAGCTTGTCGAAGTGCAATCGGAGCTCGGCAGGAGTGTCTAAAACTCATCAGCAGGTTATTCTTGAGGCTCTCGATCCAAGTGGAACCCTACATCTGAGGTCGACAAAGTCATAATGCTGTAGGCGGTTGATTGCCTCCAGCTTACCACCAACGTAGTACTCATTGGCAGTCTTGAAGAGATACCTTACAGCAGGGTGCTCCTCATCACCGCCAAAAACCTCCTTTGCCTCAACAGCCCTGTAGATCCAGCTTTATTAGCTCTGCGGCACTGCCCGATCTTCATGTCTACTCACTTATCCGGTTTGTACACATCCTCGACTGTCAAGATGGCGAGGTTGCGATCGTCGCGGAAGTCTCTCAGCACGACTCGCACACCGGCCTTCAGGCCCAGCTCTGCGATGGTCTCCTTGGTCAAGTCCAGAGTAATGGGCATGCTGAAGAGCAAGCCATTGGCCAAACGGTTCTCCTTGACAACGCCATTGTAGTCCTGCTCGTTCATGAAACCTGCGAATTCAGTCCCCGTTAGCCACTAATCGTCAACAGCGCACACGACCATGGGTGGGGTCCGCCAGGGGACCCCTCGATGGTGGGGTGTCAAAGCAATAGCTCAAGATGGAGCAAGATGGAGCTGTTGCGCGTCGCTTACGAACCTTCAAGGGGAGAGAAACCGCCATTGAGGATCAGTTCCAGATCGCAAAGCTGGCGCTCGCTCAACAGGATCGAGGGCAGAGTCTCGGCCTCGGCCTCGAGCTGATCATGGCGAGGAGCGTCTCGTGCGAGCAAATCCTTGAGGATACCGCCGTGGGGAGGGTTCGCCATGGTTTCGAGAGTTCGACTACGGTCAATTGGTGAAGGGGACGGACAAGAAGGAAGCTGACGAGAGTTTCGAGGAAGCACGGCTTGTGGCAGGAGCTCGAGCTTTAAAAGATCCTGCAACCAGAACCCAAGGGCTGACAAATATTGGCTGGCAGAAAGGCTGACACGTACAGGGCAGGACAGGGCAGACGGACAGAATGCAACGTCTCCGGAGGCCCGACTCCTTACGCAAGTGCTCTTATATACTCTAGTCTAAACAGGTGGCCAGCATTCGCTCGCGGCATAAACTAATGAAGGAGCGGATGAAGGTAAAAAATAATTTCCATCCGGGGCAAAATCGGACGCTGTGGTCCAGCCATTGAAGGGCCGTCCTCATGCTCAATGTAGAGCCCCGCGGGTGTTCGAGGTGGGATTTGCTCAGCTAGCTCGGATGACGTGCTCAGGGACGTACCAGTCTAGTGGGCTGGTGGCCGTCATGGAGACCTACAGACCACCTACAGCGTCCTGCACGCGGCTCCGCCGAGGCATGGCCAAGAGTCATTCACCACCCGAGGGCGTTATGATGGAAGAAATGCGTCTCTTGGGAGGTCTTGGAACGGCCAATCTGAAGAGAGATCGATGGTGAATAGCGCACGCGGGCAGGCCTCCTCAGCCTTGGGGAGTGCTACGAATGAGGCCCTCTCGAGACAATCTGGTGGCTGCCTGTCATGGGAATTGAGGTTAGAGCCAATGCACGTTCGTGTTTTTATTTTTGGGCAGATGCTCTTTGGTGGCTTGCTCGCCTACTGTGGGGGCATTTTGCATATGGATAAATGCTACCTTGCACTCTTCAGATCAAGGCGAGACAGCATTCTATAATAATGGGCATAACTCTCGAGAGCTCGAGAGTTACTACAGCTGGAGACTCGAGGAAAGAAACAAAGCCCTCCATCGGTGAGGCTTCACCTGGAAAGCCAATGCCTGAATGAGCGTCGGTTTGACGACTTCACCACCACCGAGACGAGAGACCTTACGACGACACTGACCCCACCAGAATCACCAACACTACCATGTCCTTGTCCAGGGCAATTGAGGGGCAGTGTGGCTATCGGCTCTAGCCGCTGCTGCAGATTCTCAAACACGCAAACACGCCCTCTCTAGACGAGGCTGCAAGATGCGTTTCGAGCCTCTAACGTTGCGTGCGAAGATGGTGAAAATCGCCCATCTTAAAACTTCCATTTGACACCACCTAGAGACTATTTTGGCCAAGGACCATAGAGATATTCCAAAGCAGGCGGAATGCTTCTCCTCGGCGGTCGAGCTCCGGCTCTCGGTAGGTTGCCGCTCCAAGTGCCGAACGCTAAAGGAAGTCGGCCTATTACTAGTCTAGCGATATGGCTTTCTCTGAATACCCATGCAGCCATGGTGGGTATATCAATAATGCTCTGGGTATGGGCGGATCAATGCTGTGGGACATCGCCGTGAATACACATAGCGAGACGCGCGGCTGGAGGGGGGTTTAAAGAAATCTAGCACTGTGATTTGGAGGACATTGTCTTCAATCTTTGACATAAAACAGACTTGAGTGCTTTATGCTCCCCTCTCAGCAAGCATTGGCTTGAAAGTAGAATATCGTATCGGGTGATTGTCGAAATATTAGGAATCAATATGCACTCTTTTCTACCTATGACTTCAAACTCCATGTCTACTACTACCCTTTCGATGTCTTCTCGTCGAAAATCATTCCTCGACAACCGAAGTCTACCTACATACTCCCGTTGTCGAGTATATCATCCGTGGACGAACAGGGATGAACTGATCAGCACAGGGTCTAATCAAGATTGATCTTGTCAGTAATCCATCGCCCTTCACCATTCAATTCCATTCGAGCAATTTTCGAAATTTGGGTACCATTGCTCGATGGTTGGCGTCGCCGGCCGCGACAGCAACATCGGGCTAACGCCTGAGTAATCGAAACATGGATTCAGAGTGTCTTTATTTGCTTGGGAGACTCCTGATGGTATGAATGGTATACCCATACCTTGGGTTGTCAAAGACAGGGTTGCATCCCCTGAAAACCAATCTGTGTCAGCAGAATAGCCATTCCTGAAAAGCTTGATCGAGAGAGGTGGCGAACCTGAGTGGTGCGTCTGCAGAAAAGCAAAACAAATGGCAAATTCTGGTCCAGTCACTATTTGAATGACAGAGGAGTCAATATTCCAATCGTTCATTGCCGTCTGCACGAAAGCAGCGATATTTGGGCAGACCTGTTTATCAGGTGGGTATACGCTTATTGCGGCTTGCGAGTGTGTTGGTGAGATATGGCCGCCTAGCATATTGTAAGGGGTTCTATTGATAAGCATCTTGCTTCGGTCCGGCGGCTCATTTTCAACAGATCGAGACTTTGAAAATCTATCGGCATTATTTTGGAGCAGAAATCCAGCTGCAATTTCCCTGAGATTGAGTAAGTTTTGCTGCACCTCGACACTTGGACTATCAGATAAGAAATCAAGGTCGATATCCCACAGTGACTTCACCGCTTCTCGAAACGCCAACTTTTCCCTGAACGTATGGAAGATTTCCGTCCAAGACATCAGACCGCTCGGAAACACCTCCAGATAGGAACCACCATCCAAGACCTCGGAGATTGCACGAACGAGACATAAAAAAGGGATGATGCGGCTTAAGTCCCCGGGATGCATTAATCTCCAAAGCATACTCAGCGTTAGAATGGCACCTAACAATGCGTGCTCCTCTGAGGAGAACAGGCCGCAGATCGACTGGAAGTTCGTCACGGAGACTTCGCTGGCCCGTTTCAATTTTTGAAGGTGATACATGAATCTCGATTGAAGGCCTTTTAGTTCTACCAGCGTGTCTAGCGGTCCCAACTTCCTGATGGATCGTGAGCCGAGTGGTGGATGTTGTCTAGGATTGCATTCTCCAAGGAAGACACTCCAGGGCTCCAAACCTCTCCCCCCGGCTTTACCAGTCGTTGAAACATATACAGGAAAATCAACACAGAAATCTGTGGCAAGAAATTCAGTTAGGCAATTCGCAATGGCTTGCAATAATTTTGCTGCTGAGAATGCTCCTTTGACCACATTGACTGAAATAGTGACACTACTATCTCTGAGCGAGGTGAGCTCTTGCGCATTTGATGAGCTAAAGATGCAGGTGCCGTTGACTTTAATAAATGTAAAAAACCGACTACAAATCTCGTGGACAGCTGTGGCCTGAAAGCTCGGAGGCACGTCCGAGGGTGGCACGCTGGTATTCTCGGCCGCTGCATAGCTGGATGTAGGTGGTATTGCTGAATCCATGGATATCGCTTTATTATTTTGATGGAAGCCTTGTCGTGACGGATCGCCATGGAATGAAGATGTACTGCTGCAAGCAAAGAGAATATTAAACCTGTTGGGTCCAAGCTCTTCTCTCTTTCGTCTTATGAAGCGATCAACTTTGATACAGTCGATCTCTTCTCCGTTCATCAAGAGGCCAGGAGGCCTGCCAATGGCTTCGCACTCGATCTTATAACGTGCAAGTTGGAGCATGTCGCAAGTGCGAATGTTCTTTCTTAATTTCCAGTCTTTGAGACGCTTCTTGTATTGTTTAGGCCTTGTGACTGGTCAACTTGGGACTGATTTTGGGATCCTTTCATAGAGACTACATACGTAGCTGAGAAGTTATACGTGACTTTCATAGTCTTGATGACTTCATTCAAACTTTTTTTCTCAATGAACCAGAGCCTTGTAATCTCATCTCGGAATCTGGCAAAGCCAACCGATTCCTTGCTGGGCCGGCCGGGTCCACGGCGTGAAGGTTTAGGACTGGTGTCCATGTAAACAATAATAAAACAACACGATGGGTCTTGCTCTGCAAAAGCGTGGATTCGAGAAATTGTCTTCACCTTGTGGTTGCGATAATTGTTCAGACTGTGTCAGTCCTATATACAACAAGAGGTGGGGAAAAGAGGTTGGGTGTACCTCAAAAGTGCCAAATTCGGTGATTGGCCGCCGTCTGGATGCATCTAGGCACCTTGCTTAGGTCCATAGAACACCACAATTTTGTAAAACAGTCAGCCACACAAAAGTCCCAAATTCGCTCAGTGGTCAGTCATAAAGCCGAGTGGCAAGCCACCTGCGCCTGCGAATTTATAGAGCGACAACTGCGATGTATATGACACTCTCCCGCGCAGTGGTTGTATTCAACACAAGTAACGTTGTTGCACCCATTGCTGAGAGCCTCGTTCATCCCAGACATGGCATTCTCACAAGATACGAGGATCTTGTCAAAGTTGAAACAATTCATCTTGCAGACTCCCTAATGAGGACAGGAAAATGAGCCCATTAAAAGCAATACACCGTGCCCAACAAGCTGTGTGAGTTAAAACTTAATGAATCTTTGAGTGAGGCTTAGACATAGTCTCTCTATCGTAGCCTCTTGGCAGATCTCTACCTCATGGGCCCAGAAATACTGCTTTTCGCTCTCGAACGCCTCAACTCAATGTATTACAAAGTGATCGGCAAAGTGTTCTGATTACCATCAGTTCACATGAATTCCTAGAAATGTCCGCAGAGAAATGCCGTGAATCCCATGCAAGTAGCAGTACCTGGTTATGAAGTGCCAAGTGTAAGTCGTTGATTTCAACATCACTGAATCGCCGCTAGCTCCATAGTTTTCACCGTAGCTGGCGAGTATCCAGAAGATGTGGGTTACCTGCTTTGCCCGACTGCGTTTTTATGAGATCGAGAATCTTTCAGAAGTCTGTTCAGATCAAATGCGACCTTGGAGAATCAAGAATTTCCGTAATAAACCGACTTATCACCATGAAGCAAAATAAGACTGGGTCGTCTTCAACAGGCGCAGACGTTGCGCTAAACCAGCTTCGTCCGTCTACTTCTCAGCCCAGCCATCACTCGGTCCAGGGCAAAGACGTCGAATTCCAGCACAGCGTAGGCGATCCTTTTGGGCTGTCTGTACACCTGAAGGAGGAATCTGAGATCAAGGCCAACATCTCCCGTAGGCGTCAGGGGGCGAACAGGGCTGCCGACGGCCTAAAGTAATTCTACGAGAGCCAGAATGAGGATATCAACGCTATGCTCAAGTCGGTGGATGAGCACGAGCCGGGAGAGAGGGAGTCTTTCGAGAAGCACAACCTGCTGTGCCAAATTTGTACAAAGGGATCGCTCATTGCCAACGTCTTCCTTGCCGCGCTGCAGCTGTACGGTGCCATTTCCTCCGGCTCGCTTTCGCTCATCACCACCTGCGCTGACTCCGTCCTGGATCCCATGGCCGGCCTCATGCTGTACATGTCCCACCGTGCCGTGGACAAGGTCGACCACCACAAGTTTCTCTCTGGCCGCGCGCGAATTTCGACGGCGGGCAACATCGTCTTCTCGTTCATCATGTTCTCCATCTCCCTCGTCCTGATCGTCCTGTCTGCGCGTGACCTCGCCGCCGGCTCCCAGGTAGAAACCAACGGCTTCCACCTACCTTCAGTGATAGCCGTCACCTGTGCTTTCGCCACGAAGCTGGGCCTGTTCTTCTTGTGCTGGACGCGGCTTGTTGTGGAAGTCGACATTGTCATTGATCGCAATGAGCGGCTCGAGTCATGACGTTGCTGAGGACCTCCAAATCAAGCTGGAGAAGCTACCTAGCGTTGAGCGTGCCTTTGTGCATATTGATTATGAGACTAGCCACAAACCTGTAAGTCGATACTGTTTGATGTCCTTTAGCGGCTGCTTGTCTAGGATATTGGCTCTAATTTCTAATTAACTACAGGAGCATAACTTCAAGAAGCTTCGTTGATGCGCAAGGGAGATTGCCATGAGCAGACTGGGGATTTGAAGTTGTTCATCACAGATATCTCATTCAAAAATTGAAAATGCAATGTTCGGCAGTTCCCAATGCGAGCAGATGGTGGGCTTCTCGAACATGTGGCCAATGTGATTGTCCGGGCTCCTGTACCCCCGCATTCCCGGATCCCCGGGTTGGCGCCTTAGCATGCATGCTAGACGCCGTCTCGCCGAGACCCTGGGACGGAAGCTAGCGCCACTTTTGTCGCCTCAGCATCAATAGAGCCCGAGTCGAAAGCCTTTTGCCCTTCTTCTGCTGAAAGTCCGGCCTTTATGTTGCCCCGAATTGGAATCTAAGGTGCGTATGGACTGCAGGGACCCGGCAACGGGCCGGGGTCCACAGAGAGGCTGGCACTCGACGTCCACGTTCTGAGCAGGCACTGGCATTACTTGTCGAGTTCGACGAGATGTGCGGACCACAACATGACAGGCAGCAAACAAATGCGACCGAGCGCCCCATCCCCATCATCGAGATCACCCGCCAACGACGCCTAATGAGATCCGCGCCTCTTTCACTCAAGCGTACCTATAAACGTCGAGAATGGCTGCCCTTATGCCTCGCGGTTATCGCTCCGTCACCGAATACCGTTTCTGCGAGGAACAGACCGACGCCATTGTTCGAGTCGCCTCCTACCATCGCAAAGACTACTGTCGCTCCGTGATATAGTTCTCGCCTCACGACCACGTCAGTATTCGTCTGTCGATAGCAACGCCCTTTCGGTGGACTTCTAATATGGGACTCGGCTCTCTCGATTGGGTACCCCTTAAGCTCTTGTATGACGTATTGTTACTTCTGGACATGCATTCTCTATTCAACTTTCGACAACTAAATCTCAGATCGAGACAGACGGCAGACTCTCTCAAGCGATATCAGGTCTTGCATGGACTGAACCTTCTCTGCGCCTTATTACGAATAGGACTTATCATGGGCGTTTCTCTGTTCGACTTTTACCACACACTATATACCAAGGCTTGTACTCTTTGCGGCGAATTCGCCGGATTTATATCCCTCCTGACCTGGAATCGATGCTGTTTTCCATGCCTCCAAGAGGCTCCGGAAACCCAAGTGCAAACTCTTGCCGCTGTCCGGAAGCAATTCCACTTGACCAAGGCCGAACTAGACCAGCTGAGGTCATTCAAGACTTGCCTAGAACATATTCGATGAATGACTCCGTATACAAATCCCGCATTACGGTCGTTTCTCTTCATCAGGCCATATTGGCTTCCGGACAGCAACCGCATGCACCAGCGCAGGCACAGGCAGCGAACTCGGGACGAAATAAAAAAATTCAAACTTTATGGGTTCGTGCGCACTTCCTTATTATGATAGACGAACCGGCAGAGCCGAACATGGCACGTCGTGTGGCTGGGTGCCAACTCGCTCTCGAAAAAGACATCATCGGCTCCAGGGGCGAGGACTGGGCATTTGAGGCTTACGACAAGGTGTATGCGCAAGATGGCTTTTTTTTTTTGGAATAGTTTCGATGGTGTGAACAGGCACAGCTTCCTGTGGAGATCGAGTGGTGAAGGTAACAACCGGCCACCCGAGCTACCGGAGGCTGCTCGGAGAGGAGGCTACTTCAACAATAGATAGTATTAAGGACGTGGAAACTGTTCGCCAATGCGTCGCGGCTAGGCTGTCTACGAAGTGTCCTACAAGATTTGTCACAAAATCGAGGCCGATGCGCAGCTCACGGATCCGAGCGATCGGACACGACACAACCTACGATCAACGACGCGAGGTCGAGATCTGTCAGACCGTTGTGCCGCAATCAACTGACTGATCCAGCAGGAGCCAGAACTCATAGGCTAATTCTTTGCCGTGCTGACCTGGCTGCGACAAAGTCCTCAAAAGTAGGTGAAGTAGCTACGGGAAAGGCGTTGCACATACATGCAGTAGTAGGAGCGAGAGGGCCAGAACCGGCTGCCACACCTCCTCTTTTGGAAAATGTCCTTATCAGCCTGCATATATTGCAGATAACCACTGATTTTCACCGATCGCCGGCAGCACGATGGTACTCAAAGGGTGTTCGAGACGCAGCGATCTGCATCTGCGGTCTGTGTAGTCTGTCACAACCACTATGAGGGTCCAGTGGATGCGACAAATTGATTCGCTGACAGTGCGATTTAGTGCACCCAAGAGTTTTGGAAGGACTGTCTTTGTTTCAGTCCTGTAGTATCCTCACACTAACAAGTCGAGGTAAAGAATCTTGATTTTCAGCATGAGGGACACCCAAGATCCCAACTGATGACGGATGGTCGTTGCGCATTTCCCTCGCCGACGATTTGTGGAATTGTTAAAAGCTGGTTCTTGTCTACCCAAGCTTGATTTCGGCCATCAGATGACCGGGGGCGATGGATATCAATGGCTGGGGTGGGTGCATCCCGAACTTACCGAACGGGCGCCAAACTCGATCGCGGCGTTTTAGCCTGGTTCGATTGGCGATGGAAGAAGAGCGGTCTAAGAGATCGATGTCAGTCGCTGGAGTCGAGGTCTTTTGCGCGAGAGGTTGGTGCATCGAGCAGGCTCCATAATAAACGAAGTAAATGGATGAGCTGGCGGCGATGGGGAACTTTCAGGTGATCGGAGTCCCAATCATTACAAGTCATGCTGATGCCCAGCCAGGCGTCGTCGTTGTCGTTTTTTGTTCGGTTCACGGAAGCCGCCATGTATGTAAATGCTGAGCACTGCTGACGGAAGGTGGCACGGCGCCAAGATAAGATGGCATCAGTGGTGACCAGTGCCCAGGACCCCCACCTTGTGAAGCGTCTTGGCCTGCTTGGCCTGCTTGGCCCAGCGCCTTGTTGCGTTGCCCGAGCTGGTGCGTGGTCGATTTTATGGTTATCCCAAATGCCAAGTGGTCCCTGACCCTGTTCCCTGCCTGCCTGCCCTTCTGCCCTTTCTTAGCAATTATGAGCAGGGGCGGCGGATACAACGGATACGAACAATATCCCTGGACTCTGAGCGTTTCCTCCATTTCCACTGGATGAATTGGATGGTCAGCAGCGGATTATTGCAACTGCGTATCGCGCGCGCACGGAAAGGGGGGCTTGTGGGAAGTAATCAAAATAAGACCTTACCTAGGAAGTCAACATTCCAGTACTCAGCTGAAAGAAATGAAAGTGAAGAGAGATTGGTGAGGACAACCGCTCTAGGTTCTGTAAGCCCCAAACGGCCTGATTCAGCACCCAAACAGTACGTGGATACATTGCTGCAACAACACGATAGGCATATTACCCCCCTGTCGCGCCGCCACTATCATCATCATGGTGGCGCCCAGCCTGCATTGCAGGGCTGCTGCAGCACACACGAGATTTCCCAAGACAGAGCACCACGTTAGATTGCAAGCGTAGAAGGGTGCATTTGCAGGTTGTACTCTAGTACCCTACGCCGCCTACCTAATGCTAATGGCAGAAGCAATTGACAACAACAAAGTCTGGCGGGAATAGACTTTTCTGGGCAAGATACCAAGAGTCCGCCGGTGTACAGAGAGTTTTCTTGTAAGGCAGGCACAACAAGGTTATCTTAATTAAGGTGGCACTTGTAATCGCGTTTAGGTTTGGCTTGGGCCGCAGCTTCCCATCTTTCGTACCTAATAATCTACCTCACTCGCTGTAATATCGTATTGTATTGCGCGGTACGCCCGGCACCTGCCGTACATGTATACTGCCCTAGTCCATGTACCTTGGTGGTGACTTCCTCGCTAGGAGTGTTGTGGTGGGTGGTGAATGGAAGGTGCAAACTGGTGTGTGGTCCACTGGTCCCTTGTTGTTGTGGTGCTTGCCCAAATGGTCTCGAATTTGTTGATTCCACTTATTATTCCCACTCACACCTGTACCTTATGTTACCTTTATCCAGACCATCTACCCGTTCGGGTCCGGGCCTTCCATTCTTTCCCTCGCCTGCTCGCTCTTTTCCTCTCCGGTTGTTGTTCGTTCGTTTTATCTATCAATCAATCAATCAATCTGCCACGAGGGAAAGTTGAGGCTTTATCTATCCTCTTGTCACCTGCCTGCTGCTCGGTAGTGGTGTCATTTGTTCTTGTTGTTGCACAGTGGATGCATGTCTCACTCACATACAGCACCGCTGCAAGCCTGCTAGGTCACTCAACAACACCACGATCCCCAAGCTAGCTGAGAAGCACCTCCACGAGCAGACTATTTCGCACGACTCGGCCCATATCCGACGCTTGACAGCACCTTAATCCACAGTCCATCAACAGACACTAGACTAGTCGCCTGCTACCTTATCCCTCGTTACAGCAAGAACACTGGGGTTGCCAGCCTTCGTTGCGCTCACCTAGATAAAACCCATTCCCGCCCCGTCCGGTGCAGCCGCCGAGAGACTTGGATACGAGAAGCCAAACGTTTCAGACCCACGGCCCCCGATCGACAGCCCGCTTGCTCAGATCTCGTCATTTCCCCGGCTTGCTCTTAAATGCCCTTACCCGCATTCATGCAAACTTTTGTTGGGTTTCTTCAGCCAAATATTGACCATCCGGCCGTGCGACGGTAACAATCACAACGGTATCGGGGGAGAGAAGACACCGGGGCGGCGCTGCCCCCGACATCCTCGCTTTTGGCAGGACAATTGTACACTGCTTGCATTGTGAGTCTTTGACGCCTGCTGCAGGCACTTTCCAATCCTGCATCGCGGTTGTGCGACACAGGCAGCGGCCATCTGGGCCATTATCGCGGGCGCGGCGCTGACTGTGACGTCTAGAGCAAGCCATAAACCCTCATATTCTTGGAGCAGGTGTCAAGTCGTACAACGGCCCACCATGGCTCGACTCACAAGTTTTGCGAGCACATTTGTGCTGTTATTATCCATGTTATCGATACAGCTTGCACGAGCACGAGAAGTCGCCTACATATACGGCACCGATAGCAAAGGTGTCACGCGCCAGTTGGATGCTGCTCGAACCCCCGCGCTTTTCACCAGGGATTTCGGGGATTGCCTGGGCGGCGAGAGTTTATTCAATATCACACGGTTCGATGCGGCGTACTACGAAGATAATTCGACGGTGCTGTTCCATCTGGACGGAACCTCAAACATCAAGAAGGAATCACTCATGATGTACATCGTCTTTGAGGCGTATGGACAAAGAAGATTCGAGATGGTCTTCGACCCATGCTCAGTCAATATCTACAGCCTATGTCCGCTCAACGCCAGCGTACCAGTTGCCGGCTGGGCCATTTTTCAGGTCGGCAAAGAGCAAGTAGGCTCCATCCCGCCTATTGCTTTCCAAATACCCGACTTTGAAGGCTATATCAAGTTGCAGATATTTGCAAATTCGAGCCAGACAGAGATTGGCTGTTTCCAGGCATTGGCGTCGAACGGGAAGAGCGTGGGCCACACTACAGCAATCGCTCCCGTTTTGGGTGTATTCACCGTTATTGCCATTCTTGCGTCTTTTGCGACAGCAGCATATGGTGTGAGCATTCCTCACATGCGATCCCACTTTGCCCATTCTATGTCGGTACTCCTGGTCTTTGAGACCTTCCAAAGCATATTCTTCTCTGGAGCCTTAACCGTCAACTTCCCGAGCATTTTGGTCGCGTGGTGGAGCAACTTTGCCTGGTCCGCCGGTCAGATTTACAGCTCTACCATTGTCAACTCGGTGAGCTCCTTTGTTGGTGTGTCTGGCAATGCTACACAAGTGGGTGGTGCTGGATCGACGGTGATCAACAATGGCGGCGGACTGGTGTCACAAATTTATGGTCGAGCGTTGGCAATGGAAACTCTCGCCAGCAATCTGATGAGGAGAGCCGACTACAATGCGAGCGACCCCTACGATTACACCTGGGCTGGTCGTCCAATCGCTCCTGGGTTGCCCTTGCCAGGGGATTGGACAGGTCTTCCAGGCACTCTATCCTACTCAGGCATTCCCGCTGCCGATGCTCTCATTGTGGGGCTCATATGGCTTCTTGTGGCCACCGGCCTTGTCATTGTCTGCACAATAGCCTTCAAATGGCTCCTCGAAGCCTTCATTCGTATCAAATGGGCGAGAGAGGATCGCCTAACCTATTTCCGCTCTCACTATCTCTCATACACCGGACTAGCAGTTCTACGAACACTCTTCATCGCCTTCTTCATGATCATGGTATTGTCAATCTACCAATTCACTCTTCATGGATCTACAGGAGCGACTGCGATCGCCGCTGTTGCCTTTATTATTTTCCTAGGCGGAGTTGGAGGTTTGGTGACTTACGCCTGCTATTTCCGCCTCCGGTTTGGCAAATATGCTGTTGAACCAGATCGAATTCTCTTCACACACGGAAAGATATTCAAGGGCATTCCTTTCCTAGTCCCAATTCGTTCAAGCAGATTGGGAGACGCGGAGCTACCAACACGCCCGGCCGGATCACTGCCATTTATTCGCATCCATTTTATCGATAATGATCCCGATCGTGTTACTGTTCACCAAGATAGCGCCTACATCAAGCGCTTTGGCTGGCTATCTTCGCGCTACCGGCGGACAAAGTGGTGGTTCTTCGCCTGGTACATACCAGCCCAGACCTTCCGTGCTGCTTTCATTGGAGGCGCAGCGACTAGTCCCCTCGCCCAAGTCTATGGCCTATTTGTTTACGATATCCTAATATTTGTGGCCATTGTCATGGTCAACCCATTTGAAGGACGTCGAAACACTGCGCTCGGTGTCTGGATGCTGAGTATCAGCAAAGTCGCCACTACAGGCCTGTCTATTGCCTTTTTGCCGGAATTCAACCTGGACCGTATTATCGCGACTGTCCTTGGTGTTATTATCATTGTTATACAAGGTTTCCTTGTTATCGCATTGCTCATATTGATCCTCTTGGGTGTAATGTCCTCATACATGTCACTGACCAGAAACCGCGAAGAGTTCAAGCCGGAAGGACTTGAAGGCGTCCGTGTCAAATTCTTCGAAAGCATGCAAGCAAGGGGCCCTGACACTCGAAAGCCCCTCTGGGAGAAGAGCGAGAAGAAGAAGGGCAAGGAGAAGGAGCTCGAGGAATCAGAACTCCAGGTTCCCAAAGAACCTTATTTTTCCGTCACCGCAGTGCGCAGAGCACCAAAGATCGAGGACGAGGATGGCGATGTCGTTGCCGATATGGAAGCGCCTCACAATAACTCTGTCATTTTCGATCCCAACAAGATCATCAACCGTGCGAGCAGAACCAACAGTATTTCCTCACGATACTCGACGCACAGCTTGCCCCGCGGTGCTCGTGTACATAGAGCATCTTGGAGCTCAAAAGACTTCGCTCAATGGGACGCGATGCAAAACGATCGACCGCACAGCGCGCTAGCCAATCGCCTTAGCACGAATGGTGGGAATGCATCAGCCAGTCAAGCAGCCAACACTGTAACAAGCCCTTCAGGACTTCGTCCCCAGGCATCTGCTAGTACTCTAAGGCTTTCGACGCCAGCTAGTGCCCCTTCAACTACCCCACAGAGTCCGACAAAACCAAAGTCGCCGACTAAAGAAACTCTTGAAGAGCATCCAGAAGAGCGGGTATCCGAAGCGCCAGCCCCTTAGGTTTGGGTTGCGAACATTTGATGGTTTACGAGATTACGACTACACTGCGAATACCCAGCTTACGAGTTTGAGCTACCCATCTGTAACAAAGAATCACCAACGGAACATACATCATTTCCTTAAGCGAAGTTATATTGGACCGCAGGTACCACCACATTCCCAATATCATCCATATTATCATTTGCATGGGCGGTTCTGGCATTGGTTCGGCTTTGCTGTTGCAAAGAGCATATGAGCGGCGTTTTGTGCTTTGCTTTGCTTGGATAGCCACCATTAGACTGGGATCCAGAGCGCGGAAAGGGGTAATGAGGCTATACAGAGCAATACTGTACACACCACCAAGGGAGTGATGTTAAGTAGCTTCAAATAGCTGATATCGCCTGTCCCGCCTTAACAATGGGTAATAGTCTGCCTAGTTCAGAAGAATAAAGACGAACTTTATACCTTCCGTTCAGCTCCAGCTCATCGTAGTCTAGATTTAGATGCCGTGATCCTTAACGCCGCTGCGCAAATAGGAGCACCTCATGTTGCTTTCGGTCTTTACAGGCTCAAGCGGCTCCAAGACGCCACAACGATCCCCCGCAGCGCCCTCGTCGATCAGCCTAGCTCATGCAATTACACTAGCAATCCGTCCCAAACTCCCGAGAACCCCTCATCCTCCCCCCCAAGGTGGCATGTGGGATGCGGCAGACGGGGAACTCCCAACCCCACATTGGCCTGGTGGTGAATGTTGGAGTCGTGTGATCTTATGTACTGCGACCTACCTGCCTTGGTATCTCAGAACACACGCGGGAAAGTTTTGCCTTGGAGGGAAGGAAGCTTGGTTCATGACGTCTCAGAATCGTGCATAGATATAATCGGACTCTTTCCCTTTTGGACATCTAAGAAAGGCAGCTCTTTCCTCTGCTTACAATTGATCGGCTTGTCACTGGCTGGAGCTCACTTCGCCTTTGAGAGCTTTCGGATCTGGGAAGACTGGATAGAGATCTGGTTGAATTGAGATCAGACGGTGGACAACCGATATTACATATCTTTCTGTATTGTCTCTACTGGAGGTGCTTGATTTCATAAGCGAACATCCCTTTGGTCATACTCATTCATATTCCTCGCCAGTCTGCCAATTGGGCCCGATACTCCTTCGATCGAACTACAGCAAGAGAGCAAGAGGGGAGGTTGATCGAGCAAAGGGACTGACGAAAAGAAAGAAGAAGACGCAAGATGGCGGCCCCAGAGAACGAGGCACCGCTGCTCCTCGATCTCACGATTGATAACATCACGCCGAACACGATACGCATCAACAACCAGACCAAGAATGACCGCCTCAAGTACATCCTCGAGCGGCTTGTCACGCACTTGCACGACTTTGCGCGAGAGACGCGCCTCAGTACGGACGAGTGGATGACGGGCATCATGTTCCTGATTGCAACGGGGCAGATCTGTAGTGATGTTCGCAATGTAAGTGCTTATACATATCGGCTTTCACACAGAAGCTAGCTGCTACTTCCTACGTCGCTACGATACACGAGACTTGGCAAGACGATGACGCTGACCTGGAGCCCCGGCAGGAATTCATCCTCCTCTCCGACGTGCTCGGGCTCTCCCTGCTCGTGGACAACATCAACCACCCCAAGCCGCCCGACTGCACCGAGGGCTCGGTGCTGGGGCCGTTCCACACGCACGACGCGCCGACGCTGCCCAGCGGCGCGAGCATGTCGTCGGACCCGGCGGGCGAGGCGATGCTGGCGCTGTGCACGGTGCGCGACCCGGCGGGCCAGCCCGTGGCGGGCGTGACCGTCGACATCTGGGAGACGGACAGCTCGGGCCACTACGACGTGCAGCACTCGGAGCGCGGCGAGCCCAGCGAGCGCTGCGTCATGGTCACGGACGAGCGGGGCCGCTTCTGCTTCAAGGGCATCAAGCCGGTGAGCTACCCGATCCCGCACGACGGGCCGGTGGGCAAGCTGCTGGCTCTGTTGGGCCGGCATTGTTGGAGGCCGGCGCATGTGCATTTCATGTTTGGCAAGGAGGGGTGGGATAAGCTCATAACGTGAGAAACACCAGCTTCTAGAGTGTGTTTGTGTGTTTTTTTGGGAGTTGGCTAACGTAGCATGCAGTGCTTTGTATCTCCGGGGAGACCCCTACGAGACGTCAGACGCGGTGTTTGGCGTGAAGAAAAGCCTGGTGATCGATCTCGACAAGGTCGACAAGGCTCTCGCCGAGGAGCATGATATCCCGGAGGGCAGCTGGCTGCTGAAGCATGACTTCGTGCTTGTATCCGAGGAGGAGACGTCCAGACTCAGAGACCAGAATGCCATGAATGCTCTGACGAAGTTGGGTCTGAGGATGAAGATGGTGGACCATCTGCCGGTCCCAGAGCTTGACTGAGGAGGCGCCTCGCCGTTCTTATTAGACTTTGAGTGTCCAAATTCAATATCCATAGCGTGACAACTTATGGAGCTAATCAATTCAATATCGATATGAAAATAGAGCAGATCTCTAGTGTCCGCGTGGATTTGATTTGAGCAGCTTGACGACATTGTCAAAGTAGCCCTCTGTCCCACCATATCTGTTGACCACTGCCTGGAAATCGATCGACGAGGAGTCTGCAGTTCTCCTTCGACCTATCACAGCTGCGTTGCGGGTGCTTGGTATGCGGAGCATCTCCTTCTCAACCTCCCAGCCGCAATCTGCTGCAATGTCCGAGACCCACGTCATCAAGGAGTAGTATGTTGACTTGGGCGCTGTTTTGCCCTTTGGCGGTGGGGCCCTGAACTTTGCCCCTGTCAAGTCGTGACTGCAGCACGGGATCATGATGAAGGGGCAGTCTGAGAGAGCGCCGAGGATCGGGGTCCATGGCGTCAGCTCGTCGGCGTGGTTCGAGACGATGAAAGTGCCTTTGGGGAAATGGCCGTTGTGTATTCTGTCAGTGGCGATGTCTCTGGTGTCAGAGTCTCCCTTCATAGCTATCGATGGCAACAATATGAGCTGTTGCAACGAGTCTTGCACGCCGGCAAATTCTGAAGTCGATGCTTTTGTGTTATAAGTGTCCCATGATTTCCGAGCTCTTGCGTCAAAGCCCCAGCCCGTGTACCCTTCCTGGTTCAAGATGTAGACTAGGAGCCCGTTACCGCAACCTATGTCGACGAAGCCGGGAAATTTGGAGTCCTTATACATATCATTCCACAATTCTATGAGAAATGCTGCTATGCACAGATCCTCAAAGACGTGCTTGCCTGGGTCTGTGCTCTCCATCCAGTTGTCTACAAGGGTTCTCGCATACTTCTGCTTCAGCTTTGCGTATCTGTCTTGGAGGATAGGTTGCGGCACAAGCACATCGTGCTGAACTCTTTTGACATATCCCTTGGCCTCACCCTCGCCATGCTTATACAGCATACCGAGGAGGGACAATGCTGTTCTTGTTACTTTCTGCGCAGCATTATCCCTGTCAAAGTAGACATAGTGAATCGAAATATGTCCTGCAGATTCTCCTTCCTTCCACTCGTGCAGAAACGCTATGCCCCGAACCGCAGGATGGTAGAACGGCACATCGGCCTCGGACTTGAAATGGGGAAGATATATGACCAGCGACCTGCCTGAATCAGTTCCTGTGTACAGCACACAAGTCTGATCCAGAGGCTGGTCTCTCTGTGCGTTTCGAGGGATCATACGGCGGACAATGACTCTTTCGCACTGGAAAGACTTGAACGTGGGAAGCGGCGGTTGGTTCTCAAAAGGGGCAACGCCCTCGAGGGCCTCGGCGCCTTCACGGTTCAGCAGGATATCAGCTCGAAACAGCCATGACGAGTTGATGTTTGGATTTTTGATGAGGTTCAACATGACTCTGTTGAATACTGCCCCGTCGAAGTTACATCCATGGCGGAAGACTGGCGACCAGACGGGGCCGTCTGCCACTGTCTCTTCCAAAAATGGGGAAGCATCCGAACCGAATGCGTCTGGAGAGAACCCCATTTTGTTTCAATTACAAAGAAGTTGATGGACTTTGCGGAGTACTTCCACCCGCAAGGCTGCCAAGTATACACTTCTTAGGGCCTAGCTTTGCAGGGATGATGCAATCACGTATTACAGCCTCGTCGAGTGCTCAAGTAAAGTACCGGTAATGCATGGTCGGCTGTCAGGGACACACCCGGAGCCCATGCAAAAAAGACAATGAGCTTGGGTAGCCGCCTGGCTTCCTCCAAGTCATTGAACAGAGGGCGCTTTGCTATAGAGAGGTCGCTCTGATCAACAAAGCGGCAAAGCGTCTGGATGACTTTGTCAACTTTGGAATTACACACGAGAGCAGAGTGAGGGCGTTGGTCGGAGATATGTGTGTTGAGATGGGTGGCACTGGGAAGTCCCTGGAAATAGGCGACTACCTAGGCAGTCTGGTGGATCGGAGGCCCCGAATGCACGATTGCAGGCGAGATCGGGCTAGACAGGCACAGCCAATTCAGCGTGGCTCAGCGGGTTGGTAGCCAGCAATAGCCAGTGGAAATGGGTGATGGAATTGCTACCTGCTACCTGCTATTCTAGAATTCCCGGCCGAATGTAGATCCTTTTTCCGTGACATTTCGCTGCCAGCGACAATGGAAAGAACGTGAGGACGAAGCAAGTACCTTGGTCGTACCTTCTCTATCCGTTTTTGCACAGATCAGGTGCCGGGATACGGGCAGGTACCTACGTTTACCTTTGGGCGTCCTTGAAATTCCAGTTGGTCCGTGCAGCAGCCTCTTCAAGCAGTGTGGGCCAATTGGGCCCCCGCCTGCCGCTTTCCCTGCTCTTGGTGGCCCTCCGGCCCTTTCCCCTTCTCTCTCCCTCTGTCTCTCTCTCTGTCCTCTCCCAATTCAAATACCAAGCATTCACTCACCACTCACCCACCCTCTCTTCTAGCACCATCCAACAACCGCCGCCGCCGCATCTTCTTCTGCAAACAACAACACCACCAAAAAAGACTCTTCACAGTCTTTCCACCGTCCCATCTCATCTCACCAGACCCGAACCCTCAATCAGCAGGAAGATCATCTTTCGGCGAGACACTTCCCACAGTAGTCTGTCGCTGCGCTCTCGACCCCTCAACAGAACCCTTCTCCCAGGTTACCCCGACAAACTCGAGTTTATGTCAATCGAAAATCTCAAGACCTACGGTACGCACCGCATTGCCTCGCTGCCCCCTTCTCTCCTCCTCATCTTCAATCGTCACACTCGTCTCCTGCGACTGCTGCCGCTGGCAAGTGTCGTCGAGGGGGCCGATGTCGTATCAGCTGCTTGCTGTCCCCCTGTCGAGTTCCTGTCAGCGGCGGTGACCGCGCGCCCACTGACCCCGCCACTTGCGAGACCCTCTGGCTGCCCCTCCTTGCCCTATGTCACTCTTTTGCTTGATGGCATCACTTTGCTAACGTCTCATCATCGCAGACCCCTTCGCCGAAGCCGACGAGGACACTGGTGAAAAAACCAAGGCCGCCGACTACATTCACATACGCATCCAACGTACGTACTCGCTTTTCTCTGCGGCAATTCTCTGAAAATTGCTCATCACTCTCACGTGCCACTGCCGGCAAAACGCCACTTTGGACGACATACTCTGCCTTTGATAGGTCATCTTACTGACTCAACCTTCCACAACAGAGCGTAATGGACGTAAGACCTTGACCACTGTTCAAGGCATTCCGCCCAAGTTTTCCCGCAAGAAGATCCTTGCCGTCGTCAAGAAGAAGTTTGGTAAGTTTTGCCCTCCGCCTTCCCCCAGACGTGAGTCACTATGCCTAGGAGCGTCATATGCTAACTGCGCCACCAAACAGCCTGCAATGGCACCATCGTCACTGACGCCGAGATGGGCGAGGTGATTCAGCTCCAGGGTGACCAGCGTAAGGCAATGCAGGAATTCCTCACTGCCAAGGACGGTCTTGAGCTTGATCCCAACACCATCAAGATCCACGGTTTCTAAGGCACTCATATCACGTCGTCCCGACAATTTATACATCACACTGTTCTGGGAATAGCTTTTCTCAAAGATGCGCCCGTGGGATGGATTTCTCCAATTCCACGGGCGCATCTTTCTTGCTGTTGCTCCTCGCCATTTGAGAGAGAGACCCGGACAGGAACGGGACACCTGATATGATACCCGACGCCGGTCTTGGTACGAACCTACCGATTGTGTGTCAACGGATTGCTTTTTTAAACCATTCAAGGAACGGATATTAGGTCGTCGTTTCCATTCACTTTTGACTTTGCTCATGGGGATAATGGATGGTCTCGGCTTGCGTATCGCTCGTTATAGACTTCCGCAAGATAGGCAATATCAGTCAATAGCCAGATTCAACCTCATGTCTCTTGTTTCGTTTCTGTGATAAATATACACGTGTCGTGATCATTCCTTCCAATGCCGCTTCCACTGCGGACTGCTCACAAATTGTATCTCCTCAACGCCGTCCACGTTCCTAAAGCTCTTAAAATGTCTGCAAAAATATCGGGGGTATATCCATAAAGCGATGGCAAGAAAACAAACAAAGAACAAGTCAAGCACACGGCGGACATGTACACTCAAGCCGATAGAACAATTTCCAGATGTAAGCAATCGTTCACAACTCCTTGGTCACGTTGGCATAGTCCAGAATGATGTCCGTTAGCTTGCCGACCTCCTCCCAGACCCGCTTGGCAATGGCGATGAAGGGGATGTTGACAAAGTCCGGGCGGTTCGAGTGCAGCTGGAGCAGCAGCAGGACGGTGCTGATGAAGCTGGCGATGGAGAAGATGCTGATCGAGGTGGACGTCTCCTTGCGGATGTTGATCTTGCGCTGGGTGATGTGGTAGAGCACGGTCAGGCTCTGGCGTGTGGGTGGGATGTTAGTAAAAAGGTATGGGCGTTTGGTGAAAAGAGATGGGAGGGGAGGGCGAGAGGGAGACGTACTGTTGCTATGCTGATCCACGCGGGCAGGAGCAGCATGGGGTTCTCGGAGCAGCCGCTGAGGTAGAGCGACCAGGAGGTGAGATAGCCGTTCAGGGCGTTGATGGCGAGGAGGCGGATGATGGTTGCTTGGGGCGTGTAGTTGAGGAGCCTATTGTGTCATTGTCTCAGCAAAAGAGTGTCGAGAGCCGAGCATAGATAGAGGGCATTGCTTACCATCTAGACATCAGGCAGTCTGTGAAGAAGAACGAAAGATATGCCGAGCAACCACACTACTCAGGTTGTTTAGCATCCCAAGTCCTTGCCCATAATTCGACCGGCAATATCATCACGCACCCATAGTATCGCCAGGAAGTTCTCCGTCAGGCGAAGCCGGTTATCAAACGACCACTTCAGCTCCCGGGGGACATCGGCAAGCACCAGGTGGTACACCTGCACGAGGAACCGCAGCGCACTCGGCAGCCCCCACCAGACGGCCGGGACGATGGAGAGCAGGCGGCACGCGAACAGCAACGCATGCCACTTCTCGGGGACGCCGAGCACGACGGCCATGCGCGGCTGCAGCAGCGACGGGGCAGCTACCGAGCAGTTGGACAGGCCCGAGGAGTCTGCACCGCCGCCGCCGGAGTCCTCCTGCTGCTGGCCTCTATTCTTGTTGTTGCTGTGGTTGTTCGTCGCCGCCGTGGTGGTGGTAGTGGTGCGGTCATTGGGGCTGGCAACAGCATCGTAGCTCTCATCCGACTGCCGCGCAGAGCTGGGTGCGGGAAGGGGCATCAAGGAGCCGGTTCGCTCCGATGTTGAGACGGATAAATGTCGTCGAGGTTGTGTCTGTCGTTTGCTCGAGCTACCAGACCGATTCGAATGGTCGGTGAGGTGCAATGCTCGTGGCAATGTGCTGGCGGATTGGCGAATGTTAAAGGGGGTCGAGAGGCGCGGCCCTGCAGCCCAGCGGCAGGATTAACGTACCTACAGCCTAGCACCAGGTCCCGGCCCCTCGTTTAGCAGATAAGATCGATAAGATCCAGCACGGGAAGCCCCCCTGTGAGCACCCAGTCGGATGCGTGGTTATTCCGCTACAGGGAGCTGTTAGCGCCTCTGCAGCCGGCTGGCACCTCTGGTCAGCAAAAATTCTGGGAGCTGATGCGTGAGGCTCGATTTTCTGTGGCGTGAGAGTAAGAGTGTAAGAGCGTGGAAGAGGTGGACGCACAACGACTCCTGTGGCCAAGGCGACAATCATATCACAACCAATTGGTTTGCCGTGGTACTTGCTACGGAGTGAGAGCCTCCCTGCATCCCGATTCGCTTCTCGTCGGGGCACTTTCGACCATCGCCAGGCCTCGATAGGGGTCAACAAGATACACCATGTCGGCCACTTTTCGAACCCGGCCTCTCCAGATGAGGTCGGCGCTTCTAGCGGGCGGCGGCAATGGAACATCGCGGATGACCCAGAGCATAATACGGGCGGCATGGGCACCGGCCGGCGCGCGAAATGCAAGCTCGGCTCTTCGACAGCAGAAGAGGAGCCAGGATGCCATGGCTAGGAAGAGTCGCAGCTCATATGAGTCGCCATCCGGCCTGGCGCAGACGGCGCAGGAGAACCTGTCCCAATCGAGCAAACGTTCACACAGTCTTCTCGACTTCCTACTTCCTCGTGAGTCTCACCTGCCATGACTGCAAAAGCCTCCCTCCTCTAATCGAGTCTCCAGGAACATTCGTCCCTCTCCCCCTTTCCAAAGCGCCCAGCGGCATAGCCAATTTCTTCGAGTACTACTGGGCGCGTATACGCTTCCGCGCCGTCGACATATTCTCCCTTTTTGCTATTAAGATGGGCTCCAAGCCCTCCTACTTCAAGAAGGCGCGCTTCACGCTCAACCGCACCTCCGTCATCCCCACCGCCCGGGCGCTGCACCGCACCATGTCCGAGGCGCTCGCCAGCGGCGACAAGGAGACGCTGCAGAAGGTCTGCGCCACGCAGCTGTACCTCGACCTGTGCCGGGCCATCGACCAGCGGCCGCGCGGGCGGCGCTACGGCTGGGAGGTCGTCCGGTACACGCGGCCGCTGCGGTTCCCGCGCATCGTGGACCACAAGCTGGCCATCTTCGGGGACGCGGCGTCGGGCGCGCCGGGGATCCGGCAGGCGGTCGTGGCCATCTCGAGCCGGCAGCGGCGCGTCGAGTACGACGACGCCCGGGGCGGCGCCGCGGTGCCGGGCAGCGAGCGGGAGATGGACGTCGTCGAGTACCTGGTCATCAACCGCACGGTGGACATGAAGACGTACGCGCAGAGCGACTGGCGGGTCTGGGGCACGCTCAACGAGACCTCGCTGCCGCAGCTGCGGGACGACATTGCCCTCATGAACCGCGCGCAGGAGGAGGAGAAGCAGAAGATGAGAGAGAAGCGCAAGGACAGGCTTGCGGCGATTAGGAGGTCGGGACAATAGGCTGGAGCTTGGAGGCTGGAGGCTGGAGGCTGTAATAGTTCACGAGTGTAAATTACGTGTCAGGACGGACTTGACGAGTGTAAATCTAAACTCCAAACAAAAACTAATTGCATGTAAAAGAAACGATTCTCTGGCGCGGGTGTTGAGACTCATGCCGGAGCGTATTATAGGGGGATAAATGACAGAAATAGCATCTTCCAACATAAGACAATCTCAACCAAATACCCTTCCAAAAGGAGCATTACCTCCACTTCCTCCTTCTGCTTCTACGTCGTGTAATATCCAATCACTAACCCAGTGATCTCACCTTTTTGATTTGATGTTGTTCGGCGCCAACTAGCAAGCCAAGGACAGTCCTTCAGAAGAACTTGCCCGCCTGCTTGCTGGTGCTACCGCTTTGGTACAGGGCATCAGCGTCGTCAGCCGAGCCGTAGGCACCAGCTCCCTCGTCAGCCGACAGGAACGCGGGGCGGTCGAGCGCATCGAAGCGACGACCGGTCACCTTGGCCTTGACGAGCTGGAAGGCCAGGCGCAGGGCGCAGCCGCCAAAGCCCCAGAGCAGACCGCCGACGGGCGCGGCGACGAACGCGCCAAAGGCGCCCCAGTCGCCCTCGTACAGGCCCTGCTCGAGCAGCATGAGCTGGGCGCCGGTCAGGGCGTCGCCGTAGTAGATGGTGCCGAAGATGAAGACGGTCAGGATGCCGCCGAGGCCGCCGACGACGATCTCGAAGCCGCGCCACCAGTACAGGCGGTCGGACAGGCCGAGGCACAGCACGGGGATGGTGGCGGCGGAGACGAGGTCTGAGATGAGGTAGATCTGCAGGATGCTGGGCGCCTTGAGGGCGAGCACGACGACGGGGATGATGATGAGCACGACGGCGCCGCGGATGAACCAGATGTTCAGCCGGTTGCGGAACAGATCGTTGGATGCGGATGAGACCATGGCAGACTGCAGGCTGTCGAAGGAAGCTGTGCTGAGACAGACGACCATGACCAGCACAATGCCCACTACCCATGAGGGCAGCTGCTCGAGAAGCAAGAAGAAGGCGATTGAGCCTTCCTGTGGCGGGTCGCCTGGCCAAGCGCCGGACCACGCTGCGAGGACACCAGTCATGCCAACCAGAGTCAGAATGACCAGGATGACACACGTTGCGATGGAGACACCGATTCTGAGATCCTTGTCTGTCTTGGAAGCAAAGGTACGCAGCCAAAAGTTGGAGAGGAAGAAGTCGTTCGTCAAGATGGCGATAGGTAGGATGTACAAGAGCTGCCACCCGAGCAAGTTGCCCTTGAGCAGTCCCGAGCTGTCAATGAGATCTTGATCGATGTCCGTCTTCACACCGATAGTGATGGTGGCAATGATGACTAGGCCTACGACCAGAGCACCTTGGATGTTGTCGGTGATGAACGAGATTTGGAAACCTCCAAGGGCTATAAAACAATAGTATTAGCGATGTTTCGAGCGCGGTGGTTGGCAGATTTGAACACATACAGGTGTAGATAGTCGTAACGACGCATTCCACAATAACCACGGGGAGGCCATCCAGACCGGTCAAGGTAGTAACGACCTGACCAACAGCGGACAGTTCTGCGACCATGTACAGGAACAAGGTCACAAGAGTCAAGAAACTCAGGAACAGAGCTGTGACGATTCCGTAACGCTGTCTCGTCCACTCAGTGAGGACGAAGCCTTCCGGGCACTTCCTCCGGATGATGGGTCCCAGAAAGGCGAATACAAGGAGTGGCAGAGCCGATGAGAGAGCATATACCAGCACTCCTTGCACGCCCGCAATAGTAGCGAGCTCAGGGTACGAGAAGAGAATACCAGATCCGAGACCTAAAATGATCAGTATTCTGAAGACGGGTTAGGGGGGATACTAGGGGAGATCGGAGCGGCAGCACGTTTCCCACGCAAGCATTAACTTGATCGAGTAATTACGGTACAATCTCAGCTTCATTTCCACAAGCCACGGGATCTCCTCTCTTGCTTTCGTGATAGGCAGGGTGCTACCACAAACCAGAGAAGTTGGATCTCGCGCATTGCTTCAAATCCGCGCCCGTAGTGAGCCGCAACCTTCGCCCCTTCTGGGAGTCGCTAGATCGCAGCACTGCCGTCGAAGACAGACGCTGACGACCTCACGGCCCCTTGAAGGGACGAAGATATGTAAACTTAAGTACGAACCTAGTGTCAGTCTCGCAACTCAAACAGCCCGTTCCAGTACCGGCCATCTATGCCGTGATGGCGTTACCCGAGCAAGGGGTATGCTCTTGTCGATATTCGTGTGATCATAATGCTTTTGCTTCTGCTTCTGCTACCGCTCTGGATTTCTATGGGAGAATGGTAGTGAGCGCTCCAGGCGTTCTCTACTCACCAGCAGCGATGAAGTTCAGAGCAAGGGGGAACGCTGTGTAGTCGTTAGTGATCGTCCCAACGGTAATAGGGGAGGGAGGAGACAGCGCGCGCGAGGAGCATTGGCTTGAAGTTGAGCTCCCACGCGCACGACACTCTGAGATGTCCTGACCAGTCCGAGTCCTGTTGCCAGAGAGGAACTCTTCCTTTGTTTCCCCCCGGAACTTCCAGGCAAGCCCCGTTCCTATTACTCTGTTGACGGTCAGCATTGGCTTTTACAGACCAGAATCTGGGCCTCGAGATGAGGCCGCTTTGAATAAGGGGATGGCGTACAAGAAGAGGCCATATGTGACGTAGATGACGGCGTTGGACGCCTCAGACGATGGCTGTCCCATGACAGAATTCTGTTTGTGAGGCGATTGTTTCCTCTACAATTTTCCAGGTGAAGAGACTGGGAGGCGAATAGTGGGCCTTAGTATAGTCGAGCGATATTAGTCCGCAGAGTCGAATTTGAAGAATCAACGTGAGAGATGAGAGGAGATGAGTCGAGGAGACTTAAGCCATAATATAAGGTAGGACTAGTGAAAAACACACGACGAGGATGGGCGATTACCTAACTAACTCACACCCAGAGGAGAAGGGAAGAAAAAACTCGCCAGGCGTAGAAAATATGGTGATTCCCCGATCTAGATAGCTCGATAGGTAGCAGACCACCGGGCGAGCTGCAGGAAGGGCGCTATTAGTGTGGGGGCAATCATGCACTAATTCCAGGGTGGTGTGCCTCACAATTGGGCCGTGAGAGGGACCGACATCGTGGTAAACGCGCTAACTGAGGGCCCATCTAGTATCATGCTTTGCGAATATTACGGCGACAAGCAAGAGTCGAGTAACGCAAGTGAGGGAGGGTAGGTAGGGCAAACCGGTGCATCTTCGGTCAGGGAAAGGAGACATGACAGTCATCCAACATCGATACGCAGCTTGCCACTTACACGACAAGACCATACGTCATGTTCTATTGAGACGTGTAAAGGGTTTGGCCTTTGTACTTCATTGAGTTAGGTCAAGCTTATACAGACATGTCATTGTGCAAAATCATTTCACTGCATCTGGACTCGAGTTTTTTTTGTAATATTACATTAAAATTATTTAACACTTCATTGTGCGTGTCACGTCGGTCGAGAACACCTGTAATGGCGATGACCAGCGTGAAGACCGAGCTTGAAAATCAGAAAATGCCGTCTGCGTCCTATCCGTAATGTGTGTACCGTGCCGTGTAACCTACCATCCCCCGAGGCCATGAACAGGTAACTTCGTTCCTAGTGATCGAGTACCTTCATGCCAGACCATCAAGGGCGGCAGCCAGCCAAAATCAATAAACGTCGTCCTGAAACCGAACTGTCGTGCCGAGCAAAAGTGCAGATAGTTGTGCAAGGTGATCTTTCGTGGGAAAGCGCGAGTAACAACTCCATTGCGATGAAGTCAAGATTCTCGCCACCATATCTCTCGTAAGCGTAGAGAGAAGAAAACGCAATGAACTGGGACAAGGTGGGGTGTCGACTCCATGATGATGAAGTCAAAATTCTCGTCGCAACATCTCTCGTAAAGGTTGAGAGAAGGAAACGAAACGTAACGCAAGGAAATGAAAAGGGGAACATGCAGACGTGTGAACAAACAAACGCGCAAATGTGACTGTCTTGATCGCCAACAGTCGCCGGACGAAGCCAAGGGGAAATTCCGGTCTGTGTCCTGACCCAGGTACCCAAGAACCAACAATGGCCAAATGCCTCAAGTCCAAACGGTTGTCAACTCCGAAGCTCGGTGAAGGGGGAAGAAAGCCTGAATACCAGCGAGGGAAAGCAGACGAGACATCGTCGATTCCGAACAGCCGTCAGTGTCGATGTCGTGAAAAGATGGTGGTCTGTGTCCTGACGAAGAAGCCCAAGAGTGATGCAGGGCAGAACGCTTCAAATCTATGTAATAGCCAGAGATGAAGCTGTGGGACGTTCACGGTCTGTGTCCTGACCAAACATCCTAGGGGCTAGCCATGCCAGCCTAAGCATTGTCACGAGATCTCTCACTGGGCTGAGAAGGACCTGTACCGGAATGACCTGGGCGGGAGGGCGTGTTCGTCTCTTCTTGACCAGCAGACTGTAGAGCCTGATACACCGGAGATGTGTAATTCGGGTAGAAACCCATCGTCGGCATCATGTACTCTTGTCCATACGGCATTGTTGGCCAGTAGTTAGGAGCATAGTATGGAGAGTTGCCGTACATGCCCGGCGTCTGCGGATTTCCTTGAGGCACCGCACCCTGCACGCCGTACGGAGACTGCTGAGGTCCAGCGACCCAGTTCCAGCTAGGGGGACGAGTAGTAGAAGACTGGGCCATAGCAGCCGAGGGGTACTGGCCATAGGGGGAGGAGCTCGGTCCAGCGTCAGTGGGCGAGTTGTAAGACATCATCTGGGAACGAGAACGACGGGCAGTGGGAGTCTGCTCCTTCATGACTTTACGCTCAACACGCAGAGTCATGCCACGGACGGAGACTTGATTCTGCGGGGGGTTTAGTAAATACTGCATGTTCATCGTCTACAGCCACGAAATCGAGAGATGGGAAAGACCAGAAACTTACGAATTTCTCAATCGCCACGTCTGGCAGGTCCGGCTGCTCGAACTCAATGAACGCAAAGACACGCATGACAGCTGAAGAGTGGTTAACAAAGAACACTAACGATAAGTCAAGAGAGACACATACAGTCTGGGTTCACTTGGCGACGAACCATCTGGCAGTCAGCGATCTTCCCAATGGTGCCGAACATGGCTTTCAGATCCGACTCCTTGAAGTCGGGGGAAATGTTCCCCACATAGACCGAGCGACGATCTGTCTCATAGCGAGCCAGGTACAACTCGTCAGCGTTCGGGCGAGAAGTCGTAACATTGCGCTTCAGATCATATGGTTGCACGCGCCATACATGATGGTGGCGGAAAGCCTACAGAGAGAGGTTTATAAGTACTTAGTTGAACAACAATCCTGATACTTGACTCACCGACTGAAGATCCCGAGAGGGATCAAACATTGCGAATTCCACAACTACAGCACGGGGGATGCCGAGAGCTTCCTGCAATTGCGGGTGCAAGAGCTCACACTTGCTCATAGGCCCGTACTGAGCCAGGAGAGCACGCACCTCCTCGGCAGTGATGCCATCATTAGTGACCTTGTAGGCCACGAAAGTCCCTTTCACCAGGTTAGTTGCGCCAGGATGGGAGAAAGAGATAACACACGATTGGCCTTGACCATTTCGGTCCGGCAGGCACGACCAAGAATCATAGTGCCCTTGCCATGCTCCATGGCAGCTTTCGCATCCTCATCCCGCTGCGATATGTGTTAATAGACATGGATGTGATCTATAAGTTAGAAGACAACTTACAGTGTACTGACAGAAAGCGAACGGCATATGCTGATTATCTCGACGGATTTTAACAAACACAGTGCCGTATTTGCTAAACTCTCGAGTCACAGCAGCCTCAAGAGACCGGTCGTCGCGAGGCTCGGGCAAGCTGAATAGAAGCGTTAGTTTGAAGGTGATAACGAGGAGATGAGGTTTCGCACTTCGCGACAAAGACGCAGGCAGTCGGGGGATAAACCCCCTGGGCATCGACTCCTCCAACATGATGACGTGTGATCAAGCCCGAAGAGCGAGATCGGAGGCCTTGTGGCGGAGTGTCCAGAGTCTGCGGGGCCGTCATGGTGACCTCGCGAGAAGACGGACCGGTAGTAGTAACCGATCGAGAAGCCTTCGGGACGAACGAAGGGGGCAGTGCCTTGGGAGGAGATGCGAAGACATCCCCGCCTGTGATATGTCCTACCTCGAAGGACGGAGAGCTTGAATTTCTATATTAGCACGAGAAGATAGCTGAAGCAAATTACTTACTTAACAGCCGTGTTAGTGGCCAGCTGGGCATTGGAGATCCGACCGGTAGACGGATTGGATCTGGACCTTAACCATGTAAGTTCCTAGCTTAAGCACAATAGGTGGAAAAATACTTACTTGGAGCGTCCAGAGCGCTCAGAGCGGTCCTCGATGGACAGCAGGTCAAGACGAACGCCTATACGCACAAGTTAGTATGGTAATAAAGCTTCCAGCGATAAACTGGAATTTGCTAGGAGATTTAAACAAAGCTAAGTGTGAAGAACTGTAGTATAGTCAAATGTCTTAGGATGGGCAATATACGGTCCTCGAAGCCCAGCTAGGGCAAATTCTCGACTTGTGTATATTTCCCCAGAAACTGAGGAGCCAACTTTGCAGCCGAACCCGACAAGTGACAAAAGGGAAGAACAGAACGAACGAAAGCAGAACAGTTTTCATCAGTAAGGAGAAGGAAAATAATGAGCCATATAGTGAAAACAACTCTCCCCAGACACACCAACAGCGGCAAGGAATATAGAAATAGGGATGAACGAGGTAAAGCGAATAAGAATAATCTGACGCAGCTACCGGATAAAGAAAAGGGTTTCATAGGCTGAGATCAGTCTTTCCATGGAAATACGACGCCATGTATGAAAATCATGAATCAGAGGAAGTGTGAGGGCTGGTGAGATGATGCGAGAAAGCTCGAGATTTTGTGATCAGATACAGGGGAAAGATGGTGAAATTAACGTAGGATGCCGGAGAACAACCACAACAGCAGACAAAATAACGAGTAAACAACGCAACAGGTGAGGTATCGTAAGACACAGGTAGCTCGACGTATGATGAGATGACGGGGGAAGCTCGATGATCATAAAGGGGGCAACGCAAGACAGCCAAGACAGTGTAGGGAGCTGGGCTATGACAAAGCGACAGCATGTAGATCAACGGAAAGCAACGTGAAGCTCAGGTATCGAGGTGAGATAGAGGTAAAAATGAATAAATCAAGGAGGGTTTGCGCTGTAAATACAGCTGCTGAAATCAAAACTCGCGCCGCTGGGGTCACAACTTACCTCCACCAACAGGAGAGCCGCCCGCGGAGGGAGAGGTTCGTGAGCTCATCGTGGTAGTTGATACGGTGGGCTGGTATCTTGTTAGAATTTGGCGCCGAACGCGACGGATGTGATGGATGTGATGGATGTGATGTGTGTGGTGATTGGGGTATGATGACGTTCGTCGCGTTCGCGATGACTGCGAGGTATTTCTGATCTTGGGAGATGTGTTGAGGAGAAATCAGTGCGAGCCGTAGGACCGCAAGGAAGCTTGAACTCGGGGTAATCTAATGTGCGAAAGGGTATGAGGAGGGCGGTCAGGATCACCGGAGCTTGGGAATACCTTGGTGAGATTGTCGTGTCGAGGATGAAGGTCGCGGAAGGATGAAGACCGCGGGATGGCTTACGTAGAGGAAGGATAGAGGCCGTGGGATAACTTCTGTAATGAAAGGATAGACTGGGGAGTGGGACGGTTTTTACCAGAGATGGTGACCTTTATGGTATTTGTCCGGAAGCTGGGAGAGATGACAAGAACGTAGCTTGGTAGTCCTCGATCAAGAATCTTCGGGAATCGTCTGAAACGATAAAGGAGTTGCTTGATGGCCTCGAAATTGTAGGGGACGCGTTGAATAAAATGGGGGGGTGCCGAGCCGAGGTGGTGGACAAACCCCTTATTTGAAGAGAATCCCGTGACCTCCCTCGGCGGCACCACCCACTGCCTAAGGCCTTCGATCCTGATCCCACGCCCCGTCTGGGGGTTACCCTTGAGAAATTCAAATCAACAACCATAAGGTTACAAATAATTATGAGTTTCTTTGTAAAAACTCAGACAACAGTGTACCTCGGTTGAGGTTATCTTTGTCCTTCTTTGGCCGACAAACAATGCAGGCGATTTCTGTCGACATCCACCTTGCTTTAGACACCATAAGGCGCCGAGATGCCCCGATAAAGACCTCATTAGGAGTAAGCAAACTCCCAGCTCCTGGGAATCTGGAGCAGGTCCCTAACTGACTGTGATCAAGAAAAGAGCCTCGAGTCCCGATAAAGGACTTCAATAGCTCTGCTTGAATGCGGACATAGCCAAGGGAAAGGGTACTGGGAATAGCTTCATACCCGACCTCCTGAGAACACGATACCGCTCAGAGCTGTCAAGGCTGGCTTTGCTGGGCAGCAAAAGCGACGCAATGACAGCTCCAGATGGTTAGGGGAGGAATATCATATCCTGCATACATCAGTCATTCCCGCTCGATGCTGCGGAATGCCTGAATAGGCGCCGTGGACCTTCATTCTCAGCGCGGCCGGATGGGATCTTCAGTCTGCCAGGGGAACAATAGACGTAAGCACTGAACATCTGGCTCACCGTCCAATCGAGAGCCCCGGCTGAGCTGGGTTCCAGTCAGGTACTTCACCGAATGTGCGGCAAAACCCCGAGTACAGGAGCTGCTGGATAAGAGCGGTTCGCAGAGACGATTACAGCTTCAGGAAATATCTGTGTAATATCTCGAAAGCGAGGCTCCAGGCATAGCTTGATGAGGATTGTGATTTCAAGATACCGGGGGAGCCTAAGAGATGTGTCCTAGCTCTGTTCGTGGAGACTGAATGCATTCCCTCGTCATCCCTTCTCACGGATTAACTCGTTATGAGACCTCTGGCAGCACTCTTGGTCCTAACTTCGATGAAGACTCGAAGAGCTCGCCTTCCAGCTATAGAACACCATCAGAGACGGAGGTTGAGTTAACAAGCCAAGTCTGGGAAAAGCTTCAAGATGAAAGCAATAAAATGGGTGGGTTGGGTGGCTTCCGTCTCGATAGCATCAGTCCTCCAGCTTGATTACCCTGTGAGATAGCTGAAAGCTCGAACAAGACCAAGCTTGTGGGTGGCAAATGTCTTGTTTGTTACCAAGAACATGACATTGTCCGTGGAACCTCAACAGCTGAGACAGGACCTCGATCCAACAAGAGCAGTTCGGCTAAAGAAATGCTCTATGCTTCCTGGAGGCATCGAAGAACAAGAACGACGATGACGCCTTCGAAGTGAAAGCACTACCCGAAGAGAGCTGGGAGATTGGTAGTACGCCTGGATGGGTACACTTGCCCCTTCAGCCATTGGCGAAAATGCTTTTGGGATCTCAGCAAACGGACAGAGGCAGGAAGTCGAAGACAACACATGAGGAGGCTTCTTCATAGGACTTAAGTTGGGTTCTATAGGAAAAGTTGTGAGTCCCGAGCGCCTTGTCGCGATAACCTGTTCAAGGCCAAGCTGATAAGTTGGGGCTGCAGATTGCCGGGAGCATGCATCAGAGTGTCGTCTCTGTAGGTCAAATGGTCAACCTCTGTGAACCAAGACTTGCCACGGGCCGCGAATATCTGGTACACTCAAACCCCCGGAAGAAGACGACTTCGAATCCTATCCTTAATAACGAGACCTCCAACGCTCGCCGAAAGAGGCAAGCAGAAAGGTGAACAGACAACCGTGAAACAGCCTGTCACGATTATAATCTAGCCGAGGGCTGTGACGATGACGGCGGCAAATATCATCAATATGTCTGCATCAGCAGAACTATCGTGGGGTCTCAAGCCCGAATTGCCGATCTGGTCCCTGAACCGTGAAGAAACAGACCAGCCGTTCTCAGTCACCCATCAAGATCAACGGGGAGTAGAAATCATTGTACTTATAACTGGCGCCTATCCCACGGATGTTGGCGATGGATTCTGCCAGACTCTTGGAGAGCTCGAACTTGAATAAAGCTCGTGGGGTAGTCTTCGCGGCAGCATACTGCTGTCGTTATGACTACTCAGGGGTGAAGAAGAAGCAGCACTTGGAGTTCGCAAACTTCGTAGAGAGGCAGCTGTTTTCATGTTCGGAAACTGTCCAAACCCACAAATGGAACATGGTAGAGGCTTTGCTTCAACTGGTTCGGCCATGTGTCCCATGCTCTCATCTGCCAATATCATTCAGAATTAAGCGATGTCAGTGTATGGACCTTGAGATAATGTCTGGTGATCAGGAGTTCTGCTGCTTTTGGAGATTGTGTTTCGTCTCAGGAAGTCAGTCTTGCATTCAGAGTTGATATACCCTGATCTCATTGACGTCAGAGAGTCTTTGCTGGGCTTCAATTTCTGACAAGGCTTGGCCATGCTCTGCTTCATTCCCTAAGGGGCAGCTTCGGGATGTCATGGACCTCAGCTTCGAGGTTGCATGAAGCACTTCAACTCTTATTCGTTGCTCTCGCCTTTTCAGCGAAGGGATCTAGAGAGGCACGACGGGGATGCCACTTCTGCGAACTTAAGATCTGAGGTCAAAGGAGCATGATCTGGTCTCATGCCGAAGTCTCTGAACGAGCAAAACGGCGTGCTGGTCTTTGACTAACGTGGAGCAAAAAGCTGCTCGGAACTGATGAGCGTAAGATCTACCCTTTGAAACACCTAAAGCTTAAACTGATGATGAGTCTGCTGCAGCGATGTATAAAGATTCTGGGTGACGACAGGCGGCGTA